AGAAGGCCTCTGTGCTCGACCGGCTGGACGAGCTACGACGCGAGGCCGACGTGGGCTCACTGCCAGCACGCTGGCGTGCCGCCATTAACAACGGGGATGCCCGGTGAGAGGGGCTTGCATGTGACATGCATGCATGTCGTGTAAGCTGTTACTAAATAGCAACCCAGGACTTAAACAGTGTACGACCTAACAAGAGGGATGGAACGAGGGTACTCGTGAAAATGCTACGTGAAGGCGTAGAGGCAGGAGTAGTGAGCTCGGTATGTTAGCAGGAAGTGTCAAAGCACACCATTAATTGATAGCGAGACGGCGACTGATGTTTGCGAACAGCGCGGCAGGAATGCCTACTAGGATCCTGCACACACCGTCAACCTCGTAGTCTCAAATCCTGAAGCAACCGGACACACCCTGCCCCTCGCTTTGCTTCCCAGGGACGCGGCGGCCACTGTCTTCTACAGTTACCGCAATCGTGAGAAGCGGCTGGAGGTTGCGCGCACACAGCTGCTGGGTACTTGGAAGAAGTCACTCATGCCGGGTGCGGCCGGCAGCGAGATGGGGGAGGTGGCGCTCATTGTGAGGGACCTGGCGGATGACGTGCTGCAACAGTACCGCCTCAAGCGCGGAAAAGCTATTGATGAGGTGGGTTTGCCAATGCCATAGCTTTCACATGCCAGCCCCTGCCTGCCTTGCGACATGAGGCCGCTCGTCTAGCCAATAACGCCCTTATACCTCACAATGGATCTTTGTTGAATTTTTTATCCCGGTCGGTTCCTTTAGAGGTTAGAATCTGCTGCAGTTGTCAGCCGCAAGCACGAAGACCCATGGGTCTTCGTGGCGACGTGTTATGGCAACCTCGGCTGCAAGCTGTCTGTCACGGTGTGGTCCTTCGCGCCTCGTTGAGATTCTAATGTAGGACACCATGTCCCTTTTGCTTATGGCATGGGATAGTAGCGGAAAGCCGCCGCACTCCGCCTTGCGCGCCTTGCGATGTGAGAGGCCTATCTAAGGTTCTATTGATACCGCCGCATTCTACGCCATCCTTACTCGCCAGCGGCCCCCTTCTCAAGTTCTCATGCATGCTTTACTGCACAATATGCTGTACGTGTACTAAACCTCACGCACACGGGCAAACCCTCTGCCATCCTGCCCCAGACTGATCGACCCGATCTTGTGCCACTTACTCTACCCACAGGCCGTGAAAGAGGCAAAGTCCAGCACCGTCACCACGCTTGGGCCCATGGCGCGCCGCGTAGTGGGCGCCGGACTGGCAGCGGCGGACATCATCACGGTTGCAGCAAAGTCGGAGGAGTTGCAGAAGGCGCTGGAGCAGGTCAAGAAGGAAAAGGAGGAGCGTCTGCGGGTAGGGCGGGGCACAGGACTGGGTAGGCTCGTGGGTGGAGCATGTAAGCATGATTGCATGATTTGCGGGTGCATGAGCCACTTGCTGGACAGCAGCAGGTGCCGCATGCAGGCATTGATCTTAACCTACGGTATGTAGACCCCGCTTGATGCTGCTGGCTCTACGAGCAAAGGTGACGAACAATTGTTTTACCCTGGCAGGTTCTGAGCGGAAGGGCGCACGGAAGCATGAACCTGCTCCAGCTGTTCAAGGTGGCGAGCAAGAAGTACAACACCATTCCCACGGCGACGGGCAGCCGTGAAGGCAAAAAAAGGCGGCGAGAAAGCGACGCTGCCCAGTAGGCAACACGTGGTACCCCGTCTGCGCAGCGCTGCTTTACCCCCGGCGTTTGGGTAATCTGAGGGTGTTTGCTGAGCCGGTGAGTGTGCACAATTATTGGTTTGTTGTGGCGCCTAGCCAGTAAGACGGGCTGCATGCGCGAGGGTAACACCACAGCTGTGGCAACCAATGCCCCGCTCTGATGGAACAAATGGGCAGGAATGGAGTTTGACCGCGGCAGGCGGCGACCGTCGCTTATGTTGAAGTATACTACGTTGTAATACAGTTATGGTTTGGGTAACAGGCCGTTGAGGAGCCGTCACGGTAGTTTAAAGTGACAGGTCGTTGAGGAGCCGTCGCAAGTCGGGCTATTGGAGTTGACCCATGGGTCTTTATGGCGGCATGTTAAGCGCATGAACAGAGGGTCATTGCTAAATAGTATACACAAGTAGATGCTTTGCGCAGTTTCATGCGTTTTGGTAGTTTGATAGATAGACGATGACGGCCAAGCGAAATGAAGGCCGAATCTAGGTTTGAAGTTGCATCTAGTTAGAATGCGAAAGTTACAAGGGGGACCGGAGTTCCTGAAAGCCTGAGAGCCGTACAAGAGAAGGCCGCATCTAGTTAGCCGGTTATGGTGAATGATCTAGTTGGACGGCAGAAAGCATAGACGTTTGGGCTTTTGGCGCAGCCTGCGTATGAAAATTTAATACCATGAGGTAGGTTTTCAAATTCCCTATCCAATGGTGTTAAGATTGACGACAATGCGCAGATGGGGCCGACAGTGCATCAGTGCGACATTGATGTTGATGTTGCGGGCGTCAAGACATCCATTGCTACACATGCAAGCGCCATGTGCACCACCAGAGCGTCGTAGCCTTGTTTCTTTTGGTGTTCCTTTTTGGTGCATGAATATCGCCTGAGCGGGAGGGACTCCCCCTCTCCCAAGCATTTGCGGCACGCATCACCCTGAGGGGGGAGAGGACTCCCTGTCCCCCCTTTTACCCCCTCCCCCTGCGTTTCTTCCTCCTGTTCCCCCGCGTGCACATTAAGTGCATATGTTGGGCTACCAGCGGGGCAGCAAGAAACCTCCAACTGTCTGGAGGGTGACAACGGGTCAAATCTTACATCTACCAGCGTATACACACTGTATCAACTGCAGTGATGAAACAGTCTCTGTCCAGTTTCTGCTGTTCTAGGCACACTGCGCAGCTAAGATTGCTATGTAGCGTTTGAGCTGTTTGGATAACTGAGCGCCTATTAAGATGCAGCTGCTTCGCCTTAATTGCACATGCGAAGTTACACCAAATACTGTCATACTGCGAGGAATGGGACTTTTTCTACGTTTGTCCATTGTATCAAAGGCGGTAATGCGGCAGGCAGCAGTGCCTGAGCTGAAGTGACAGGCTAATGAACATCAATGGGGCAGATATACGATTACTGCTGTTCTAGACACACAAGTGTTTTTAACCATGTATACACGAGCTGCTCGTATAGCTGGCCTTCTAATCAGTTGCAGCTGAACCGCAGTCCTTGCACATGCGCAGTAAATATGTATGTAACACTGCCGAAGTGCAAGCTCAGGTAGGCTGCCACGCTACTCTGCCGTAAGACCGACGGATCACATCCGCTGGCGAATTAAGTATGTGGCACGGTAGCTTGGAAACTAAGTCAGAGGGCGTCGACGTGGAAAGCTGGCTGGCATTTGCAAGATGCAAGCACACATTCAATGCAACGCCGACAATACCACGCGAAGCGGTGAATACGCCTGCAAACGTAAAAAGGAGTAAAGGTCAGTGCATTGCGAATAAGTCCATTAAAGAAGCACAGCAACACTAATCTACGAAAGGCGCGACTCGCTTGCAGCTTTGGACGACGCAAATGCGCTTCGCGCGTCCCAGGGCGGACGCGACGCGGCAGCTAGCAAGTGGTGGTGCGGTTGGTGTCCATGACCCATAGCACCGTGTTAGACGCCTCTGCTGCAAGGAAGGCCGCAACTTGCACGACAAGGATCACAGAACAGTCATTAGGATGAATAGACAACATACGCCTTCAACAGGATATACCTGGTATGAAGCCAGTGCATATCCACCATATCGGCCCAGCTGCCGCTCAAGCTTTTAAGCCCGTCGGCGAAGCGCTAAGCGACTCCATCCTCCATCGTCGCTGCGCGCGGGATTGCCCTATGGTGCATAGATACGCTACATAGAAGGAATACAAGTGATAAGAAAATAAAGTTAACTAGCCTGTTGGATAGCCGCTGGAATGATCAGGTGTCGGGCGATCAAGCGTCGTACAACCTCATCCCAGCCGCCCACGCGCTTTGGCGCTGCCAGCGATGCAATATCTAGTCCGTGGCTACTTCTTTATACGTTTGCAACATGTTGTGACCATCAGCTAGGCTGGCGATGGAAGTGCGACATAGATTGGCGATGTTGCTCATGTTCCCGATCAAAATCCACACCTTCCCCTGGAATGCGTGCAATATATGTCTGGACATCAGCTACATCGCCGTCAATGTCGCACACGCCTTGTAAGCGTACTCGCAGCACACGACAGCATGACGTGCTCAGCATGATGTGTTGGCCAGCTTAACCAGGCGGCTACACCACAACCGGCTCAAGGGCTAAGTTTATGTATGTTCGGTTTATGGCGGGGCTCGACAAGTCTTTCGACAAGTCAGAGCCGCATGCTGTGTCTTGCATATGTAGCAGTCGTATGGAACGGTTATGGTAACTAATGTAGTTTGACCAATGTTTGACCAAGGTGGCTGCACTGGTTGAGGGTTGGATCAAGCAGCGACGCAAGATGGTAACAGCACATACAGTGGCGCTGATTGTTACAACGCCTATACAGTCGCTGCTAAACGGCGGTTTGTTTGAAGTTTGGTTTGGTTTCCATCGTTTTGTAGCTCGCACACAGGCTGGTCCTACATCTAGGCAAGGCCCTTAGGTCTTTCCAGTTGTTGTTGTGATTGTTGTGGTTGTGCTGGAGCTCCGGTTGCAGGGTCTGACCATCTATCTCTATCTACAGGTGGATGGGCTTGTAACAGTTGAAGTGCAGCTATGTATGCTTCTGCTCCCATCTCCTCTCAGCGGCTTCCCTGGGACCCTTTTCAAGCACTGAAGGGTTGGCGAACATGGTCAACAGCTGTTGTGTCTTCACCAGCTCCCCGACTTATGCCTTCAGTCAATCAGTACGGTAAGACCTGTGCAAACTTCTAGCTTGGCGTGGACTCACACATAGCCCAGTTAGGTGGTGCCGCCCGCGCCGCTGGGGACAGAAAAATACCAAGCCACGAATGAGGGCAAGACAATTGGAGGGGAAAATGATACATGAGGCATGGTGACAACAAATAAAACAATGCAAGCATGCCGAGTCTTGGCAAGCCAGGCCATTGGTGCGTCAATGTACGCCAGTTCGTGACGTTGAGGTTCAATGTGCATCCCCCACGTGTCCTACCCAGACCAGCAGTGCTAATCGGACCTAGCACGCGCATAAGGCCTCGCGGCATTGCGAGACCGAATTGAACAGGATAGACCACTAACTAGCCACCATTGCCTTCAACACGGGAGCTACAGTTGTAGACCGCCAGAGACACGACAGATGACAACCCAAATGTCCCCGTAGGTTACCATATTTCAGTAGGAGCCTTGCCTCGTCTGTTTGACTAACAAGGCGTTTCGTTCATTGATGCCCCCCTTGCGCACCCCTTTCGTTCGCGTCTCATGCATTCATGCGTTTGTAAGCAGGCAACCCATTCGCAGCCTTCTTCATCGCTGGCTTGTTACGACTAAAGGCAGCGTAGAAGAGTGAAGCGTCCACCACACCTCCACGTCCTACACAGTTACACCGATGCACCATTGTTACCCCACCCGTCAAGTTATGTACTCATGTCCCTAGAGCAGCATAGCCAAAAGGGCTCTAACAACATGCTCTCGCACGCTTCCCACATCCTCAGTAGCAGCAGTCGCAGTCAAAGGGACAGAGGTCCGTGTCGCCGCCCTTCTTGGCCAGCCCCAGCTCCTCCTCGCTGTAGATCGCATAGCCCTCCTCCGTGCGCTTGCGGCCTTTGCCAGTGGCCTCTCCGAAGATGTCGTCCTTGCTGCCCTCCACACGCGGCTTCTTGGAGGGCGCGTCATCCTGCATGCGTGGGGAAAATGAAGGCAGGGGTAGGGGAAAGGCACGCGTAAGAGGGCTGTGCGAATTCCGGTGTGAGGAGGACAGGGAAGAGTGCCGTACGTAGAGCGGGGGCTGAAGCATAGCAACGGGTAAAGGGGCAGGAGTCAACGGCTGGCATGGCAGCACAGGTTCCTCGCTACTTGCCCCTGTGAGGGCTTTGGGCCCCATACAAGTAGCGCTTTGGAAAGAGACAATCGTCTGGATGATATAGGTACCATCAGTGCTAGCGCTTATCCCTAAGTCTCATTAGGGTGCCCTTCACCTTATAAGGCCATGCGGTGCAACCCTTCACGCACCCACGCCGGAACCCTGCACGTGGAACCCGGGGGTTCCATGCACCGCCCGCACCTTGGGTTCAGCGTCCTCCGCCGCTCGCTTCTCCGCTGCGCTCTCCTGGGCCTTCTTCTTGCCTGCGCTGAAGATATCGTCTATCTCCGACTTCTTGACCTTTGCCTGCTTGATGCCGCCGTCCTTCCCGCCATCGGTCTTAGCCTTTGGGTTTTCTTCTAACGCTGCTGAAACCTTTGCCTCTTTGTCTTTCTTTACATCTTTACTAGCCTTCTGTGCGGCGGCGTCCTTAGTCAGGGGCTTTCCAGTAGTTTGTTGTTTCCCCATCAGTATGCTGTTACAGCACTTAAGGTGAGTAGGTAAAAGGATAACTGCAATTAGCCTGTGCTGGCACCGACTATTCTGTGGATGGATAACTGTGCAGGCGCGCAATTTACACAATTATTTAACACGACCAGGTCAAATACTACGTTACCATTAAATTGGTGAAGTTTCTTTGGAAATACTCCTTCGCAACCAACTAACCCCGGTGCCGTACACGACGAAAGTGGTCTGGATGCTGGATCCCTTGCCAGAGCATCAACACAGCTTCGAGAAGCATAGGTCGAAGGCATATTCAATTCACGCACACTGAAGCACCTTAAGAACGAGAGGAGCGGTAAACGCCATGTCGCATTCTTCAGTCGGCACCGGCCTTTCTTCAGCATATCGTCATGGTTACATTGTAGACGGTGAGCGCCTATTTGCTTCTGACACCACGGGGAGCATTTGCTTCCTTCGGACACCCCCGACCCATGGAATGGGGTACATGCATATACGCGCTCGCCGCTCATCGCGCTGCACACCGGTCCCATGCAAAATGCAGGCCTCCATTGCGCACGGCGTCCGGTTGTGGGCTTTGGCACAAGTGCCTATCTCAGGCGGAGTCGCTTCATTGGCGTGACACCATTCGCGCAATGGACCCCAGCTCTCTCGCCGGCTCAAAACCGAACCAGTACAGCGCCCCCACCTCCATTGCCGCCATCGCTTGAAAGGGCAGGAGACTTGCCAGGTACGACTTTGAGGCCTGCCTGCCTAAGGCACCCCATGCATGACTGCCCCATGGGACCATCTAGCAATCACCCCTGTCACGCTTCTGGGCGTCCGCTGTTGCTTGGCCCCCGCTTATTGCCCGCACAGCACATGCACTGCCTCGCAGCCACGCTACTATGTATAAAGCGTTGACAGCGTGGCTACAAGACAGTGCATTTACTTTTCATGTGTCAGGAAGCCGAACGGACAGCAGAGCATGGTGTCCAAAAGCGTGCCTGCTGAGTCCTGCCCCGCGTTCAAGGAGAAACGGGGCATGGCCATGTCATTGAAAACCTGCCGGTACTTGAGGACATATTGCGCTCCTTCTTGTTCCCTACTTGCAGACCGGCTGCTCGAAGATTATCTCAATGTGTGGTCTTCTCAAGTAAGTAGAATGGGGGCTTCTCGCTGTGTCCGTCCGCAAAAACGGTTTTGCGGGTAACCTGGTTTGCCTTGCGGCATACATGCAAGACGCGGTTAAGCATGTCCCTCGTGTGCTTCAAGAATTGCACTCTTCCCACAGCTCGACACGCTCCCTTTCGCGCTCCTTTTCAGCCCCATGTGAACAAGTCCCTCCATTCCCTTGCCGCTGTGTTGTACGACACGACATGCAGTACACCGAGTACGACTACTACGTACCTCCAGAGGCAGTGTACGGCAGCCTACCTGAGGACCTGAAAGGCACACTGTTCCTTGTTGGGCCAGGGCTCACAGAGGTGTACGGCACCACTGTACGGCACCCATCTGACGCGGATGGCATGGTGCGTGTGCTGCGTGATGGTGACGATGCCCAGTGCAGCACTGCACGACACACCTAGTCCATGCAAACGAAAACGTAGTCAAAGTAAGGTCAATGTGCTTCTGAGCATTTCCTAATTGCCTTGCCTCATGTACCGGTATGCTACCAGGCATCCTCTGTTCCGCTGTTTCACTTGCGCCGAGCCTTTTTACACAACCCGCAGGTCTGCAGCCTGGCATTTGGCGGCGAGGGCGGGCGAATCTTCTTCCGCAACCGCTACGTCCGCACTCCTTCCTTTGTCGCAGAGCAGGTGCGTGACCCTCGGCGAGGTTTTTATGAAGAGCCACCACACACATCCCTTCCCATCTCTTTCATGCCCTCCCTTAGTCCTCTCCGTCATGCTGCTGTACTCACGTCCTCTGTCCCTCGCAAACACAGGCACTGGGACGTCGGATTACCCGCGGCATTCACGACCGTGGTGCCCCCACACCCGTGGACCACTCAGCCCCAACACAATCACCTCAGCAACAGCAGCAGCAGCAGCAACGACAGCATCCACACCAGCGGCAGCCGTCGCAGGGCGTGGACCGCATGAGGTCGCCGTCATTGGGCCAAGGGCAGGGGTACGGCAAGGCGGGTTCGACCCATGTTAACAGCGAGCTGTGGGAAGGGGAGGAAGGGGCGGAGGAGCGGCGCTATAGGGAGAGAGCCTCGTCAGCAGCAGTAACAGGTGGTGTTGCTGGCTTGGCGGCGCGGGCGCAGTCAGCGTCATCATCTTCAGCTGCTGCCTCCGGCCCCTCGGCATCACGTGCCTGGCCCCTCAGGTATGTCTTCTGCCTGCTCTGGCGTTGTACCAGAACCTCCTGGTGTGATCCCTTGCCTTAATCAGCCCATGTCTATTCCTGGCTAGCATCGCGAACACCATGTGAAAACTAGCATGAATATTATCTGGCACGTGGTTTATGGCGTGCGGTACAGCACTGGTTGCCCCTTTCCAACCCCTTGCCCCACATAGTTTGCTGCTCCTCCCCCGCTCTGCTCCCTTGCTGCTCCCTTATCCCTGCTCTGCTGATGTTGTTGCCGTCACTGCAGGTCGATGCTGGACCCGCTAGCGATGCTAGGACTGCCGCCACTGCCGCCGCTGTCCGCTCTCTTCAACCCCCTGGACACAAGCTTTCGGGTGCGACTGACTGCTGTGCAAGCGGTTCAACAGTCATGCATGCTGCAGCGTTTAAACCACCGTGCCGTCACTCATGCATGCTGCAGCATTACGCAGCATACAGGCATTGAGACCGTGAACAAGTAATGGCACACCTGCACTTGTCCCGCTTTCGCAGGCGCCGGCCAACGCGAACGTGGTGTATTGGGCTGGGCGTCTGCTGGCGTTTACAGAGGTTAGCCAGATGGACCCATGGGTCATGGCCCTCATGGGTCGTTTGTACTTGGGCTATTGGGCTGCCATGAGCTGGGAGGTCCATTGGGATCAAGGGGCCCATCTTAGAAACGTGCACATCGGAAACATGCACATCAGGATTTGCTCTCCTCTTTATGTGTCAATGACAGGGCGGATCTCTTCCGTACGAGCTGCACAAGCTGTCGTTGGAAACGGTTGGGCCGTACAATGCTGCGGGAGCAATGGCGGACATTGGGCGCATTGTCGCTGGCTACAAGATTGCTCCGGCGCCCCCGCCTCCGACCTCCTCCACCCACACCTCCACCACTGCAAGGCAACGACAGCCCCAACAACGGTTGGTGTTGATGGGAGCAGCGCAGAGCGGCCCCGACGTGCTCCTGCGTTGGGTGGAGTTGGGAGAGGACGGGACGCCGGCTGCTGCTGCTGCGCCGGCGGCGGCGGGGCCTGCGGGGTCGCCTGCCGCTACTGCTACCACCAGCAGCACCACCAGCACCAGCTACCGGCTGCCCGGGGCCGCTGCGCAAGGCATCCTGGACTTCTGGGTGACAGAGCGGCATTACGTTGTGGTGCAGGTGGGGTGGCTGGGGCTGCATCCCCCGCATAAATGCATATCTTTGGAACGCCTTTACAAAAGAAGCGTATGGCTTTGCGAACGCATACCGCAACTGCTACTATTACCGTACCCAATCTGCCGTAATACGTTTTCACAAGCCTTGGCCTTTGTCAGATTTTCTAGATCGATACCAATTTACAGACACTGCGGCAATCTGACTGCGCGATAGCCCCAATCTTCGTGCCTCTGTCTTCGTGCCGCTATCATTTTTTCCTGTTCTTCCTCTTTTCGTCCCGACTCTGCAGGCTCCCTTGGACTTCAACCCACAGCGCTTCGCCACTCGAGCCACCTTGGGTACCGCCTCCTTCGTCGAGTGCTTCGATTGGGACCCTAGCCGCCCCTCCCGCGTACACCTCGTGCCCAGGGCCCAGGCCCCGCCAACCGCCACGTCGTCCATAACGGTCTCAACGGCCACGTCAAGGGGACCAGCGGGAGCTTCGCCATCAACAGCAGCAACATCTGCTCGGAAAGGCGAGGGCAGCAGCGGCAGTAGCAGCATGGCGTCCAGCAGCACTTCTGGACGCAAGGGGACCGAGATTGTGTGGCCATCCAAGGGTGAGTGCTAACACTGCAAGACTTGCCCGATTGCATGCAAAATTGAACATGGTAGATGCACGGCCGTTCATGGTTGGGGATAGTGTAAGGAGCGGAAGCCGCAGGCTGGTCGATGGTAACGCCATTACACGGCGAAGTCAAAGCGCTGGTTGTGCTTGAAGCTTCATTATGCTTGTGCCTCGCCAGTACCGTTCTCAACACAAGTCGCGTCTTTTGGTGCCATGCTGTTGCCCGCTCCCGGGGACAGGGCCCGAGGCCATAGTCATCGACGTTCCGCCGCTGCTGCTGACCTCGTCCGTGGATAGCTACAGCTTGGGACAAGACGGAGATGTGCTGATCCTTGACGGGATCTGCCAGCAGGTGAGTGACCCATGGGTCATGGGCATCATATTGGCTGCAAGCTGAAGTTATGCGTTTTGTATGCTGAGCTTGGAATCTCGTGTACTATCAGCATGTGCTGTACCGTCACATGCCTGCAGCCATCCGTTGTTTCTTCTTCTCTCAAGGAAACCTGCTTGCTGCAACTACCGGTAGCTATGGACGGAGGTAGTGACGCATGCGCTTTTACTGAACGACCAATCTTCCTGCTCCGATTGTTGCACACCCGCAGGGCCTAACAGGTTCGCTTGGCGGCACATTGGACAGTCGCAATGTTGGGGACCACAGGTCAGAGACAGCGTGCGCTTTCCGGTCTTGATGCTGTAAGCTGGGACAGTAGTAGTGTGGAAGAATCATGCACAGGCCGTTGCAATCCATGGCCTTTGGAAGCCAGGTTCTTAACGCAGTGCATTTTTCCCACGCTGCCAAAACCGGCTTGCGCCGCCCTACAGGCACCAGCCCAAGCCTGAGCTCACACGGATTGTACTAGACCTCAGCTCCCGCACCGCCACCGCCAGGGTCCTCTCCCAGCGTACTGCCTTCGCTGCAGCCACCCCCACAGCAGCAGCAATTGCTGCGGTCATCAGCTCTTCCACGACGGGTACGACAGCCGCTGTCACCGTGCCTGCTTCCGGCAGCAGCAGCGACGGCGTCGTTGGCGGCAGCAGCAGCAGTGGCAATCGCTACATCTACGCCGCAACCAGCGCAACTGATGCTGCGGACGGCTGGGCGCCGCCGCAGGCGATTGTAAAGCTGTCGATACCGACATCGTACGGCATCCCGGCAGGGAAAGCAGCAGTTGCAACAACTGGCGGCGGCATGCTTCGAGGCATTTCAGCGGAGTGCTTGGCTCGGCGACGCGGTGTCGGGTCGGAGGTGTGGGCTCCCGGGGACCGTGTGTTTGTGGGGCCTCCCGTGTTTGTACCCAAGCAGCAGCAGCAGTGTAAGGGGCGACGCGCTGTGCATGCGGCTGCGGCTACAAAGGCGCCTTCTGCGCCTAAGGATGCGTATGCGGGTGCAGATGCATCTCCGCTGCCTCCCCTGGAGTCGGAAGTAGATGCGCTACCAGGGCAAAGCCGGGGACAGCAGGCAGCAGCGGAAGCCGGCAGGCAGGAAGGGGAGCAGCACCAGCAACAACAACTACAAGAACAGGAGCATGAGCAGGAGGGCTGGTTGCTTGTGCTCGTGCATGACGCGGAGACCATGCGTGCGGAGCTGTGTATCCTTGACGCGCAGCAAGTGACCCGTGGGCCGGTCGCTGTCATTTCGCTGCCGCATCACCTGCCGCATGTGCGGGCAGCGCACTTCACGCGGATGTACTGCGGTCCCGGGCTTGCGGCGCCGCCGGGTTGGAAGCCCCGGACTGCTTCAGCGGCCCCGAAGGGTGTGCATTAGGACATTCAGATGCCCTTGACATGTTTGTTTTTTATAGGATTTGCGACGCGTTGTTTTCCCTGGGGTGAGACTCATGACAGCGCCGAAAACTGCGCTGCCAGGAACTATTGGACGGCAATCTGGGAGGTTGCAAGCGTTCATCGGATTCAGAGACCTTAGGACTTGTGAGACCTTTCAAGGCGCGTTGTGAAGATTGCCATACCTCGTACAAACATGTTTGTGTCGCGCGAACCCGATTGAGACACATGGTGAGAGGTGCATTCCGTACTGCAATGTTGCACGGTGTTGACGCGACTTGTCCTTACTTGGTGCACAACACAGCTGTGATCCCTGTGAACAATCAAAACCACATGCTTTCTTGAGGAGTCGACCGAGTCGTGCAACTACTTGAGCTGTCACCGCATGTGCGCACACCGTAATCCATTGCGGTGCCTAATAGACGTTATTTGGACTAGCAGGCATCCTGCAGAGGCATCCTTTAGGGTTTGTTTCAACTTAGTTACATACCAACAGTCACCAAGAGTGATGGCGACCTGCAGCCGGTCCGTGGGAGTTCATGTCAAGGATATCCCTGAACGGCGATAGACCGGGCAGCCGCCCATACCAACCATGGCATCTTTGGAAGTGACGAAACATGTCTAATATAAGGGTCGGCGTCACCTTACGATACGCCTGTGGGGAGGGTTTCAACTTGCTAAAACATTTATTATTTGTAGCTGAATTTGTAATTCAGCTCCGCTGTGTAATAGGCAACACCTACTTGCAGTCGCTAAAAGCACCCGTAGTGGATGCCAAATGTCGCAGGAGGCGAGTCCATCCTTGTAAGAAACCGAGAAGCAACACTTTCGCCATTACGCCAGATTCCGTCAGTAAATCGACGTGTAAATCCATGAAGGCAACGGCCCATATGTCAGCATTCCTGGATGCCATTTTCGTCTAAAATTAAACGGAAAAAATATGAGCAACATATGACCAATGAGCATCATACTATGACAGACAACCCGGCAAAACCGCTACAACGCGCCCTTCTCACCTTTTTCTGCCACGACATCCTATTTCACATCAACAAACGTGCAGCGAATGCACTCTCCACCAACAATACCCTCATCCCAGCCCTTAGCTGTAATAGCCCTGCGCAGGCTGCATCTGGCCCTGCGGTGCCCCATACATCTGCTGCTGAGGAGGCGGCGGGGCACCGTACATTTGCTGCTGCATGCCTTGGCCTGGGGCGGCACCCGTCGGCGCCGCAGGGGGCGCGACGGCGCCCGGGAACTGCATCATGCTGCCGGGCTGCTGGGGGAGCTGCTGCTGCTGAGGTTGCTGCTGCTGCTGAGGCGGCTGGTAGTAGTTGTAGTTGTTGTAAGCGCTGTACTGGGCGTACTGCTGTGGCTGCTGCTGTTGCTCCGGCGGCGGAGGGTACGCGCCGGCGGTAGGCTGCTGCTGGTAAGCAGCCTGCTGCTGCTGTTGCGGCTGCTGAGGTGCCATTCCAGGCTGCGAGCCAGGGGCTCCTGGGGCAGGGGCGCCGTATGCACCGTACTGCTGTTGCTGCTGCGGCGGTGGCGCGGCGTTGTAAGCCGAAGCGCCAGGTTGGCCCGTAGGAGGCGCAGCAGGCGCCTGCTGGGCCTGCTGCTGCTGCTGGGGAGCCGTGTTGTACTGCTGATACTGATAGTACGGCGCCCTGGAAGCGGCCGCCGCGGCGTCAAAGTACGGCGCAGGTGGGGCGGCTGCGGCGTTGCCGCCGCCCGAGGGTCCCTTCGCTTGAGCTGCAGCGTTCGTGGGAGAGCCGGAGAAGCCAATGCCGCCGTGGTCGTGGCTACCGGGCGCCTTCGCTCCTGCTGCAGAGGTACGGCAAAGGGGTTGTCTCTCAACATGTTGGGGTGGCAGTCAGTGGCAATGGAACACCGATCACTGCTCATCATTGCCCAGCAAAGTGGTGGACGCACATCCTACATTCTCTAACCCTGAGCTAGAATGGACTGCGAACACAAGGCTCATACCAACGCGACCGCATTACAACCCCCACTTCGAGCTACCGAGCTTCCCACCTGCGGCCGGCGGCGCCGTGTTGCCCTCGGCATGCCCCGCGTCTCCGTGGCCTCCAACCTGCTGCTGGGGTTGCTGCTGCTGCTGTTGCTGCTGCTCCCTGGGCTGGTTCACGGTGTGCAGCTCACCGCCGCGGACAAAGGCCGAGCTAGGTCGCTGCTGCGGCGGCTGTGGCGGCGGCGGCTGGTGCGAGGCGGGGCCGGCGGATTGCTGGTGCTGCTGGGGCTCCTGCTTGGACTGGAGGTTCGGGTTGGGGTTGAAGCGGTCCGTGGAGTGCGCTGTAGGTGGAGGGAGGGAAGCGTAAGCGTGGATTGTTGGCTCGCTGCGCAGAAAACGCATGACGGACGGTGCGAGCGAGCTGATGCATGATTTCAACAATGTTGTGCCATGCAACATGACTTACCATGCATGGCGCGCTTGCTCGGCGGCGGCACGTGGTGGAACGACTCCGAGTCACGCTTCATGGAGCCAGGACCAGCTGGGGCAGCCGCGGGCGGGTAGCCGTACGGCCCCATGGGGGGCTGCCCCATGGGAGGTGGTCCCATGGGCGGGGGCGGCCCCATAGGAGGCGGCCCCATGGGGGGAGGAGCCATGTGGCCGGGCGGCGGCCCCATAGGGCCCGGCGGAGGCGGTCCCATGGGCGGCCGCGGCGGGGGAGCCATGTGCCCGGGCGGAGGCGCGTGCATGTAGCCGGGCGGCGGCGCGATGTGGGGATCGGACAGCAGCATGTGGCTGAGGCGTGGCGCGTTGCCCTGTGAAGAGTTGTATGAAGGGCACAAAAGGGGCACATTCATTACAAATGAGCCTCGATGTGAGGTGTAGGGCAAGGTAAAAGGCTACAAAAGACCGCAACACACACCACGCAGCATTGCCGACCGCCGCGTCGACAACGTTTCCAGTAGTAAGTACCGCTAAAAGCTAAACTCTCATCACTCAGCAACTCACGGTGACTATGATTTGGTTCTCAGCCTCAGACAGGCGCATCTTAAGGACGCGACGCAGCTCCTCGTACTCTGCCCGCAGCGCCAGCAGCCGCCCGCCCTGCATGCCCTCCTTGCTGTTGGGCGGCGGGAAGCGGCCCCCTTGGTCCTGCGGCGACGAGGCGTGCCCAGGGCCCTTGCTGCCCAAGCGGACCTCCTCGCTGAAGCCCTCGATGACCTCCTGCAGGCGGAAGACGGGATGGAAAATTGGGGAGGCTCCTGGTTAGGATTCTGGTTGCGCTTGAAGCGAAGTATCGTACAGCTATGCGTCGATGCGGCATGCTGGGCTGTCTATTCTGGTGCTAGCTGTATGCCGATGCAGTGGGCTCGTCAAATTGTGATACCAGGATTCCGGAAGCGTCCTGAGCAAACTATCCTCTCCGTTCATTCGGCTCACCTCATTGCGAGCCCAGTCGACCACAACGGGCTTGGGGCCGGCGCCGACGAGGAAGGGACGTTCGCGAATGGACTGCGCAGCATGGCAGCAGGACAGGAGGAAGAACATGTTGACCGTTTCCGTTTTTACGATAGCCGCAAACCACGTTAACACAAGTCACGGAAACATCATACGCCCTGTGATAGCGTTTGTGAGCGGACTGAGAGTGCTGCACCACTTACCTCAATTGCTTTCACGGCGAACCGCTTGTTCTCAAAAGACACGAAGCCCCAGCTGCAAGGGTGAAAGGAAGGGGTTACCGTTAGGAGGGCAGCCAGCATTGCTTGTAAGACGTTACGCAGTGCTCGCGCAGTGGGTGGGCGCAACGCATTCCCTATTATGCGAAAGGTGTGCACTCTTTGGGCAGTACCCGGGGCAGCACCACATGAGGATCATGCAGATGGGGCATGGGCAGCGAAGGGCGTCAATCCTGAGTGAAAACTTGCAAGCGCATGCGTTCGCAGCGTGTGACAGAAAGGGAACGGGTTGCGAGACACTTGCATTGGGCACATGCCGACAGAATTTGCATACAATACATGGGCCAGCAAGCAGCAATACAGGCAAACAGCAGCTAAACAGGGGAGAAGTGCACCAACCCTTTGGAGGTGTTGTTGGGGGCATCACAAGCAACAACGGCCTTGCTCACGGCGCCAAACTGAGTGAAGGCCGCGTGGAGGACCTGGCGACAGACCATGGGGTGGTGTGTACGGCATATTGTAACGGACAAGCCGTACAATAACCGCGGGCATGAGGGGTCAAGCCGCGGCGAAGGGAGTGGGAGGTGGGAGTGGAGGAAGGGTGGCCGGCGAGAGGAGAGCACGGTGTGCAGAAGGGGGAAGGCATGTGGCGTGTCCCAGGGAATTTACGATGTGGGGATCCAGGAGAGGGAAGGGACAGGGCAGGTGGTCAGTGGGGGTTAGCTGCGCATCTTAGATTGTAAGGAAACCCAGCAACGACGCGTATAACTCGTTGTTCCTGTGGTGGGATGTAGAAATGGCTGACATCCTATTTATCTGGATGGCGTTGCCAGCGGCCAAGGCAGTGATGGGTACTCCAATGCCTGGCCTCGGTGTTCAAGACAAGCTGTTTCTTATATACAGGTCACAACCTACTACAATGCCATACAATAAGAACAAGCCACAAACGCGTGCGCACAGCGTGCACCCGTCCGACATATGTCAAGGCCAGCATTGTCCCGCGCAGCCCCGTCGCAACCCCAAGACGCCGTGCATCTAAGAGACCCACCTCGTTTGTCACGCTTTCGTGTAAGTTTGTAACCCATAGGACACGCTGGTTGTGAGACCTGTATGTAGACAACAAGCCGGAGTTAGGGAGAGGTGCCCTCCGCCGCTAAGGACAAGAATGGGTAGTATAACACATCTCATCTATTACCTCAGCACATGCATAAGCAAAACTCTTACCATTTGACACTGATCTGCTTGCCCATCCAGTCATACTTGTGCAGCGCCTTCTTCGCCTTAACGGCATCCAGGTGCGCACCCATCCTGCTTGCAAGCGAATTTAAGTAAATATAAAGCTCAACAAATTGCCAAAAGGGACAGCATGCCGCTTACCTGACGATGCAAGACTGTGGAGCATTTGGGGCAGAAGGCCCTTTCTTGTTGACGATGACAGCCTCCTTTACAGTCCCATGCGCTCCAAAAAGACCGCGCAGCTCTGGTTCAGTCACATCGCCAGGCAAACCCGTCACGTAGAGCTCCTCACAGCCCCAAAGCGACATTTCTGGCCACGATATGTGCAAGGAAAGCTGCTTTGCTATCAACGTCGCTTCGCTTTTACGCAGCAATGTGCAAGTTTGCTGCGTTGGGGCAGAAATCGGGGAATGCGGGATTGTACGACACGTGCAACCCATTTGACGCACTGGCGACTGGGTTCGACGGCCCGCATAACGTGCTTGCCTGGTCTCTGCTGTCTACAGTCACTACCTATTATCTTAATTACATAGCACCAACATGTTTAAGATACTTCAGTCACACGAGGAAAGGGACCCTAAGGCTGTGCTCAAGCAGCAGAGCAAGCGTGCTCAGAAACGTCTACAGAACAAAGAAGCGCGGAGTGAGGGAGCGCGCGGGTGGGGTCATCATGTAACACGATTCCCATGGCCGCCCAAGGGCGGCCAGGCCAGAGCCTGTTCGTGCGTGTAGGTAACAAGCGATTTGATTGAAAACACGCATATTGCACCGCGGATTGCGCAGAAATGAACCGGCACAATCAGTGGCGAAAACAGGCAACGATAGACGGTTGGCAGTTCTGGAAAATGGCGACCCCTCGGAGCAGCTTGCGAACCTCACGGTGAGCACCGGATACCGTTTCACGGAGCATTGTCAGGGGGATCCTGCCGGGGGGCCACTTTGACGGCACGTTGCTCTTCCCAATACACACACGGTAAAGGTGTGCTACCCTACCTTCCTAAATCCCCACACTTGTGGACTGTTGGAAGGGCTGTGCGTTCCCGCTGATGTGTTTCCCGGGAAAACTGCTTAGGGTTTTATGCATGCTTGGCCAGCGCCAGGATCCCTCAGCCTGCAAACCCATGCATGGCTCTTCCACAGCCTGCTGCAACCAACCTGCGACCCGCCCTGACAAGCCCCCCACGCCAGCATGCCTCAGCACCCCCCTTCCTACGCAAACTGCCTAGCTGCTCCCTCATGCGCAGCCATTACATCCCACTCTGTCGTCTGACCCCACCCGGCCCCCCACAGGACCTCGCGCAGGACGTCCTGCTAAGCGGCGATCCGGACCCAGGCCTCCTAGAGGACATAGGCTCCCAGATTGCCGCTATACAGCGCTTGCAGCTGCACGCCGGCAGCGGCAGCAGCGGCACCGGCGAGCACGCCAGGAGCCGGGCGCAAGGGCTTGACAGCGCGAACCTCTCACCCTTTGGCTTCCCACCAGGGCCGGGGCCAGGTCGAGGCGCCAGCAGTCCGAGACCCGGGTCATGTGGCCAGGTATGCGGCTTATGGTGGGGTGTGGCGTATGTGGGCCTGAGAAGAGGGCGGCGGGGGTTTCTTTCTTGTCTAGACCGCTGCTGCTGCGGCTGCTTTTGGGTTGTTGTGTGAGTGACGGGTTGGCTTGTGCGACTAATGAGCTGCAATTGATGCAACGAAATACGGCGCATTGTGGGTGAACGTCATGCTCATGCGCCCGTCTGAGTAAGCGGCGGCTTCAAGTTCGTTGTGGCACCACATTTGACGCGTCTTGTGTTCAATCGAACGGGAAACCCCGTTTTAGGCGGCTTGTATATAATACTAGCCGTCGTAGCTCGCGGTAACCTGCGCGCCTCTGCCCTCCCCTGGCCCCGTTACCCCGCACATCCACGCAGGCACCGTCCAGCTACGTCCCTCCCGCGCCGCTGCCCTTCTCCCATCTGGCCCGAATGCACAGCGGCAGCAGCTGCGGCGAGGCGGGCAGCAGCGATGCGCACGCCGGCAGCAGCAGTAGCAGCCACGCTAGGGGGCCCCCGCAGTCGCCAAGCGCGCAGGGTGCCAGCCGAAGCCCCTTCTCCACACCGATTCGCAGCGGCGCGTCTGGTCCCATGGACTCACAAGGTGATTTCCCCCGCCTTCCTACGCCCTCGCCGCCGCTGCCACCACACCCGGCCAGTCGAGGGCCTTATCCGGGCGCTTCTGGGGGCTCACGGCCCCGCGGCAAGATGGCAGCTGCGGCGTTGAGCCGTGGCGGCAGCGGCGTCAAAGTCCTCCGTACGGCGCACTCCAACCCGTTTCCCCATGGCTACGACAGCAGCAATAGTCACCACGGTAACGGCTTCTTACGCGGCTGCTATCCCGGCAGCAGCACCAACAACAGCAGTGCCCACGATAACAACCGTTCCCTCGGCAGCGCCAACGGTCATGCCAACGGTCATTACAACACCAACGGCACTCCTCCTCATCATCACCCTAGCCACGAGTACGACAATTTTGACTTGTCGTACGATGACGAGCCGTTACCGAACTTGGACCTTTTGTGTGACTTGCTCGATGACGGCGCCTGCCTGCGTGAGGATCCGCTGGCGCAGGGCGACTGCTGCCTGGAAGGTCCCGGACCGGATACCCGTGCGGTGAACCGGAGGATGCTGGCGGCACAGCAGCGGCTCATCAGCGCTCAGGAGGGCGGTGGACCGGTGGGTCGTGTTGAAGAGCAGTGCCTTAGGGTAGTGCTGAAAGTACATGCAGCGGTTGGACTGAAGGGGGATGCGATGTGGGTCGTGATTGGAAGTGTAAGGCAGCACCGCGCGGGGCGGGTAGGGCAAGGAAATGATGTACCGTATTGTGCGCTTATGGCCAAGGAGACAGAATGTTACCGCTTAAAGGGCCGGCAGACCCATGGGTCGTGGGTGTGTGTAACGGCTGGCGGGGAATTCTCTTGCGGAGTGAGTTTGGAAGGACTGGGTGTGGGTGAGGAGTAGCGTCGGGTGGCGCAGTTGGTGGAGGCCTAGCAGACAGGGGCTGATTAGGACACCTCTCGATGCGTGCATTTGTGTGTTGTGAAGCAACTGGTTGCACCCGCACACAGGTTCGTGGAGTGACCCAGGAGCAGATGAGCGAGATGATGAAGCGCGCGCACAGTCGGCAGCAACGAGCCAGCACTGCCGCCGCCGCAGCAGGTGGGGAGGGCGGCAGCGGCGGCGGCGGCAGAGGAGCAGGAGGAGCCGGCAGCAGCAGCGACGAGGATGAAGAGGATGATGAAGATGAGGAGGGACCATACCAGAGCTGCCCGGAGGAGGGACCTGTTACCTGGCGCCACACGGTATGGTACTATGGTTACGAGTGCTTGACGTTGGGGCCTTGCCGGCAGTGTACTGCACCCCCGGTTTGGGTGGCTGCTGTGTTGCCGACGTTTCCTTCTTTTCGTTCAACGTGACAGGTGGAGAGCATGAAGAGGAACGGCTGGGTGCTGGTAACCGACACAGTCGGCAAACACTACAAGTGGGTGCAGTTGCGTATGGTATCTCGAGCGAACGGGCATGTCTTGCTGGCTGCTTCCCTGCACTGTTCCGGTGCCCCATATGGTAACCGAGCGTTCACATTTCCTTCTTCCATTTTGTTCGCCCCGCTCGCTTGCCAAATCACAAACAAAGGGCTTTCCTACTGCTGCTAAGTGATTGCCTTTCCCAGCTGAGCAACAAAGACTGCAGCTGCTCCCACTGTCTGCTGCCTGCACAGGTACCGCCGAGTGCTTCCAAACAACCAGGTGCAGACGCAGACCGTGCCCTGCTCCTCATCCGATAAGCTGCGAGGCGTACGGAACCTGCAAGCGGCCCTGGCGCGGAAGGTGAGCCCAGCCCCGGCGCAGCATCGAGGGCGTCGCATTACCCCTGTATCCATCAAATGTTGTGATCCTGTACTGTGTTTGCATGGCCGGATGCGCAGACGGTAAGAAGCACTGCAACTGAACCCCAACCACGAGGCATTCATCTCTGCGTACGCAAGAGCCGCTGCCAATGGCGTATTTACACCTGAATAGGCTCATGTAGTTGCATCACCGGTACGCAGTTGCACACGCTCGTAAGTAAGGGCCGAGGTGCTTGCGCCTCTCTCATCCAATTGATGGGCGGGTCCATCGTAGCGACGCGAAGTGAAGCGGCTGACCTGCTCACTGGTCGCGGTCCTGGTTCCCTCTTGACCGTGGTGCACGTACACGCCACAGGATGAGGAGGCGAATGCGGTCGTCCGCGCGTGGCGAAAGGCGCAGCGGCAGCAGCGTAAGGAGGCAGCCGCCGCTGCAGCGGCGGCAGCGGCGCAGGAAGACTAATTACGCAGCCAGCGGTGCTTTGACTACAGATGCCGTTAATTATCGTACGCATGTGACCGCGCTGTTTGGGCCATCAAGCTTATCCAAGTTTTCCATGCTAACCACGCTCTTTCCTGTTGTGGCTGGTTGACTGACGAAGCAGGTCTGGCATGCTTGTGTGTTAGTGGAATTGCACTGCAATTCCTACAATTTTGGTGCTATCTTAACGTAACAAACAGGGGATATGTATGGAAGGTTGGAGGCGCTGTGTGCGTGTTAAATAGCCCCACCGCAAGACGTCACTGGTGTGTGTCAGAAGGTTTAACCCATCTACCAGAAGTGGGTTCAGCGCTTTAGTCATTTGATACTGTTCGCCTAACAGGAGGGATCCAACTGAAGGATGCACCGCGTCAGTGCGTCTCCTAAGCATTGAAAGTCGGCATGGGCACATGTCGTGGACCCACGGTGAAGTGCTTAATACGTTGATAGCTGGTTTTGCTTTCACGTTATGGCACCTCCTTTTAGGTTACTAAGGCACGCCCTTTCACTGTGGTTAAGCCCAACAACTAGGCATAGGCACATCTGGCATTCATCGGCATTGTCTCCTCAACTCGTGTGCCCATCCTGCATGAGCAGTACTAGGGAGATGTCCCGTGGGGATATGCTAGCCAATGTGTGGAATCGACTGAGTCGCAGAGGTGGCGTACTCGCATAGCTATGTGGTTCTTCCAAATAGTGCTGTGCAGGATACCGGTATACTATGTATCCTGCGTGGGATGACCGACTTCTAACGAACTTCTGCATGTCTGTGGTGGATGTGCCGTGGTCAGTGTGGTCATGTGTTTCGTGATAGTGTGGTAGAACAGACCCCGACAAACACCCAACAGCGCCAAGTGGCTGCTGCTGCATGTAAGCGCTACCCCTGATGCGGTTTGGCACGCATCCATAGATCTCAGCCACGGAATCGTACGTATACCCTCTAGTACGAACAAGTTTGTGCTACGCTTTGTCCGCAACAATTGTTACACATGCACATTTTAAATACAACGGTGCACTGCATCAAGCCTCAGGCATGTGTGCATGCTTGAAATCGAGTGGCAACAGACTTTGCAACATTTGGCAATGTAAAACCATGCACGCCATATTATAAGCACAAGTCAAGCCAAATCCGTTCCATTCTGATAATAAACAGTCTTTAAGCCACATCATAGCCCATTATTAAATCACTGTGATCTAACTCGTTAAGTTAGTACGGATTACGAGATCATCTTTGGGCAATGCGTGCAGAGCGGATTTCAAGGTCCTTCAGTGTTGTCAGGGCTCACACGCCTAAATACAATCTCGCTGCAAAACGTTTGTTCACAACCATTCATTACTATTACATACAGAAACATCGAAGGGCCGTTCGTCTCAAGGAATGTCACCAGTCTGGAGTACGGAATCAGAGATGACCACCACAAGTCGTACCCATTGCCCCCACAATTACATACACAAGCACGCCACCTCACAACAAGCAGCCCAATTCCTTAAGGACCACTGTAAAGGTCATCCATTCAAGCAACCCATCATCGCAAGCCCCACGCCCCTGCGTAAAACCTAAAGCTTGCCCGAACACACCCAACCCTCGCCCGCCTCCACCCCACCTCCTCCTCTCACCCCATCGCTCCGCCTCCCAGCCTGTAAAAGTCTATAGATCTGCCGTTGGTGACCACCAGCAGGTCCTCGAAGCACGCGATCTGCTGGATGGGCATGGTGGTGTACACGTTGGCCACCTCACGAGGGGCCAGCGAGGACAGCGAAATGGACGAGGGAGAGGAAACAGCCGCAATCGCCGCACCCGCTGCCGCCCCCTGTTGCTGCGGTCTCTGCTGGGCCCCCGCAGCCGCGCCCGCCTCCTCCTCCCTGCTGGCCGCCCCGCCGCTGTCCTCCGCTGCCGGCAGCTCCAGCACCTGCAGGTGCATGGCCTGGTTCTTGTAGCCGCTGCGGCTCACGATGAGCTGTCGCTCCGCGGTGCCGTCCCCCAGGTGGTCACACGGGGCCACCGCGCAGCCCTCCAGCCCGCTGCCGTCCAGCTCGCCCAGGGGCAGCGGCGGGGTCACGGAGCCCTCCTTGGAGGTGCAGGCCTGAGGGAGAGGGTTGCGCAGGGGGAAGGGAGGAGGGGAGCGGAGAGGAGGGAGGTTTTGGGGCAGGGCGGGACAAGCTGTGTGTGGGGACAAGCGGGTAAGGGAGGTTTGCATGCGTTAACACAGCCGAACAGGTATGTTAGCTGCAAACGCCGAGGGCTCAGCATGCAGCATGTTCGACAGCTCGCAGCAGCGTGTGGCTGTCCTGGCCGGTCCAGAACACTGGTGCCCCTCATACCCCCTGCATTTTCGTACCTTTTGTACGTCGTACACATCAATCCGTTCGCTGAAGCGGCAAGCAGCTACCAGCATCGTACCATCCTGCAAAGGATGAGGGCAGTAGCGGCAGGGGTGACGACCTTAGGGTTGCTGTACCAGGGCACTTGTGATGACTTCCAGGCATGCTAGGCCCATGCATTTGCATTTTTTCTCTGTGTTCCCTCCTCCGCCAACCTCATCCCCACCCGCCCCGCCCTCGCCCACCTGCGTGAAGCACAGCGAGGTTGCCAGATCAGGCGCCGAGGGGTGGCACATGCGCGCCAACGGGCTTTGCTGGGAGGGACGCCACAGGTACACCTGGAGGGGGGCGGCGGCAGGGGCGAGAAGGGAAGGAAGGGTGAAGCTTACGGTATTGCATGCACACAGTACACATAACCCCACTACGATACACTGCGTTCCTTCAGCTGCACATGTACCTACCACGTTATCAAAGCTGGCGGATGCCAGCATGTCTCCGCTGCTGCTGAAGACGGTGCAGCTGATGGCCGACTGACACTTGAGTGTCTTGAAGGGCTTGCAGGTGCGCAGGTGGGAGGGCTGCAGGCCCTGCCGCCGCAGCGCCTCAACATCCCAAAGCGTGAGACTGCTGGAAATCTGCGCGCGGGGAGTGGGTGGGGTGCGGGCGGTGTCGGCAGTGGCGGTGCTTTGATGACCATAACATGGCATAACTTTGGCAAGGGCTCTGCGAAAGGAAAGGTATGTATGCAGTTGTTCCAGTCAACATGTAACTCCATAGAATTGAACCCTAAGCAGGGGCTCTCCACCAGGTTAGGGCCCTCAAGAACTCCCTTTCGCGACCCAGCAGTGCCCGCGCTCCTAAGGTCCCCTACCAGGCGTCCACCGAAGAAGTCATCGTCTCCATTGCCCGCCCCCACGCCGCCTCCGCGACCGCCCGTCCTCCGTCCCGTAGCTCGCCCCGTCGAACCGCCCCGAGCTCTGCCGTACATTCCCCCACCAGCGCCCTGCATGCCACCCCCACCGCCGGATAACAACCCCCGCTCCTGCAGCTCCCGCGGGCGGGTGCCACATGCGAGCAGTAGCTTTGTGGCATCAGCGGCGCTAGCCCCAGCAATGCCAGCAGCAGCGGTGGTGCTGCTGCCACCGAAGGCCTGGCTGGCGGCTGGCGGGAAACAAGAGGTCAGGTCTCCGCCGGCTGTTGCTGTGTAGGAGGGACGTGAGCTGGCGGCGAGGGTGGCGGCGGGCGTGTGGTGTGTGAGGGCCAGCGCGCTGACTGCGGCATCGGGTACCTGCATGAAGTGGGGAGAATACGACGGAGACACGTCAGGCAGCAAGTGAAGGGTGGATGGCACGGCCGTCTAAACCCAATCTCAAGATCAACCTTCTGCACGCCTCCTCGCTCCCTCGCCTTCCTCCCCACCCTCCTCCCTCCAGCTCCCGCACCTGCAGCGCCAGGTCTAGCTTGGCCACCTGGCTCCACCCCTCCCTGCTGCCCGCCCCCGCCGGCTCCTTGGCCCACAGCAGCACGCTGCCGCACACGGAGCCCGACGCCAGCAGCGCGCCCTCATCGTCGAAGGCCAGCGCGCTGACTGCGCTGCCGTGCCCCTGCAGCACCATGAGCTGCTGGTTGGAGCGGGTGCTCCACAGCCGCAGCGTGTGGTCGTCGCTGCCGGACGCAAGCAGCTGGCCGTCGGGCGACATGGAGAGCACGGTGATGGTGCCCTGGATGCCCCTGCAGGGGAAGGGAAGGGTGGGGGGGAAGAGGGGGGGAGTGAGAAGGAATTGGTAGGGGCAGGTGGTAATTTGGCGATAGGCGTGATGCGGTGGTTAGGGTTTAAGTGAAGAGCCAACCCAAGGGCATAGGGTACGGTAGATATTGGCGATAGACGGCAAACCATGCTAGGAAGTAGATGGCGTGGATTAGAATGCAAGGTGAAAATAAATTTTGTGCGACATGGCTGAATGCATGCACGGCATAGCATGGGAGGCAACATATGAAAGGCAAGTCAATCCGGAGCAGTGAAAGAGAAATCTCCATGACTCACTTGAAGTCGCGGGCCTGTACGGCGTCTAGCTGGTCTGGAGAGTTGGTCGGCATGATGTCCCACAGCCGTACGGTCTCATCCTGTACGAATCATAGCGTACGGCAGGAGGAGACGAACAGCAGCTTAGAAAGCCTCATTGTGCATAAATGTCTAAATACCATTGTCCTCAACAATGCCCACAGGTATAACATCGAACAGCAACCAAACACCAGCAGTGTCAGCGGCAGCAGAAGCAACAAAGCAACATCGGGAACAGTCCACATTATCAGCACAGTGACTATGCCCACCTCCGATGCCGACGCCAGGCGGCTGCCCTTGGAGTTGAAGGCCACTGCGTTCACATGCCCCGCGTGCCCGCGAATCTTGGCCACAGCCTCCCAGCCGCAATGCCCCTCCGGCAGCTCGAGGCGGCTGGAGCGGCTCCAGAGCCAGATGGTGGAGTCGTTGGAGGCGCTGGCGATGACCTGGGTGGGTAAGGTAGGAGGGGAGAACATGAAAAGTGCAGCAACGGAAGGGGAAGGGGAGTTAGGTAGACCTAGATGATGGCAACGGTGAAAGGGGAGGGTAAAGAAAGTATCCGGAGACGGTTGAGCCGTTTGCGGCACTGGCTGGCAGTTGATACCCTGAGGAGCCTCAGCAGCAGCAGCTGGAGTCGCGTGCCTACCTCGTGCCCTGCGAACATGCTGACTGCCACGCTGTTGATGCGCGCCGTGTGGCCCCGCAGAATGGCCACGCAGCTGGGCTCGGTCTTGCCCTCAGCCGGCAGCGACCATAGTCGCACCGTGTTGTCCCTGGCAGCAGAGAGGGAGGCCGGAAGAGGGAAGCGGGGTAAAGAATGAATGACCGTTACAATGGTTCCCTAAGAGGGAACACGGGTAGAGGAGGAGGGTAAAGAGGAAACAACTAACCGACCGTGTGATAAGGCTGGGAGGAGGAGGGCAACTAGGGTTGCGAACAAGAACGACACTCTCCTGACGTACCATGAGCCGCTGACGAGCATGCGGTTCTCCGTCTTCTCTTTCCGAGGTCCAAATGCCACGGACAGGACCCAACTTTCGTGGCCCTGCAAGCCAAGTCATGGAGGGCGCGACGCAGCGGCGGGCAAAGGCATTCGTTGTTGGAGCACAAGCAGTTGGGACTTGTCGGTGCCGCTGCCAGGGCCACGTTAATTGGTAATAAAAAAAACAGCAGGTTCATGTTGAGGAGGCCGGACAGACAACACGTAAGGCCTTGAAGGCTACTGGCACTTGAAGCCAGATAACGTTAAAGAGAGAGCAACTGCAGCTTATTGGGCAGTAATAATGGTGGCGCATGAAGCGGTGACCCACTCTTTACCATGTGCCCATATCTCAACCTATTTCAAAGTGCAACAGTGTCGAGCCCTTCGTGAATGCTGCATCTCACCCGCAGCACCACTCCCGATCCCGGCAGCTCGGGCAGCCACTCGGGTCGTTCCGCGTCGCTGCCCGTGATGTGTCCCACGTGGTAGAGGCGGATGGTGGTGTCCTCGGCGCTGGAGGCCAGCAGCAGGCCGTCGGGGCTGAAGGCCAGCGAGCGGATCACGTCAGTGTGCCCCTTGTACAGGTCCACCTGCGCACGCGGCAGGGAGGGAAGCAAGGCGAGGGGCAGGAAGGCAGGCAGGGGTGGGAAAGCAGAGGGGAATCGCCGCTTGTCTGCAACCTGACACAGGTGGCACGCCTGTTGTGGGGTTCCTAATTTAGGGCCGTCGATAAAAGCGCGAAGGGGAACAAGGCTCCAAGCCATTCCCTAGCGCACCTGGGATCCACGGGGCACGTTCCAGAGTCGGACGGTGTAATCGTTACCCGCAGAGGCGATGTGGTTCCACTTGAGGCTCTCCCAGGCCACTGCTCGCACGCTGCCGGTGTGGCCTCGAAGCTCCCGCACGCATTCAGACGTCTCGCAGTCCCATACGCGGATGCTGCAGTCTGTTGACGAGGGAGGCATGACGGTTACGGCAAGGTGACCTTGTGACAGAAGGCGTGGTAGTGAAAGAGGCGGTTGTGGGCGATAGGCAGGTAGCATCAGGAGGACATCAGGTGGGTATGGAGTGATTGGCGTGTAGCATGCGCCTTCTGGTGCACCGTGCGTGTTGTGGGTGAAGGGGTGAAACGTCAGCCAGGGGATGTAAGCAGCGCAGCTATGGTACGCACAATCAGGGTGACGAGCTCAAATAAGGTGCTGCAGCAATTCCAGTAATCCAGATCCGTGCATGGCTGTCAAGGCACGTACCGTCAGAGCAGCTAGCGAGCATGAGGTGGGGGTCCCCATCCGTGTCGCAGTCCTGCAATTGGGAGAAGTAAGCGAGAGTAAGGCAAACTTTATAACGAAGGCTGATAACAAGTCCTTTCTCAAGTCCTTTCCCCAGCAGGATGCCGCAACCACTGCATGTGCGCCCGCACCGGCGCTTCAACCGCAACACGCGATACAGTGCAGCGCGCCCGACTTTAGTTACAGTTAGGCGACTACTGTGGTACCTGGTAGCCAAAGCAGATGGCCACAATCCAGCTGGTGTGACCCTGCATGGGGAATCAGGGTGCATGGAAAATCAGCCCATGGGCTTGCATGGATGCATGGGGATTCGCAGTCATTGGGAATGCAGTGTGCATGGGGATTTAAAGGTGAAAATTAACGATGGGCTGCATGGGCCTCAGGGTCGGGAAGTCGGGGGCACGCACAACATGCAGGAATGCTGTTCGCTCACCTGCAGCACTGCATGCTGCTTCCCGGTGCTCATGTCCCACAGCCGAATGACGTTATCTGCGCACACAGACCGCCAGTACCGTAACAGCAGGCAGCAGTTGCAGTATCAAATGTCGCTATGCAAGCAGGTACCGCAGCAATATACTCTCAAGAACCATTAGAATGTCATCCAATCGTTCGGTCGCAAGGTCACACGACCACACGAGCATCGGTGCAGCAGAGAGGTTGTACCGCATCGTCACGACATGCATGTAAAATACTGACGGCGGATCTTCACCATCCCAGCAGCAGGCGGGGCCCCTTTTGATCCTCGCGTTCTTCCTAAAGCCCACTTACCGTCAGCGCTGCTGGATACGAGCTTGTCATCTGGAGAGATGGCGATTGTCTGGAAGCTGCCCGCGTCGCCCTGCAACAAGCAAGAAAGTAAGCTTGGCGTCGTGTTTCCACCCCATACAAGCAGCAAAGCAGCCTCTTGGCCTAAACCTCCTCCCATTCCCACATCCAGCCCCTCTCCCATTCCTACCCTCCCAACCACCACCCTACCACTCCCTCATCCATCTACGTCCATCTACGCTTCTCCACTCCCACTCCGCCCCTCACCCCTCCACCCACCTGCACCCCTGCGACCTGCTGCCCCCGCGTTGCATCCCACAGCCTCACGGTGGCGTCCGCCGCGCCCGACCCCACCGCGTGCCCAGTGGGCGAGTACGCCACCGCCGCGATCTGCCCGATGTGCCCCTGCATCATGGCCAGCTGCTGCCCCGTGCGCGCGTTCCACTGCCGTACGCTGTCGTCCGCGCCGCCCGACACCAGCGTCATGGAGTCGGGCGAGAAGGCCACGCTGGTGACACCGCTGGAGTGGCCGTGCAGGACCAGCTGCTGCTCGCCTGGGGGAAGTTGGCAGGGAGGGAGGGGGCGCGGAGGGGGGAAGGATTAATGACAAGAGGAGGATCAGCAGATGTACCTTGTGGCGCTAGGTGTAGATGCTTCTCATCTGTCCCTAAAGGTTTTCCCTAGTCGGGATCCCCAAATAGAATATGTCTCATGCTTCCACATAGCCTCGTTACTACCACTGATGGGGCGCACGGAATAAGAGCATGCAGCGAATCCCGGGGTACGACAAGCCTGACTTCCAGCGCTGCCTTAGCCTTCAAGACTCACCCGTGGCCACACTCCAGATGCGCACCGTCTTGTCCTGCGAGCCGGGCAGGATGGGGGGTTTGTCCTAGTTAAGCCATGCCTATCAGGCTTGCCTACTGGATACCCGGTCCAAGACATTCACTCATTTTAACCAAAGCCGCAGTGAAGGGACCGATACCGCGAGCCCTATACCGTACCCTCAGCCCTCCCCTACCGCTCCCCACCACTCCTTACCGCTCCAGCTCAGTCCCCCTCTTCACCATTCACAGCCCGTTGCGAGAAACCCATAAACATTACCCCCTCCCCTCACCAGCGACGCGGTCGCCACCCTCTGTCCGTGGCTGCTGAAGGCGCAGCAGATGACCCAGGAGTCGTGTCCCCTCAGCTCCCGGTGCAGGCGGCTGGCGCCCTGCCCCGCGGGCGCCACGTGCCACAGCCGCACGGTGCGGTCCTCGCTGGCGGAGGCCATCAGGCGGCTGGAGGCGACTGGGCTGAAGGCAACGCAGCGGATCACGTCGGTGTGGCCCTGGGCATGCATTGGGAGGGAAGAGGGGAGGGATAAAGGGAAGACCAGGGGGCGGGTGGAGATGGATGGGGTCAGATTAGGACAGCACTTTTTGGCATGCATGTGACACAGGGAAGGCAGGGCGGAAGAGTGATGGTGCCGTCACGCGTCACTACAGGTACCACCACCCACCGAAAGCACTAGGAAGGGTGCGACGGGGTCACCGGGGGTCTTGGGGACGGTCCACAGCCGAACGGTTCGATCGTTGCTTCCCGTCGCCAGCAGCGTTCCATCGGCAGAGAAGCTGATGGCACGGACGCTGTGTGGGGAGGCGGGCAAGGATAAGGTACATAGCAGGATTAGGCATGCGTGCATTAAATGATACGGTATAGGATGCCGCATATCTCAATATCAGCACTCGTGTAAGAAACCTGGGCCGTTGCTACACCCATATGCTACACTGCCGCACGTTGGGTAGTACCGCTAGTTCACGCTCTTGCCACACATACCGCCACCCAACCCCATCATCTCCGTGCATCCACCACACTCCAGCCGTGTTCCCAATCCGAGACCACGTACCTTCCGTCATGGCCTTGTACCACACTCAGCAGCTCCATTTGCAGGAAGCGCCCCTCCGGGTCCTGGAACGCGGGGCACGTGGCCACACATCGGTACGTGTCTTTCATGTGGTGAGGGCTTTTGCACGGGAACTGACAAAGAAGACGGCTTAACAGCAGGCTCTTAACAGCCGTGTCTCCCCAGGATGCCTGGGCTATGGTGTGGTGGGAGTCATGGTGTGATGTAGTACAGCTCTTAACACGACGGGCAGTGAGCCGGATGACATGACGCACCAGAAGAAGCAGCACCAGAAGCAGCAACCCACTTACTAAATTGCGCTCCTCCAAATTTGTTTCTGGACCGGCCAGCTTGCCCTTGCGTCGCAGTGCATTGGTGAAGTTGGTGACGGCCTTGGCCTGTTCACCTGTAAGCTTAATGCTCTCCTGTACAAGAGAGTAAGGCAAAGAAGGGGAAAGAAGTTAAGCACCCGAATCCCAACGCCATCTGCCCAAGAAGCGGGTTTGTACAGGGATGGGGTTGTTGCAAGGGTGTAGCATGGGGTGCCAGAATGAAATAGGTAGTCTAATTCAGCACTAACATCAGCTAACTATTACGCCTGTAAATTCCCAGTAGTTGGGGCTTACAGCATGCTTGTATGCCGTCCCAATGGTCGGCGACCCAAGGGTCACCTCTGCCGAATCCTGCAGCACGCAAGACGCACCTGGATTAGCCACAACCGGATGGTCTTGTCCGCCGAGGCGGTTGCCAGCAGGTACGAGCCGCGGCTGTTCAGCAGGCAGCCACTGCCGTCGTCATCCACGGGGCTGAAGTCGAGGGCGATGATGCTGCCGCTGTGGCCCAGCTTGCCCGTTGCGTCGCGGGAGATGGTCTTGCACTGCGCAGAGAGGTAGGACAAAAGTACATGGAAGGAAGAAGAACATACGATCAACGATTTCGATCACAAAAGGGGCATGTGGTCAGCAGTGCGCAGGAGAGAGCCCGTGAGCCTGAGGATGCTCGGGGGATGTAATACAAGATGAGCACAACAACACTCTTGTGGGACCGCGTTTTGAGCTCATGCGCTGCACTTCGTCAATTCATTTACCGCCCTTACCAACGCACCTTGATCCACTTATTCTCGCCGCAGTCCTTCCAAATGGTCAAGCCGGCGTCATCACTCCCCGAGGCGAGGAACTGGACAACAAAAGGGACAGCGGAAGGGCGCGGAACACAAAGCGGTGCAGCGCCGTGTGATGGGTTTACACTTTGCGAAAGGATAATGACGGTGTACACGGTAAGCGGTAGCAACAAGGTACAGGAACCGCGAAGCGTCCAGACCGCAGCGCTGCAAGCCGACCCGCAATAAGGGAGTGGACGCCCGGCTTCTAGCTTATAGAGCAGCAAGGAACTATAGCGCGCAAGATGCCGGAGTGGTCATATGAAAAGGCACAACGTGGCATTCCGCCCTTCCCTCTTCTCCATACCTTGCCGTCAGAGGTGAAGGCAATCGTGTTGACTCCGCTCTCATGGCCGTGCATGACCGTCACCTGCGGATGGAAGAGCGCAATACAACTACTGGTATTGCGGCAGGCACCAAGGAGGGATTTGCTAAGATCCGCCCTCCTGCCTCGCCTTGATAGCATCCTTTGCACCTCTCTCCCAACTCATCCCCTACCCCTTCCTCAACCCCACACACGCAGGATGTTGTCTCCTACCTTCCCCAACCCGTATTTTCCCACCGCCCGCCCATCCACGCACCCTCCCCTCCGCTCACCTGCGGGTAGTTGTTTGTGTCCCACAGCCGCACCTCCGTGTCGGAGCAGCTCGCCAGCACCATGCCGTCCGGGCAATCGAAGGACAGGCTCACCACCGCGCCGCTGTGCCCGTGGAACACCGCCAGCTGCTGCCGAGACACCACGCCCCACAGCCGCACGCTGCAGTCCTCGCCCGCGGAGGCCATCTTGATGCCGTCGGGGCTGAACGCCACCGCGCGCACGCAGGCGGTGTGGCCCTGCAGCTTCTGGTTGGGGACCGCCCAGTGCTCCTCGGAGCCGGGGGCGCTGCTGCCATCGGGGCTGCTGCTGCCGGCGGGAGGCCGGGTGTACCAGAGGCGAACAGTCCTGGAAGGGGAAGGGAGAGGAGGAGGGAAGGAAGGCAGCAGCAGCAGGCAGTTCGAGGTGAGGAGGGCGGCGACGCGGCAGCATGCAGCGGAACATTAGCAGCAGATCCGCCTCTACGTGCCAGAGACGCAGCGGTTGAAGTACACCAACACAGGTATGTAAGTCCTGGATGTGACGGCCTAGCACACCAGTTTCCTTAATATAAAGCGTCGCCGTACATACCTATCAGCGGACCCCGAGGCCAGCAGGTGCTGCGGCGCTGCAGTGGGTGAGGAGGCGGCGGCGGAGTGGGCGCCCGAGATGCTGACGGGGCGGGTGGTGAATGCGACGCACTTGACGCTGCTGATGTGGCCGCGCAGGATGGCGCGCAGCTTGAAGCCCTCCGTCTCCCACAGACACAGCGCCACGGCGTTGGTGCTGGCGTCGTCATCAGAGCCGGTGGCAAACTGCGCACGGGGCGTGGGGCACACACAGCGTAGGGCCGATGGAGGCGTTAGGCAGGCATGCAGACACAGGGACAACAGCATGAGGAGGGAGTCGAGGTATGGGTGGATGACTAGTATGCTCGCGGCACATCTACACAACCCACCAGTTGTCCGTCGATGCTGAAGGCGATGCAGCGAATGACCTTCTTGTGTGGCTTATCCTGCGAAATTGGAAAGGGACCAATCAAGCGGCATGTGAAGCATGTGTGTTATCTCTGCTTGTGAAGCTCACAAATACCTTCCCTTCGGCCTCGGCTGCTTCTGGGGCGCTCAGAAGCGCAGTAGCCGAGAGTACATCGGAAGTAATCATTAATGCACGCACGGCTTGATCGATACCTGCCCATCGTCGGTGAAATGCGAGCACGGACGGACGAACAGAGAAAGGGAACACCCTACCTGGATGATGGTGACGACCGGTGAAGCCCACATCTTGGAGGGATCCTCCTCTGCATCCTCCACCGCAGCTGGGGCGGCGGCGGCGCCCGCAGGCGCCAGCTCCACATCGCCCTCATCTGTCAGCCGCGCGCCAGCGTCACGTGACGTGCTGTGGAGAGGAAAGGGGGCCTTAAATCGTTGACTCATTCAAGCATGAGGAACTTGGGGCTACCGCACTGGTCTAATTGAACTCATGTTATCCTCAGTTACATTTTGAGACGCATAAGTTTATCCAATTGCATACAAGTCATACACATTCAGTCCCACTCACCCTCCCGGCGTCCAAACCCTGAGCGCCAGGTCGTCTCCCGCTGACAGAATGATGCGGCCGTCCGGTGACACCGCCAGCGCGCGCACGGTGCCGGTGATGGCGCTGTTGGACTTGCCCAGGTCAGCGAACTGCTGACCCGTCTTGATGTTCCACAGCCGGACTAGGGGGATTAAGAGAGCAGGGCAGACAGGGGCAGGGCCGCAAGGGGTGGAGGAGGTAGGTGTGCAGGCTAGCAGTGTTTGCACGCTAGAGGGCTGAGGGAATAGGATGTGAAACAAGGCAGGCAAGCAAGTCCAAGCGACGCACGACACTCGCACCTGCAGAGTCCTTGCCAGCGCTGGCAATCTGGGTGGTCCCGTTGTGCATGGAGGCAACGGCAATGCACTTGACCGCGGGAGGCAAGCCCTGGTACGCCTGTGTGGACGGCATGGCAGGAGGATTATATCTTTATATGGGCACAATAGGCTGGCCGCTCATGTGATGTGCATATACCGGTACTTTAGGAAAGCAGGACGGCGACAGCATCAGGCCTCATGAGAAGCATACCCAAGCTCTCACCTGTATGGGCGGCTGCATTGCGAACAGCAGGTCCCCCGAGCGCATGTCCCACACGCGAACCACGCCATCGTCCGCGCCCGTCACCAGGCGCAGACTGCTGCCGCCGTCCTCCTTGGGTAGGAACGCCTGGGGGGAGGGATGCGCGTCACAAGCATATCCGCATACGCTCCTGGAGTGCATGGATTTGACCCTCCCCCCTTGCCCCTGCATGCTCCCCCTCACCACTCACCACCGAGTTGGTTCTGTGCACGCTGTTCTCCAGCGTCATGAGGTTGGAGGGCCAGCCCGCGTCCTTGTTGACCAGGTGCGCGTGCGGGTGGCGGTGGTAGCTGAGCGCCGCCTTGGACACCAGGCTGTTCACCGGGGTGTCGGTGGCCAGCTGCAACACGGCCTGCGGGGAGCGGAGAGGAGAGGGTTGCAGGTCAGAAGGCACAGCAAGGCACTTTACAGCAGCCCGACTAAAGCACCCCAATCCATGCCCCATTGCCCCCGCTACCTCCCACGCAGCAGCCCCACCTTCGGGTACTGCTTGAGCATGGCCCCGTCCCGCTGCAGCCAGCGAATGACGTGTGAGACCACCGTGGAGGAGGCGGCAACCACGTCAGCAGAGGCAATGAAGTCCTGACAAGGGGATGGAGGGAGGCGAGAGGGGATGGCGGAAGGTGAGACAGGGGCCATGCATGACGGGCATTTAACACATCCCAACAGCCGCGTCGATGCTGGCAACCTAAGAGCCACTTCCTCCGCGTCAAGGCTTTTTGAAGTCAGCACCAAAGCTCTTCCCATGTCCCTACCACAAGCCAGTCATCAGCCAGCCCTCCTACCTTTGGCAGCTCCCATCCGCGGATGTGGATCAGGTCGCCCAACACCTCCAGACCCAGACCTGGTGCAAGGGCGAGGCGGGAACGGACAGTCAGTCCGAAGCCCAAGAGTCATTCAGGAAGAGCCAATGGAGAACGCTGCCTTGAAGCCGCGCGCCATGCCCAGGCCTTAAAGCATCCGCAGCCCCTCCCCTACCCCTCCCCATCAGTTGCCCCTCAGCTTACCCTTTTCAAATATGGTTTCCCAGAAGTCGAAGTTGAGCAGCAGCTGGCTCAGCTCCTCCAGCATGTCCGCCAGCGCCAGGTGCGTCACGGCGTAGCGCAGCGTGTACTGGCTCACGGCGCTGATGGGGGAGGGAAGTAGAGGGGGCGGGCAGGGGCAGGGGGAAGAGAAGGTGCAGAGGGAGGAAGCGGAGGTGGGAGGAGCACAGGGACGGGGAAACATTAAGCAAGCCCTAACAGCCATGCAGGTCTTAACCTCATCTTCATTAGACACAGGGGGTTCATGCGCAGAAGTCGAAGCCACGTGCTATGAATGGACCTGCTAGAGCACCATCCCTTTCCCACCTTGCCGCCATGGGGTCGCCGCCTGCTGCTCCCCCGTTTATGACGGACGCCGCGCTGGAGGCCACCGCCGCTGCTGAGGGCGCCACCATGATCTCCTTGAACAGCTGCGCGGCGATCAGCTTGTGACCGCGTTGGGCGTCCACAAAGAAGGGACCGGCCTCCTCCTTGTTGGAGAGGAACTCGAAGAGCGATTTATGCATGTGGAAAACCTGTGGAGAGAGGGGAGCGGGTTTGAGGCGACGGTTGGGAGTTAAGGTGAAGGTGTAGGTAGGGTCGGACCTGGGAGCCGGGGGTCAACAAGCATCATGAAGCTGTTACGGCGCATGCTCACAGCTACCGGAGCAGTCCCAGGCAGGCCCATGTAAGGCCAAAGGTCCGCCTCCTCACCTTCCCGCCCAACTCACCATGTATTCCCGCTCGTAGAACAGCACACCCCATCCGGGCAGCTTTTGCAGGTCGTGCGGGCTGGACACCAGGTGCAGGGTCTGAAGCTGGTTGCGAGTCAGCGGCTCACGAGCTGCAAGAAGGACCTGGTGACGAGGAACGTCGCGGAGCAGGCAGACAGGTAAGTGCGGCGGAAGAGAGAAAGGGAAAGGACACGATCGATATGATACGTGTGGAGAGAATTTTGAATGGCTTATGAGAGCCCCTGCATCACGCGAGCCTCCCGTTGTCCCTTGGCGTAAAAGCTTATGATGTGGGCACGTGTCGCAGAGACGTCGAGAAGGTACCCCGTGAGAGACCCCCAGTCCTCCATACCAGCCATCATTCACCTGCAGCAGCTTCATGACCTGCGCGTGTGACTGCGGGGCCAACTTCTGGAAGCACTTGATGAAGATCTGCAGCAGGGACACAGGAGAGGGACGGAGGCACGGTTTCGAGGGTGCAGCGCAAGTTTGAGGAGTAAACATTCGGCATCATTAGCTCCTCTTCCCGCAGATTGGCTCCAGAGTGCTCCAGAGTCTCACCAAGATTGGCTCCAGACCACAGACCCATGGGTTGCGAGCCGCACCACCTTTCCTAAACAGGTAGAGACAACTGAAGTATGTAGCCATGCACGGTTAGCCCCATGCATTGTTTCCCCAACCCCGCGGTACCTGGCGATACGCTGCGTCCAGCCCGTTAGGCAGGTTCTTGATGTCCTGCCAGTTCCACCGGAAGTCATCCTCCGCGCTGGAATCCAGCGGACTCATGCCAACGCCGCCCACAACCCCCCTTCCGGCGCCGCCTCCAGCCGCCCCTCCTAGCGAGTCCACACCACTGGGTCCCGCCCCGCCACCGACACTGGCCAGGATGCTGGGTCTGCGGGGACAAGCATGCAACAACAGTACAGCACTCTCACTCCACCAAACCGTCCTTCCATTTGGCATCGCCCCGCCCCGTCCCGCTATTTTGTAGCAATGATGGCAGGGCTGGATGGAGCGCCAAGAGGTCCAAGGGTAGGGGCTTCAACGCTTGATGCAAGGGCAAGCTCCCCGTACCCTTGCCTTTTACAAGATATTACTGTTCCGGAATGCTAGCCTGCAACCAAGTGCCGTGGGCCCCTGGCTGCTTACTAATGTTGTTGTTGGTGTGAGCATAGGGGCAGCAGCCTGCTCCTTACCCGCGACGGGCGAGTGCTGCCACACTTCTGCTCATGTTTCGTTGCATCGGCAGGGACGTCCTGCAGGAGATGTCACAGGGACCAAAAGGGGACGGTGTAGAGGATGTGAAGACGCGTTATATAAAACCCGCTTGGCCCGCGGCACGAGGTGCTTCAGGCCAGGCATGTGGCTATTTAAACTGTTCCATGCATTTAAATGCGCGGGGTAGTGCCCCTGTTGCATGTTTTCTGCAACGTTTGGCCAGCTCCGCCAAAATTACAAAACACAGCGGTGAAGCGCATGATTCACTGTGTTGCACTGGTGGACCCGGCCGTGCTGCTGCAACATCTTCATTTCCTAGCACCTCAACTGCCACACGCGGCACCTACCATGTCGTGGACACCTTGTTAGCAGATGCCGCCAGCTCCTGGAGCAGATGCGGTATGCAAAAGGCATTGAGATGACATCACAAGTAGGGCGGCAGCTTTGCATGTTGCCTAAGGCCTGTGTACGGCCTGCCAGCAGCAAGCCTGACCACGTTAAGGCTCGCCAAGACGACAGTATCCGGTGGCTGGACTATAAGGTCTACAACTAGACCACTAGCCAGATCGCATTGCAATTGCACGAGGACCCGTCCTGTTCCTACACCCCCGACAGGCAAACCCAACAGACCCTACTTGCAACCTAACCTGTGGTGTGAAGGACGGCCCCTGGAAGCGCCCTCGGATCATCTCCTGTAGCTCCTGGTCCAGAGCTGCAAGCGCCTGGCTGCCCCCAGCCGCCAGCTCGCTGTAGAAAGAAACGAGAGATGGAAAGGGGGCAAAGGCTAAGCAAAACATCAAGCTAAGCGGCTACCAAGATCGCAGGTCGTCGATTCTCTGTGATGCACGGAAGCTCTACTTGCGGGACCCCGTACCGGACTAGGGTGCAGAATCGCAGGCATGGTTAGCAACAGCTCATCGCTAATGTAGTACTGCCGGCAACTAAGGGTAAGAGGAGCCGTGAAGCTCACAAATAACTCACTCACCTCATCCGAGAAGCCACAAGCGACTTTATGTTGGCGCCCAGGGCGGCCGCCGTAGCCTCAACATCCGCAGGTGTGGCGGCTGAGCTGCTGTGGCCACTGAGGACAGTTTTGTAGAGGTGGTAGCTTAGCAAGTATACATAGTATGTTTGCATTCAAAACATGGTAAGGCCTTGGGAAGTATTGGCATAGTATTTGCCTAGTCCCAAGCGCTGCAAGCAGGCAATATTTTCCTGTGCCGACAATGGTGCTATCTGAATAATCTGATGTCTGCTACTTAAGGAGTTAACTTGCAATGTATCGAAGTGGTATAGGTGCAGCGTAAACCCTGTTGATTGGCGGGTGCAATGCCGACCCATGGGTCTTTCGAAAGAAGTAGCTACTGGCAAACGCCAAGAGACAGCAACCAACAAGCTTACGAGTGCGGTGCGGCAGCGCGGTCTCCCACGGGCGGCGCCACCATGAAGACGTTGGCTCCCCCCGATTGCTGCCGCTGTTGCTGTTGAAGGGCCGCTGCCGCCATGAATGCGTTGAGGTCTGACACCGCCTTGATGTTGTCAAGCACCGCCTTCTCCTCGCGTTGCCGCTTGACTTGCTCCTGTAGAGGATGCGGACAGAAGCCGGTGACCAATGCGCTTTGTCTGCTGCTTGAACGCCGACAGCATTCGTGAAAGCAACAAGCACCAAGCCCCATGACAGGTAGGCTGCTGTGGGGCATGTTACCATGCAGCAGCTGGCAGGGACATCCCTTCTGGGTTGCTTTCCAACCCCCCATCCCAGCAGATTCCCACCTTGACTACCGCAGACATGTGCTCCAGCACCACCTTGATGTATACCATGCTGTCGCGGCTCTTGTCAGTGACCGCCTTCACGGCAGCCCGCAGCGTGTCCTGTCGTGTGTCAAAAAGCGACCGCGACAAAAATACAATTAACAGTAGTGTCCTGATTAGATACAGAGAGCACATGCGTTCGCTAAATTGTGCGGCGCCTTCCCACGTGTAATGGCCACGTCAACACACAGCCCACTACGTCGGTCGCAACGTGCGTGGGTCACATCTGCTGGGCAGGTCACCGGGTCATGCATGGAGCACTGGCATGAAAGACGCTTATACCGGCAACAGAGTTCGTTTATCACCAGGTGGCAGCCTAAAATGGCTTGCGTCTAGGCGCAAGACACGCGGTAACTACCTGTCAGGCCACCCCACCCTGCTCACCGGGTCATGCATGGAGCACTGGCTGGGGTCCAGCCGGCAGGCCGGCGGGTGCAGGTTCACCTCAAGCAGTTTGCGCACATGGTCGTTCTGCCGCAGCTCGCTGGCACCCTCGTACACCGTCGTACGCGCCTTGTCGTAGCGGCCCTGCAAGCGAAAGGAGGTTTGCAGATGTAATGCTCAAGTATTCGTGCTTGGTGGCGCATCCGTCGCCCCAAGGGTGTGGGACTCGCAAAGGTGTTCAATCTAAGGAAACATCAAGGACAAAGGACCCGACGAGTGGATCCCACCTTAGTGGTTACCGCCTTGACGTCCCTCATCTAGCTCTGGCAGCCATCAACCATGCAGAATGGGGTCTTTAATGTCCTCAAACAGGACGAATGTGTCCATCTACCCCGCACCACGTCTACGCACCCCAGCTACCCACCCGCGCCCAGCACACCCCCAGCGCTACGCACCCTGAGGCCAGCCAGCGCATCGTCTCCCTTGAACGTGTTGCGGCAGCTGACAATGATGTGCACGGCCGGGTGCAGCTTGGGGAAGTGCTCCCGCAGCAGTCGCAGGATGTTATTGTCCAGGGAGCCCGCGCGCCCGTCCGCCTCATCCACTCCGTCGATCATCAACACCAGCTGCTTGGAGCGACCGCTGGGGAAGGGGGCGGGGTCGGGAGGTAGGAGGTTGGGAGAGGTCAAGGCTGATTCGTACGGCGGCGCAGCAAGCGGGAGCGGCAGCGGAGTGGGGCAGCCATTGTACCGTATTCCGTATACCATTCAGCCTCAGATGCACCGGTGTCCTTTCTTGGGCACCCTACCTCGCTCGTGCATCACGTTGTCACTCACCGTCCGTCCCTGCCCTTGTTGGGCTCCGTCCTGCCCGCCGCCGCGGCTCCGCTCGGCAGCTGGCTGCCCTCCAGGTAGTCCTGAATGGGTCGCTGCAGCAGCTCCATGAACGCCTCCTCCAGCCGGGAGATCTTGGACACGGACTCGGAGGGCATGGAGGTGTAGATGGGGCGCATTTCGGGCACGTTGGTGGCGAGCTGGTAGGCCAGGGACTTGAGCATGCGGAGAGGGTCTGAGGAGGAGGTGAGAGGCAGCGGGGAGCAGGGCAGGTTGGGAGCCGCAGGAGCAGGGGCTGGGTGTAATGCATTGATGCTGGGGGCATCATGAAAGACGGGATCCTGAAAGACAATTAAGAGCTAGGACTATGAGTGGCACTGGACATAGCTACGCCCCACAGCGTAAAGTAGCGCGCTTTTTTCCCCTGCCGCACCTGTTCGGCGCCGGTCGCTCTGCTTGCAAAAGTGCAACGCATCCACTTGGACCTGCGTTTGGCAAATAGGGTATAAACGTTTGTCGATTCAAGGCCAAACGTTTGCTACATGACCCGTGGGTCACAGCAGCGGGTGCCGCTCACAGGCTATCTGAGTAGGGCGTCGAAGTCCCAAAACCCAGGCATCGGTGTTAAGGCTGTCATGTCTTTCCTGCATTTGCACGCCCCTAAGGAGCACAAGGAGCTCCCGGCAAACGCTCCCATGCTGATGGAACGTTGATCTAGGACCGGCTAGGAGAAGGTTGCGCCAATGGCGGGGAAGACGGACGGGAATCTAGCTACAAAGGCCTCTCAGGGGCCCTTAGGGTTGTTGCGCTGATCACACGCATTGTCGTACCTCGGGCAACTCCAACGCTGACATGGGATCGTCGCCTGGCGGTATTCCCATCTGCGTGCGACGGGAGGCAACGTCAAGACATGCTTCGATTAGTGTACCAAGGTACCGGTCATTGGATGAGCAGAAGAAAGCTACGCAGGAAAGTGCATGCACCATGGGTATATGCCGGTACATGCTGAGGGGTAACAGCCACCCATCCCACCCACCCACCATCCTCCTGTTTTCCCTCTCCCTCCGCTCCTGCGCTATCCTGGCCAGCGAGGCTGAGAAGGTGGACTTGCCGCTGCCCACCACGCCGTACACGATCATCAGGCTGGGCCCCGACACGGCGCGACCGCCGGCAGTGCGGCTGGGCAATAGGGGGGGAGTCAAGTGGGGGTGGAAGGAGGCAGGAGGCAGGGGCGGTACTGGGGTCAAGAAGGGCGCTAAGGGAAAGGTACTCGAAGAGCACAACCTGGAAGGGCGCTACTTTCCTACGGATTACATACTAGTATATACTCGCCCTGTAGGCATTCGGCCATGAAAGGCCACAAACAGTGCCAAGACGTGCCTACTGCCCCAAGTCAGTAGCACATACAGCATCCACTAGCAATCTCCGTTACTGTTGGTCGTGTGATGCCATATCCCGTTGCCCTCGTTTCCTTGCCCTGTCTGTACGCTCTACTTCGCAGCAGCTTCACACATTCATGTCACACACACCTGTCCTTCTGGAAGGCCGTGGGATCCATGCCGCGAATGCGCTCGACCACGGTATGCATGCGCCAGGCGTCGCGCGCCGCTGCCACCTGCGCGGCGGCGGAGGCGGCCGCAGCTTGCATGGCGGCGGAGGTCTTGAGTGGGTCTAGGCCGCTGTAATCCCCGCCGCCACCGGCGCCGCCAGCGCTGCCCTCGGGGGCGCCGGTCAAGGAGGCGCCACGAGCGGCCGCGTTTGCCGTGAAGGTGATGCTGGGGGGGCGGGAAGGGGTTTAGGAAATGGGTACGACGGTGGGAGAATGTACGGAGTTCCGGGGAGAGCTGCTATAGATATCGGTAGGACAAAGCACCTCCCGATTGGAACCATCCCTCAAGCAACAATGCAGGGCAATGCAGCCCACCTGCGCAGCATCTCCTTCATGTCGGAAGAGTAGTCCAGCGGGTCCTGTTAGCGGGGGTTAGGTGGAAGCAGTAGGGAACCATCTTAGTGGAGCAATACGTACGGCAAAAGGTCACTGCAATGAACGGCAAAGCCTTCTTATGAAGGCATGAGGACGCCAGTACTTAGTCACATATGACTGAAAAGTACGTCTTAGGGCGATGAGTATGTACGCAGTATGAAACACGGTATGTCCTTCCCCACAGGAATATTGCATCAGTCGTGGATTGGGCCTGCTGCATGGACGCGGTGACTTACCAGCAAGAACAGCAGCTTGAGCATTTCATTGAATTCATCCAGGGATTCGTACGAGCGTTCTATGTACTTGAGGATTCGCTGTCGGTCATCTTCGTTGGTGGCTTTTGCGGTCTTCACATCAATCGCCTGCGCGTCAGCGAACCCGAGGACAGTTAGGGTGATGACAATGGGAGAAAGGAGCGGTGAGACGCCAGAATCCCTCCGGGTTTGAGGTGCGCTGGAAGCATGCAAAGGTCTGGTCGTCTGGCCACTACTTTGGCTGCTACGGCGCCTTCCTCCCATCCATGCATCGCGATGTGACACAGTAGCACCGTAGTTTACACCCACACGCGGGGCATCTAGACTGCATCCTCGCATGGTAGCATACAGCGCTACCAGGTGCCACCAAGGAAGGTCGTGGGAATAGGGCCACGTCAATCGAGAGCCCTTATGAGGCCCTTTGAATTACCCTTGAGAAAACCCCACGTTGCCCGACATATCCTCACCTGGAAACAGTCCCGGATGTCGCTGTTGGTGAAACCGTACGTCAGCAAGTGCAGCGAGCCCAATCCCTTCTCACGCACTGTGATCCAGATCTCAAACAGGCACCACACGCGGCCCAGCGGACCCGCCTCGTGGTCCAATACAACCAACGTGCCTGCATGCAGGAGAGGTGCGTGGCGTTAATACGTTGTAACTGCACTACTCCAATTCCTAGGCCAACAAGCCCCTAGGGTCCAGGACCCAAAGCCCATAGGGTCTAGGGCCCAACGCCCCTAGCAATGCAGCATGCAGGCCACGTACCTCCGCTGGCAATGGAGATGGCGTTGTTGAGCTGCGCTAAGTCGTCCTGCTGCTCCTGGCCCGGGTGCTGAGGGGGGGGCAAAGGGAGGGATTGGGGTTGAGTTAGAAGCAAGGAGAAGGGGCAAGGAGAAGGGGCATGGGAAGGAGATTGGGAGGAAAGGAGGAGAAGTTGACTTCATGGCGTCAGGTTCAGCCTTTCCAGGATCGGACCAGCAGGCAGCCAAAGTGCTACACCAGCAGCACGACACCGGCCCTGCAGCAACCGGCCTGTTGCAAACTCGGCTCCGCACCGCCAGCACCCACCGTACTGCCTGCATTCCCTTTCCGTCCTCGCCCTACACCCTTCGCTTCCCTGCCTTCCGCTCTTCGCTCCGTCTACACCCTCCTCCGCCACCTCACCTGGTTGACAGCGAATATGTCGAGCCACACGTACACCTCCCCCGGCACCGCTCCGCTGAGGTAGTCCCTCACGGATCGCACCAGGTAGTGGAAGGGGCTGTCCCACTTGTGGCTGATGAAGTAGTCGGGGCGCTTCACGTGGCGGGTGGGCATCAGGTCCGTGAAGCGGCTCTGGCGCCCCACCGTGAAGCCCTTGACCAGCTCCTGAACCACCTGACCCGTGCGCCACTCGTCCGGGATCTGGCGGGCGGGGACGGAGGCGGGAGGAGGGGACATGGGGACGCGCAGGAGAGGGAGTAGGAACCACACCTCTTGTATTTCATGCCAATGTCCCGCTGCCTGCCCTGCCCTGGCGCGAGATACCGGTATGATCCCAGCCACTTATCCAGCCCACATCCCCTGCCGCCCTCCTCCTCCCCTCCACCACCCCTTCCCCCCACCCCGCCTCACCTCCCGGGCGAACTCCAGCAGGAACTCCAGAGACACGGCGCACTCGCTGACCTGCCGCCGAGCGTTGGCAGCAACCTCCTGCTCGCCCAAACCACCTCCGCCCACACCACCGCCCTCCGAGCCGCCCCCAGCTGCTACTGACCCCGCATCCGCACCCACCGCGCGGCGAGCCAGGTGGCTGGCGGCGCGCGCTCCCGAGCCGGCGGCGGGCGAGGCGGGCAGCGAGGGGCCCGCCGGGTCGTCCGCCGCCGCCGCCGCCAGTCGCTGCAGCAGCTTAGTGACATTCCACAGCCGCAGCTGCTCGTCCGTGAATTGCTCCTCTAGGCTGCGACTTCCCGTGAAGAGGCGGGGGCGGTTTGGGGCGGTTGAGGAGGACGGTGCGGAGTCTGCGGCGGGTTTGGCTGCGGCATCTGCTGGAGCTGCGGCTGCGCCGAATGCGGAGGCAGGGATGGCCTGTGCGGCAGCCACACAGCACAGGGAAGGAGGAGGGATGACAGGGCGGGTGGATGAGCATGCCGGATGGTGTTGGCGTAAAGGGAGATGGGGGCAGGAAAGGTCCTGGTGTGAAGCTGCTTAGCATGTGAGATGTGGTGCTGTGGACTGGGCAGGAACGAGGACGGGGTCAAGTGGGTAGGGAACGGAGATTCGAGCGGTCAAAGTTATACTTGGCCTATTGTCTGCTAGGTTTGGGCTACAGGAGGGACAGGGGTGACCACTTAGGAAAGGACACTGGAAACTCCGCAATGGCTTGCAGGTCCTTATTTAAGCAGCCGCCAGATTAAAGATTGGGGGCGCACCTCCTTCTCGGCCACAGCCAAGGCGTGCTCCAAACCCGGCGGTTGGTCTGGTGTCCCCGACACCGGCTGCCGCTGCTCCGTTACAGCAGTCACATTTCGAGACGCGCCGCAACCCTACATGGGTTATGGGTTGGCACATGGGCTAAGCATGACAGCCCGTGACGAACGAAAGGACCATGTCCACAAGCACGCCACTCGCACCATTTAAAGCAATATGTAATAGGAAGTTATACAACCGTTCCTTCTGGCGACTTTGACGAACAAAAGCTAGAGGCAAGCGTCCTGGTCATGTGAACCAGCATATTGGTAACCAGAGAAACAGTAGCTGCAACAAAAAAATTTTGAGTGCTCTTCAATTCTATACTGTTTGTGCATTTTCGAAGGAGCCGCTAAGAGTTTCGAAGAGTGTAAGGTCAACCGAACTGGAGCGCATGGAATTAACTAAAGTAGTGCCTTTCGCAAGGCTGTCGCGCGTTCAGCTACTGTCTTACAACGACTTTCCAAGTAAGCGGATGAAGTAGTTGAAGTACAACTGAAAAGGAATCTTTTATACCATAAGCAAACCGTGTGCCATACCCTGCCAGAAACCCGCAATGATACATAGTAGCGATAATGGCACGACGAATTGACAGTGCAGCCATCCTCTGAACAACGGCCTGGCACCTGGTGTTTACATAGCCGGCATCTGCACTAGGCATAAAAAACATACATAGCGCGACCATCCGCTGTGTGAGTTGACGCGCAACTCCTGCTTCCATCTTTATTCAGTTAGGCAGGCAGTCGGTGACGAGTCGGTCAGGTTGCTGCTGTAAATAGAGCTACTGTGCAAATATTTAGCCGCGCGGACCAAAAATGGCTGACGTAGGCGATTTCCCGGCCGTGGCGGCTCTGGTTATATTCTGCTTAGCTATTGTCTTTACGCTACTTCTAGTATTTAAGGCAGTGCGGCTCCGCATCCCCCTACGCGGACGCAACCCACTCGTAATAAATGTCAAATACTATATGGCTCCCGTCGCGGCGGTGCTGGCAATGCTCGCGTGCACGTCAATGTCCATCCGCGATGTCGGTCGGGGCCTGTTAGGCAACAGTCAGATTCAGCCATACGGTATCCTCATCCTCTTCATGAGCATGGCCTACATCGCAGGCGCTCTTGATGCAACAGGGGTAAGTCCTTTGTACGCAGCGCTACCTTTACGCATTTCGTCAACGATCGGCGGCCGACCCCTTTTTACAAACTGCCGTAACTGCAACACTAACCGCATCTTCAATCCTCTCCTTCCCTTGCGACATCATGAAGGTTTTTGCTTGGCTAGCCCTCAAGTTCACGGCCATGTCTGGAGGCAGGGGCCGTGTGCTCTTCCTGTTCTACTTCTTGCTCTCCAGCTTTATCACGACGTTCACATCAAACGACGTTTGCATGTGAGTGATGGGTGTGATGGATAACCCCGACAGCGTGTCCAGTAGGCGATGTGGGCCCAGCTCAATGGGTGTTGCATATATATTTGTAGCACGCCACTGAACGTGGCGACATGTAGGAAGAACCCAACTGTATGTATACCATGTGAGAAACCTGCTGCCTGATGAGGGGAAAGAAGGACAATCTCAATACGGAAGCTGGAACGGTTGCTTAAGCACCCCTGCTGCTGTGCCTTCTCCCACATATGCCCGCAGCCTGACCCTCACACCCATCGTCTGCTACTTCGCAAAAGCCACCGGCGTGGACCCCATGCCATTCCTCTTCGCCGAGTACGCTGCCGCCAACACCTTTGGCGCACTGCTGTACACAGGCAACCCGACCAACATCATCGTCGCGGACGCATACAACATGACCTTCCTGGGCTACAGCAAGTACATGACACTGCCAACCTTTGGTGAGCTTGTGACGTTCTTGACCTACCGGTACATAACGCCAATTGAGCTTTTACCATTTGTAAATACATATGCCTTATTCACGCACCATGCATCTCTCGGCAAACGCGCCTCACGCCTAGTCCCTCGTTTCCTCTCTTACTACTGACCCTGCCCCCAAGCACTCCTTACCACGCTCTCTTGCTGTCCCAATGCACTCCTTACACACCCCTGCCCCCATGCATGCCCCCATCCCTCCCTGCCTCACTGCCTACAGCCGCCGGCATCGTCTGCTTCGCCATGCTGCTACTGGAGTTCCACAGCAGCATCCCAGCCGCCATCCCGCTACCCGCCGTCGATGCCTCGCACATGCTACGTGACAAACTGGGTGCCGTACTCGGATCCATTAACATGCTGACGTGCCTAGGGCTGCTGGCAGCGGCGCCGTCGCTCGGCTGGGCCATGTGGGCCATTACCCTGGTCTGCGCCGGCGTGCACTGTGTTTACAACGTGTGGGCCTTCCGCTCCTCACTCACACATGTACCCATTGGGGAATGCTGGACTTGCGGCGGAGCGGCGGTGGACGAGGGCGGACGGGAGCATGGCTACTGCGGTGGCAGTGAGGAAGAGGGCTGTGCGGGAGGCTGCACGGCAGCGCATGTGGCGGAGGGCCCGGAAGCAGCAGGACATGCTGCTGCAAAGCTGGTGCTGGAAGAGGAGATGAAGCCGGGAAAGAAGGCGCAGCAGGCGGAGACGAAGGCGAATGGGAGGGGCTGCGGCCAGCAGCTGGCTGCCGTTCGTCAGCCAGCCGGGCTGTCAGCCCGCTCAGGCTGCTGCTGTGCCCAGAACAGAGCCACGTCAGGAGCGACTGCTGTAGCAACGGGAGCCGTAGCAGTCAGTGCGGGAGCCAGCAGGGAGGACTGGGCGCTCCAGTCCACTAGCACGAGCTCAGGCAACGGCGGAGGGACCAAAGGAGGTTGTGGCCGCCGTTGTGGCTGCTCCGCCTCATCCGTGGGAGGTGACGTTGTCGCTGCAGGAGGATCTCACCCAGCATGCTGCAGCGTCGTGAGCCCCTCTGTGAGCCCCTCGGATGTAGGCTGCGGAATGCCGGATCCGCTGGCGGTGCCAGGTACGGCAGTGATGCTGGCGCTTGCCCCGGAAACAGCAGTGGCTGCAGCAGGGGCAAAAGCGGATGGGGAAATGGAGGGGGAGCAGGTGCCGGTCGCTCCAGCCATGACAGTGGACTCGCTGCGCGGCAAGGCGCCAACGTTCTGGTCGCTGTTCTTCGACCTGCCCTGGGAGGTGGTGCCCTTTGCGCTGGGCATGTTTGTGCTGGTGGAGGGGCTGCATGTGCAGGTGGGTGCAGCAGTTAGTTGTGGTGGTGGTGCGGGTGCGGGTTGAGGGGGCTGGCGTGGTTGCTTGCGGGGCGGGTGGAGATGTAGTACAGGCGTACCGATGAGGTGGTTGTGCGTTCCTGGGTCTGCGGTGGGTCAAGTGCGGGTTTACCTTTACCTGTCGAGCATCACCTATTCCACAGGCAAACTCTCTGGACCGGTTGCACCTATCGTACTCACCTCATGCGCATGACTTACCCGCACCTCGCTGCTCCTCCGATGCACCTTTTCTTATGTTGCCATCGGTCTCCCAAACTGAAACTGCTTACAGGGCTGGCTGGACGTGTTCGGCTCCGGCCTGGGTCGCGGCAGCACCAGCCTGCCTGCGGCGGTGTTCATCATGGGCTTCCTGTCGGTTGCGTTGGCCAACACCATCAACAACCAGCCCATGACTATCCTGCTGACTCGTGTGGCCCTGGACGCAAGGTAAGTGGGGGGGCGTGCGTGCGTATGTGATGCTGCACATAGCATCAGACCCTGGGAAACCCACACACTCCCCTCTGGCTGTCACTAACTGATGCCGCTTGACGGATGGTGACGCGCGTGCTGCTTCACCTTTTGTGTCTGCGCAGGTTCACGGCCCACGTAGGCCACGGGAACACCCACAAAGCAGCGCTCTTTGCCTTAGTGCTGGGCAGGCAAGTTAAGGAACCGGAACTAGCGGGACAAGGTCGCTCATGGGTCCGTTAAACCAACAGCTATCTGTCTTCACTGTTTGTTTTCTAATACCGGTATCGGTATCCTAATGATGTGGCAACCCCGCCCACCCTGTTACGTTTGTTCCTCTTGACCTCGCAGCAACATCGGTGCCGTATTCACTGTCATCGGCGCGCTGGCAGGCATCCTCTGGTCTAACATCATGAACCTGCACGGTCGTACCATCACCTACACCCACTTTGCGCGCGTGTGCTGCCCGGTTGGCTTCATGACGCTGGCGGCTTCGCTGTTGGTGCTGTGGTTTGAATTTGCCGTCTTTCCGCATGATGACTAGGCATGGGAGCTAGGCCTATCTAAGGCATTTGGCTTCAGTATTGAGAGGCTCAATTCAACGTTGCTTTGCATCGGTGTGTGACAATTGTTTCACTGAAGATGACCTACGCGGGGTGCATCGTCGCCCCTGGAATAGACTAGTCTTCATTTCACATTATTGGGCATGTGATCGAGGGTGTTGTGGCTTACTATGTGCGGTGATGTGCAGTGGTAGGTGGTTGGGATGGTGGGAAGGTGCTTTGTTAATGGGCCCGCATCAGGAGATACACGCATGTAGGTGCACCCGGGTAATCCAGGGACCGCTGCTTCTTGCTTTTGAGAAGTAATCCTTCGAGGGCATCACACGGCGGGTTGAAGGCTGTCTTTTCCTTTCCGTGCTGTTGCCTGCCTTACTTGGGGTTTGTATGGGAGAAAGTATAGGGAAGTAGACATGGGTTGCGTGGTGTGTTACTCGCAAAGGTCGGTTGATTGCCGGGAGGCGTGGGCTGGTGGAAAGCGTGTCGCCAACCTCCATCCCATGCCTTCCCGTATTAAGGTATTGGTAGGCTCGCAACATATTTCGCTGCATACATGTCGTATACTGGTGGCCAAGGAAGGGCAATACAAGGCGCTGAAAAGGAAACTGCGCCCAACACTCTTTTACACATGGTCCTAAGTACCATGGTTACGGCAGTTTGTTCAGGGGTTACGGTTTGGTACTGTATAGTGTGTCGTGGGTCCAACTCGTTTAAGACCGCGGGGCTTAGCACAGCGCTCAGATGCTAGTTCGGGCTTCGGTGTTTTGTGCGATTGCTGTTGGGTTTCCACGCCTTTAATGTGCCGTGTACGTTAGTATTCTGTGCAATTCTGTGTTTGTGCAACTTTGCGCCTCCTTTGGTATTAAGTATGGCCAGTGCGGATGTGTCCCACGGGTCTTTTGCTACTGCAAAAGATGTAGTACATGGGTTTGTTGCTCATGCATCACAGCTGCGGAAACCCCATTGCTGTAGCATGGTCGTATCTGTTGGGCGCACATTATGCTTTCCGGATTCCTGGTGTGTTAACGGACTGCTCAAAGCTGAGGCTTATGTAAGGCTCCCACGCTTCCCTGCTTCGCATGCCGGGCTGCGCAGCGTGGGTTTTGTGTTGCAGAATTCCGGGGAGTCCGGTGAGCGGTGACTCCACGGGAAAAAGGCGTTCCACACCGCAATTGTTTATCCTCAACGGCGCCACCATTGATAAACCTAAGGGATTGCCTGATTGGGCTAAAGGTATTGGCTGGTGCATGGTGCACTTGGAGACGATTGCAGGCAACACAGGAAACGTAGGGCGTGGCCCTCACGTTGCAATCTGTAAGCCGTCTAGCTGATGTAAGGTCTTCAGGCGCGATTTTCTCAGGTAGCCACGTAATTGCATACCGGTATAGCAGTCACAAGGCGACACCGCCACTATATGTTGATGTTGGCCTTCAGCCAACACTGTCCAATACTTGCGTAAGAGTTCGTAACAGGTGATGCACTATGTCTGCCAGGCAAGCTTGACTACGGTATCCTACCCATAGGTGCCACGGCCGAAGGCCACTAACTGTAATTAATGGTATGAAGCTATGAACATAAGCTTATATATCTTAATTCTCTGGAAAGCACAACAGGCTTAGCTATTATCAAAGCTGTAAACGCTTTTGCCAGTCACATTAGTACGACTCGCCTGTCGTCTCCCTCAGGTGAACTGGCCACACTGACTCCAAGTCGTTTGCTTTCAGTTAGAGCGCAAGACCGCCTTTACCTCATGCCCTTGCTCGATGCGATCAGACAACTTGTCTTCCAACGTTTGAAGCGCCGCTTGCATGCTGGACTACCATCAGCATGGTCTTGTAAATGCAGCTAAAAGCCAAAGCAGTAAACAAGCTTAAGACTTACAAATATACATGGATAACTTTGAGTACCTCTCGAAGCTGCGGACTTGCAGTCGACTGAACCCCTTCGCTTCTTTCGTGACAAGCTACGATTAATAACTAAACTGATTCAGTACGCTTAGATAAATGGTAAGCGAAATAAGCGACAAGCCTCGCTTATTGTAGTGCAAGTTAGCAATGCTTGTTGCTCACGCCGTTTGGGCATCCACAGGGCTGCGGGGCGTCCCGCAGCGCGGGCGGACCAGACCGGCAAGTAGCTCTTACAGCGGTGCCGCGCTTGGAGTCTGTTGCAGGCAAAAGCGTTTCCCAAACTGAACAGGTAACGGTATCACGACACATCACGCCACGCATACCCAGCAATGCACAGTCGGTGCCGACCTATAAGGCCCAACACCTACTGAGCGCATGCCTCAGGTCCAGCATGACCTCTGCGTGGCCACATACATAGTCGCTGATGCTCAGAACTTGGTTATTTCAGGTTATAGCAGCAGCTGCTGCCCAACCGCTGGCCCCAGAACCGTCCATCGGCTCCGCAGTCCCCGCTGACACGGGCAGCGGTGCCTTTGCAACAGCCGCAACCTCTTTTCCTCTAGGAGTAGGCGCCCCAGCCATTGAAGAGCACTTCACGGACGAGCAGCTGCGGCTGTGGAATGTCACTAAGCTGCTGCAGCGACTGGCGGCGGTGGCAGCGGACGACCCGGCGGGCCCCTCGCTGCCCGCCTCGCCCGCCGCCGGCTCGGGAGCGCGCGCCGCCAGCCACCTGGCTCGCCGCGCGGTGAGGGCGGATGCGGGGTCAGCAGCAGCTGGGGGCGGCTCGGAGGGCGGTGGTGTGGGCGGAGGTGGTTTGGGCGAGCAGGAGGTTGCTGCCAACGCTCGGCGGCAGGTCAGCGAGTGCGCCGTGTCTCTGGAGTTCCTGCTGGAGTTCGCCCGGGAGGTGAGGCGGGGGGGAAGGGGTGGTGGAGGGGAGGAGGAGGGCGGCAGGGGATGTGGGCTGGATAAGTGGCTGGGATCATACCGGTATCTCGCGCCAGGGCAGGGCATGCAGCGCGGAATCGGCATGAAATACAAGAGGCGTGGTTCCTACTCCCTCTCCTGCGCGTCCCCATGTCCCCTCCTCCCACCTCCGTCCCCGCCCCGCCAGATCCCGGACGAGTGGCGCACGGGTCAGGTGGTTCAGGAGCTGATCAAGGGCTTCACGGTGGGGCGCCAGAGCCGCTTCACGGACCTGATGCCCACCCGCCACGTGAAGCGCCCCGACTACTTCATCAGCCACAAGTGGGACAGCCCCTTCCACTACCTGGTGCGATCCGTGAGGGACTACCTCAGCGGAGCGGTGCCGGGGGAGGTGTACGTGTGGCTCGACATATTCGCTGTCAACCAGGTGAGGTGGCGGAGTGGGCAATAAAGAGATGGGGAAAGGGAAAGAATAGGGAGAGAGGACGGAGAGGCCGGTGTTTGTGCTGGAGGGTATTAAATAGGGCTGCAGGCGGGCATATAGCATCATGCAGCGCCATTTTTCTCAAGCACCCTGCCACAGAATACTCGATGTCCTGTGGGCTTCCTGTAACCGACTCCCTCCCTTTGCCCATCCCCCCCTCAGCACCCGGGCCAGGAGCAACAGGACGACATGGCTCAATTAAAGAACGCCATCACCATAGCCAGCGGAGGTACGGACGGGTGTAGGTGTATGGTCCTAACGAAACTTTACCTGTGGGGACCTCCTGATATGGCAAGACATGCACTCTTGCTACGTGTTATTCCTTCCAAAAGTATGAGAGGTTGTTCACCTCAACTCATTAATCGGGTTACCGCCCGCTACCCGGAGGCAACATAAGTCTGGTGGCGACAGGGCGTACGTCGTTATGAGCTCACACGTTTGGCTTTCCCCGTTGAACCAGCGTTCCCCACACTTGCCGTGCCCCAGGCACGTTGGTTGTATTGGACCACGAGGCCGGTCCGCTGGGCCGCGTGTGGTGCCTGTTTGAAATTTGGCTGACCGTGCGCGAGAAGGGGCTGGGCTCGCTGCACCTGCTGACATACGGATTCACCAACAACGACATCTGGGATTGTTTCCAGGTGAGCTGTTCGCCCTAATTAGGACCTGTGCATTGTGTGTTAGAACATGCTCCATGCTATTCCGTGACATTGCTTCCGTGCTCCTTCTACCTCGCTTACTAGTCCTCCGTGTTCGCGTCTCTGAGCCTTAATCCCTGTCTACCTTGCTTTCTCATGCAGGCTATCGATGTGAAGACCGCCGAAGCCACAAACGAGGATGACCGGAAACGCATTCTCAAGTACATCGAGCGCTCTTTCAAGTCGCTGGATGACTTCAACGAAATGCTTAAGCTGCTTTTCCTTCTGGTAGGCGCGCTAGGGACATGGTGTTTAAGTTGCGCAGGCAGATTGGTTTAGTAGGGGCCGGGGGTCTGTACCGGTTTTGTTAACACGCTGCCGTACTGTCCCATGCAACAGGATCCCCTCGACTTCACCTCAGACATCAAGGAGATGCTGCATGGGTGAGTTAGGGGTCCATTCTGCCGTCACAGGGGTTAGATTAGCTAACCCTTTTGAGTTGTCCCTCACAAGTTTGAGGTAAGGTGTGCTTGTACGTAACCAATGGGTTTCTTGCAAGGCAAGCACAATGGACCCTTTTCCCTATTTTTCCATCCCTTTTCAACACTGCTTGTCATTATCCCTTTCCCAGCATTACCTACGCGTCAACAAACACCACAAGCAGCAACACCAGCAGCCAGACGGGCACCACCGCACAAGCTGGCAACACCCAGCAGCAGCCATACTCGGGCGCTGAGGAATCACCATCTGCGGATGCCGGCGGCGCCTCTAGGCCCGCTTTGACGGCTACTCGAGCGGCAGCAGAGGCCGCGATCGCCGCTCAGGTGATGGCGGCACGCGATGCCTGGCAGCTGGATGTGGTGGTTGGGGAGGTACGGCGCATGGATCCAGCGAGCGCTCAGCTGCCGCAACGTGACAGGTGCGATGCGTGTCTCAATTGCACTGAGTTGTGTTGCGAGAGGGAGGAAGCACGCCGTGGGGAGGGAGTGAAGGAGCAGGCGTGAGGGGTTTCATGGAGGCCATGGAAGCTCCAGCATAAGCTGATAGGCTGGTTAGGGCCTACCGAAGCAGGGCTGGAGGATAGCGTGGGGTGTAGGTTCGCAAGAGGTGGTTCCCATGTCCTATTGGGCTCACTAACCCCTGCCTTCTGTACTCTCCACCCAGCAGCAGCCGTACTGCCGGCGGTCGCGCCGTGTCGGGCCCCAGTCTGATGATCGTCTACGGCGTGGTGGGCAGCGGCAAGTCCACCTTCTCAGCCTCGCTGGCCAGGATAGCGCAGGAGCGGAGGGAGAGGGAAAACAGGAGGATGGTGGGTGCTCGGTGGCGTGCTGCTTTGGCCCGTACCGTGTCTTGGCTGTGTGGCTAGGAGAGTGTTGCAACCGTCAACATGGTAAAATGCAATATGTCGGTAACAATCGAAGCGTTAACGAGAGTCCTACCCAGTCTTACCCCAACAACCTGCCTGGCTTCAATACCCTGTACAGGCGGGGATTCCGAAGAGCGAGGAGCCAGTGGCGTTGCTTGACTTGCCAGAGGTAAGCTGTGTTTGTCATGCGTAGTACTAAAAAAACTAAAATACGTCAGGCGCCCGCAACTATTACGGGTGCCGCATATGACCCGTGGGTCTGGCAGCCAATTGCAGCCAATGCCTTGAATGTTACTTGAGTCTAACAGACCGCTGCCCTCACTAATAAGCGTAGGTCCAAGTGGATGCGGTGCACTTTTGCAGGCAAAGTGACCGGCGTCGAACAGGTGGGAGAAGCAGGGGGAATTGACAAACAATTGTGATGCTGTGACGTGCGCTCTGGGTAGGGGTCTTGACTAAACCCGGCGCGCTAACTCCGCCGTGCTACACCAACCTGCCCTGCTCCCCGCGGCCTCTCACCTGTTCCTCAGACCCTCTCCGCATGCTCAAGTCTCTGGCCTACCAGCTCGCCACCAACGTGCCCGAGATGCGCCCCATCTACACCTCCATGCCCTCCGAGTCCGTGTCCAAGATCTCCCGGCTGGAGGAGGCGTTCATGGAGTTGCTGCAGCGACCCATTCAGGACTACCTGGAGGGCAGCCAGCTGCCAAGCGGAGCCGCGGCGGCCGGGAGTGCGGAGGCCAACAAAGGCAAGGATGGACGGTGAGTGAGCGGAAGAAGGGGATGAGGCCTACTGCATTGCGACTGCGGGGGCCATCCTCGCTTCCTGCACATGCATGCTTTCTTGTCATGAGGCCCAACATCCCCATTCCGGTGACATCTGCATGTACACTGCCTCGTTGAGCCCTGTTCACTGTTTCTTGTGGGGTCAAGTTCATTACTTTACTCATTTACCTATTACCTTCCTACCTCCCGATCCCGCCCCCTTCCCCAGCAGTCGCTCCAAGCAGCTGGTGTTGCTGATCGACGGAGTGGATGAGGCGGACGGGCGCGCGGGCTCCCTGGACAACAACATCCTGCGACTGCTGCGGGAGCACTTCCCCAAGCTGCACCCGGCCGTGCACATCATCGTCAGCTGCCGCCATACCAGCAAGACGGATGACCCGCTTGCAGGGCTTAGGGTACGTGAGAGTCGCTAGTGTCCATATACTTGCCTAATACCAAGCTGCTGACATGACTGGGTTTATAGTTCCACTTTTGTGTACAACAGTGGTGGGATTCGAAAGCCGGGAACCATGTCCTGAAGTGCGACCTCTTCGAACCATACTCCTGTTGCCATGTGCAATTGTTGCGTGATGCCAGGGCCGGTACGACAAGCCACGAACGATTGCCTATGACGCCGGGACGGATCTGCGTCAGGGCGAGCACATGCGGCGGCTGCTAAAGATGAAGTTGCACCCGCCGGGCTGCCGGCTTGACCCCAGCCAGTGCTCCATGCATGACCCGGTGAGCAGGGGAGGCTTGCGGTTGCAGCCTTTGCACGTCCTCTGTTGCCTAGGAGGACGCCTTTCCACGCAACCATCCGGCCAAAGACCGGGGTTACCCTACACGTCTGCAGAGAAGGGGCCCATCGGCATGTTGTGCGCGCTGGCATCCAAGCATCTCCCCTGGCGTTATTTGTAACTAACCAACCAGGGTTTCATGGCGGTCATTCGTGCCGTACATGCAGGAAATGCTTGACATGGCCGTGCGCCTGGTGATCGACAAGAGCCGCGACAGCATGGTGTACATCAAGGTGGTGCTGGAGCACATGTCTGCGGTGGTCAAGGTGCGGCAAATGCCCAACTTAATTTGGCGTCTTATTCTCTGGGAAAGATGTTAGGAGGGAAGCGGCGGGAGAGGAGGTTGTAGCGGATGCCCCTAAGCGGCATCTTTAAGCACTGAATAACCGTTAGTATAAAATGGCATGTGACTTTTAGATCTGCATTAGCTGCATACCTAACCGGACACGCCTCCCCAATAACCCGCAGGAGCACATCCTGCGTCAGTTGGAGGAGCGCAAGGTGCTGGAGAGCATTAAGGCGGTGTCCGACGCGACGACTGCAGCCAAGGCCGGCTTGCCGCAACAGCCGCAGCAGCTGCTGCAGCAGCGCCTGGCCCAAAGAGGCAACTCGTACGGCTCGTAAGTATGTACTGTACAGGAGTTGTATTGCCCTACCTGGAGGAATCACCGCTACCCAAGGCAAAGGAGCAGTCCCCTTCGCTGTGTACATAGGGCCCCAGTAGAAGCATGCCACCAACGAGGACCATCTGTATGTGTGTTGTATTGTTGTTAAGGGCATATAGCCTCATCCGGGTGCGGTGATGAAGACGGAAAACGATACCCGCCCTGTTGCTTGACCACCCGAAGGCCCTTTTCCTTTCGCACTCCAGGGATGCTTCAAGTTCCCGGCAACGCACTCCAGTGGATGCAGACGTGGCGGCGGCGGAGCTCGGGGCCACCATCACAGCGCTCCTGAGTGCTCGCTTGGGGTACGTCGTACGTGCCCTTGAACCAGTGCGACACCTACTGCTCTAATCACAAGTATCACGCAAACACAGTGCGTTGGCGGCACCGGCAGCGACGGCTGGAGGTTCCTGCCTGTCAAGCATTCGTCCATGCCTGTCATGCAAAGCAAGCGTACAGGCAAAATGTGCTAGGGTTCCTTAGAGCTTAAAATGCGCGTGTTCGCACGTATGGGACTGTGGCTGCGGACGTCCATACATGCATTATGGTGAATACACCCCTGTCGCCGTGTTCGCAGGGATCTGGCGGCTGGGGGCAGTCAGGCTCTCGCTGATCTGGACCAAGAGGTGCAGGACCTCATTCGGGGGCGCTTCCAGAGTCCCCTGCTGCCTGTGATTCAGGCAGGTGTTCCCGAAACCGCACGCCTTAGCCATTGCGTGTACCAACATTGAATGCCTTTGGCTGTACCCTCGATGTAATGGTACTCGTGAATGTTGAATGCAGGAGGCGGAACGTGCGGCGGCTCCCAAGACTATTGCTGAGGGGTAGGTGGCGCTGTTGCTCTGACCCCCCTTTGGTTACGGTTATAGGCCAAGGTATCTCAAGACTGTTGCCGATGGCTCTCGGTTATTCGTTGCCCATGTCGTTGATTGGCTGTAGGGAACGAGGCGGCGCGGGCCGTCGCAGCTCCGTCGCAAGAGGTCTCGCTGGCAGGACAAGGCGCGGGTAAGCCTCGGAATCGCCCGTTAGCAGGGCTACTGTGCATTGTCTTACTAAATGCTTCATGCTGGCCTTGCCTCGCATTCCCGGTAACGAACAGACAGACATGCGGATGAGGTTTTACATTTCAGAGTGATATTGTGAAACCTTGTGAGGTGCAGGGCCTCCTTAAAACCGCTCCGCCCTATGCATGCAGACCTAGTATCCTTTCCACTGCGGCCGGCGGCGGCGGCTGGAAGCGTGGCGGTGCATCCGAGTATCTGGGGGCCTTGGGCTCTAGTGAGGAGGATGACTTTCGGTGGAACTGGCAGGACATCAAGAACCTGCCTAACGGGCTGGACGCAGCGTATCGCCAGGTACCGCGGGGTTGGGGACAAAGGGGAAACTGGTGTGCTGCTGAGCACTTGCCTTATACGGTGAAGTAAATATGGTCATAGCATTGCCCGCGATCCATGGGTCTGTTTCCGTTTTCAGCCTATACTAGCAGGTTGCTGTACCGACTTGCCGTACCCAGCTACATACTGGCAACACCCAATGCAATTCATGTTTCTTCCCTTGTACTGCAGATTTTCATGATGAGTTTCCAGAAGTTGGCCCCGCAGTCCCATGCGCAAGTCATGAAGCTGCTGCAGGTACCTGGGAAGGTACTTGGGAACCTGAGAGGCTGAGGGCGTTGTACAGTTCACCCAGCACGTGCTAGCACATGGCATGAAGTCTGTGGTTTCTCCCTTCAGACTGTGACACTTGTTAATTCATCGAAACTGCTCACTTGTGCTCCGCGACGTTCCTCATCGCCAGGTGCTTCTCGCCGCTCGTGAGCCGCTGACACGCAACCAGCTTCAGAACCTGCACCTGGTGTCCAGCCCACGCGACCTGCAAAAGCTGCCCGGATGGGGTGTGCTGTTCTACGAGCGGGAATACATGGTGAGTTGGGCGTTGACAAGTAATGCATATGCGGACTGCTACATAAATCTGTTCTTGGAGGCTCGGTACGGCGAATATGTTGAAGCATGTTCAGCTGTGAGGTTTGGTCTCCAGAAGCATTATTGGTATCATCGCATGTGCACTTTCGTCCCACTGCCATACAGGTTTTCCACATGCACAAGTCATTGTTTGACTTCCTCTCCAACAAGAAGGAGGCCGGTCCCTTCTTCGTGGACGCCCAACGCGGTCACAAGCTGATCGCCGCGCAGCTGTTCAAGGAGATCATGGTGGCGCCTTCGGCAGCGGCGGTAGCCTCCAGCGCGGCGTCCGTCATAAACGGGGGAGCAGCAGGCAGCGACCCCATGGCGGCAAGGTGGGAAAGGGATCGCGCTCTAGCAGGTCCATTCATAGCACGTGGCTTCGACTTGAGCGCATAAACCCCCTGTCGCTAACGAACATGAGCCTAAGGCCTGCATGGCTGTTAGGGCTTGCTTACTGTTTCCACGTCCCTGTGCTCCTCCCACCATCACGTCCTCCCTCTGCACCTTCTCCTCCCCCTGCCCCTGCCCGCCCCCTCTACTTCCCTCCCCCATCAGCGCCGTGAGCCAGTACACGCTGCGCTACGCCGTGACGCACCTGGCGCTGGCAGACATGCTGGAGGAGCTGAGCCAGCTGCTGCTCAACTTCGACTTCTGGGAAACCATATTTGAAAAGGGTAAGCTGAGGGGGAGCTGATGGCGAGGGGTAGGGGAGGGGCTGCGGATGCTTGAAGGCCGGGGCATGGCGCGCGGCTTCAAGGCAGCGTTCTCCATTGCCTCTTCCTGAACGACTCTTGGGCTGCGGACTGACTGTCCGTTCCCGCCCCGCCCTTGCACCAGGTCTGGGTCTGGAGGTGTTGGGCGACCTGATCCACATACGCGGATGGGAGCTGCCAAAGGTAGGGAAGGAGGGCTGGCTGATGACTGGCTTGTGGTAGGGACGTGGGAAGGGCTTTGACGCTGCCTTGGAGAGGCCTTGGAGCGGAGAAAGCGGCTCTTAGGTTGCCAGCATTGACGTGGCTGTTGGGATGTGTTAAATGCCCGTCATTCATCAATATATGGCCCCTATCTCCCCTTCAACCGTCCCTTCCTCCCGCTTCCCTCCTTCCCCCTGTCAGGACTCCATTGCCTCTGCTGACGTGGTTGCCGCCTCCTCCACGGTGGTCTCACACGTCATTCGCTGGCTGCAGCGGGACGGGGCCATGCTCAAGCAGTACCCAAAGGTGGGGCTGCTGCAGGCATGCGGGGTAGTGGGGCATGGGTTTGGGTGCTTTAGGAGGGCTGCTGTAAAGTGCCTTGCTGTGCCCTCTGACCCGCACCACCCCCTCCTCTCCGCTCCCCCAGGCCGTGTTGCAGCTGGCCACCGACACCCCGGTGAACAGCCTGGTGTCCAAGGCGGCGCTCAGCTACCACCGCCGCCCGCACGCGCACCTGGTCAACAAGGACGCGGGCTGGCCCTCCAACCTCATGACGCTGGAGAACAGCGTGCACAGAACCAACTCGGTGGTGAGTGGCGAAGGGGAGCATGCAGAGGGCAAGGGGGGAGGGTCAAATCCATGCACTCCAGGGGCGTATGAGTATGTGCTTGTATCATGCTCCACACGTCTGCTCACCGTTGCCCTCCCATCCACATGCATCCCGCCCCCCAGGCGTTCCTGCCCAAGGAGGACGGCGGCAGCAGTCTGCGCCTGGTGACGGGCGCGGACGATGGCGTGGTTCGCGTGTGGGACATGCGCTCGGGGGACCTGCTGTTCGCAATGCAGCCGCCCATTCAGGTGAGAGTTTGTGTATGGATCTCATGAGGCCTGCTGCAAGATATGATGTCGCCGTCCCGCTTTCCTGGATGCATGCCTGTCGTAGCTTCAGGTCATGCTCGGCATGGCTGGCGCATGGTGCGTCCGCGAGCATGGCGTTCCCCTCAATGCCCGAACCACCTCTTGTTCACTGTGCAACATGCCTGTGCATGCATACAGGCTTATCAAGGCACGCCGCCTGCCGTGAAGTGCATCGCTGTCACCTCTGTGGCGAATGGCGTTACCGTGGTCGCAAGCGCTGGCAAGGATTCTGCAGGTGCGTGGGTGGGATGCATGGGATGCTGCATGATTGCTACCATGCATAGGTACGGCAGTGCCCGGGTATTGAGCCTATGCCCATAGGTCGTGTGTGAATGGCTGTTTTCTTTATCTTGCGGAGAGGCCTGTGTCCATGCTTAGAATGTTGAGACCCTGGTAAAAACATATATACTTTGGGACTGTTGCTTGCTTGGGCAGTGATGCCTAAAGAGTGACGCCCTGCGCGCCCTTCCGCCTCCTCTGTCCCCCGCTAGTCCGGCTGTGGAACATCAAGACGGGTCAGCAGTTCGCGGACCTGGGCAAGTCCAACAGCGCCATCACCGGCACCGTGCGCGCGCTGGCGGTGTCGCCGGACGGCCGCACCATTCTGTCAGCGGGAGATGACCTGGCGCTGCGGGTGTGGACGCCGGGAGGGTGAGTGGGGCAGGATGGGAAAAGGTTTCCCAACGTTCCGCCCAAAAACTATAATGCATTCATGTGCTGGACGTTGCTTACGTCTGCTCACAAGGCTGGTGATATGGGCGAAGTAGGTAGCCGGGGAAGGCAGGATGCGGCAATCTCGGTTTGTGGCTTTATCCCGAGCGACAAGCCGTACCGCTGTGCGAGAGGCCAGTATCTTAGGTTTGCTTCCTTGTGCCTTTGCATGCAATATACATGCGTCTTTCCCGTTGCTTTCATGAGCAGGAAGGTCGAGGAGCTTGTGTCTTCGGAGACGGGCGGACCCACGGGGGCCCCTTCAGCGCCGGTTGATGACTTCGAAACTGATCCGAACAAGATTTGGGCTTCGCCAGCAGTTACGTCCCTCCAGGTACGCCTCTATCCGAACACAAAACGTCCTTCTTTGCTGGCTGGCATGCACGTGGTTGCATTTTTGCAGATGGTGGTCAAGGATCGCATTTCTAGCATGCAAAATAGCGAGGCTGCCATGTCACGTAACGTCTTGCCGTTTCTCACAGGATAAGCCTCACAAGAAGGTCATTCGCTGCATCGCCTTCAGCGCAGACGGACAACTGGTGGGTTGCGTCGGTGTGCCTTGATCGTACTAGCCACCCGTGCCTCTACTCCCTCCTAATCCTGTCGTCCCTGTGTCCGCCTGCCTGCCTGCCTTACGCCGCCATCGGCCGTACACTGTGTGTGCCCCATGCCCCGTGCGCAGTTCGCCACCGGCTCCGACGACGACGCCAGCACCAACGCCGTGGCGCTGTGTCTGTGGGAGACGGAGGGCCTCAAGCCGCGCGCCATCCTGCGCGGCCACATTAGCAGCGTCAAGTGCGTCGCATTCACCACCCGCCCCGTCAGCGTCACGGACGCTCACTCCGCCGCCGCCTCCTCGCCCGTTGCAGCGCCGCAGCACCTGCTGGCCTCGGGGTCCGCTGATAGGTGTGTATGGCAACGTTCTGTGTGAGAGAGAGGAAAACCCGCGTGTACACGGCTAGGCCGTCACATCCAGGAACTAGATACGGATGCTGATGTACTTCAAGTGCTGCATGCTGCCGCGTCGCCGCCCTCCTCACCTCGAACTGCCTGCTGCTGCTGCCTTCCTTCCCTTCTCCTCTCCCTTCCCCTACCAGGACTGTTCGCCTCTGGTACACCCGGCCTCCCGCCGGCAGCAGCAGCCCCGATGGCAGCAGTGCCCCCGGCTCCGAGGAGCACTGGGCGGTCCCCAACCAGAAGCTGCAGGGCCACACCGCCTGCGTGCGCGCGGTGGCGTTCAGCCCTGACGGCATCAAGATGGCCTCCGCGGGCGAGGACTGCAGCGTGCGGCTGTGGGGCGTGGTGTCTCGGCAGCAGCTGGCGGTGTTCCACGGGCACAGCGGCGCGGTGGTGAGCCTGTCCTTCGACTTCCCGGACGGCATGGTGCTGGCGAGCTGCTCCGACACGGAGGTGCGGCTGTGGGACACAAACAACTACCCGCAGGTGAGCGGAGGGAGAGTGCGTGGATGGGCGGGTGGGATGAAGCTGGGTGGGTCTGGGGAGCCAGGGAGGGTGGGAGAGCATGCATCTTTGTCTTAGCGTGTCTGGTCCTGTCCCACTAGTTCAGGTGCGCTTCTCTATCCGTAGGTGACGGTCATGCACGGCCATGAGAGCGGAGTCAACACGATTGCCTTCACGTCTGATGGCAAGGTGAGGCGGCTTTGTACACCTCGTTTTACCTGCTTCTGTCATGTTATTCCTAGTAATCCGGCACCGCCTATGAGCGTCATGCCCAATCCCTTGTCCCTCCTGCCATTCAATGTACGATCTTAGCGGTAACAGCCATGACGCCCCGCCTGTTCGCAGTACCTTGCATCCGGTAGCGACGACGGGGCTCTGGTGGTGTGGAGGGATAACGGGGAGAACAACTGGAGTAAGGTAAATCCAACACAGAGTTGGCATGCCAAACCCCGCCTTGACCTGTGGTACGAATCGGGGTACAGTGCCACAGCCAGCTGTTGAGGCTTACCGGTGCACAGTCGTGTGCGTTTTCCGGCCGTGTGAGTATGAGCCTTGGACAACGGTCTCGATAGGAAGGCATGTAGCCGTATTACGCGCCGTACTTGCTATACCGGATGTAGGTCAAGACCATTCCTCGTGACGACTCTGGGAGCAACGGCCATCACGGCAGCATCATTGCGCTCGCATTCAGCCCCGCCGACGATGAGAAGCAGCCCGGGCAAATCACGACACGGCTACTGGCGACTGCTTCCGCTGATAAAACCATCAGGCTGTGGGCTTTACGGGTGGGTGCCGTTTAGTCACCGTCGTATTAACCGTCATGGGTCCTGTTCTCAACCCTTTATTTGCTTCTTCCAGCTTCTTCCAGGGTTCTAAATAACAGGTGTCCATTCCACCCAGAAAATTAAACCTCTGCTGGCTATTGCAGTTGCATTTGCGCATGAGGTCATCCGCACACGTTCCTACTGCTGCTGTAGGAAACATGGGGCGTGGATGTACCACGGAGCATTTCCGCCGTGGCCGGGATCCTACGCGGCAAGGGCAAATCGCTGACCAGGGGTGCTGCCGATGCCATGAAGAAGGTACTGGTACCATGGGCTAAAATACCGTGGGAGGGTGAATTATTTATGCCAGTGTGCCCTGAAAGAAAAGACGTCCAAAGCAGTTGAAGTCACCCTCCGACTGCACAGGACAAGGATGGAGGCGTCATGGTGGAGCAGCTGAGTGTCGTACAAGGACATGATGGAAGGTACGGATAAGGGCAACATGTCGTACCGCATACTGTTATGTATGTGACAGACGAACTTTCACGTGTGCGCACTTGGTTGGCACCATGCGCGGTTGTAGATGGTGTGCTGTACCGCCGTTGTTTGGCCGTTAAGTTTAGCTGGCTGGAAGCTGACGTCCCGTTTGCGGTTGCTATGCAGTGTCCGTGCCATCAGCTTCTCTGCCGATGGAACGCTGCTGGCGACGGGAAGCAACGATCGAACCGTTCGGCTGTGGCACCTGATTCCCACTCCAAGCGGTTTTGGAGCCTCCATCTCACCCTTCCTTGTGTTATCGGTGAGGGTGCCGTCGTAAGGTTCTTTGGTTGGCGCTATCACATCCATCTCCTTCGCTGGACGATGCCCAAGAGACACCTCACATAGCAGTTCGCACTCACGCACGTTCCGGTCCCGCATCTTTCCCTCCCTTTCTCCATTCCTCCCCTCTTCCCTCCCTGCATGCACAGGGCCACACTGACGTGATCCGCTGCGTTGCCTTCAGCCCAGTCGCCTCCAGCCGCCTGATGGCCTCCGCCAGCGAGGACCGCACCGTGCGGCTGTGGCACGTGGCGCCCGCGGGGCAGGGCGCCAGCCGCCTGCATCGGGAGCTGAGGGGACACGACTCCTGGGTTATCTGCTGCGCGTTCAGCAGCCACGGACAGAGGGTGGCCACCGCGTCGCTGGTGAGGGGAGGGGGAGGCAACGGGGTTACTGAGAAGAGGATGAGGCGGGGAAGGCATGGTGGAGCGGTGCTACCGGTATGTGGTTGTTTTGATAGCCTTGGGAGTGTCGTGCTTGGTTCCGTCTGTCCACCGAACTGACTAACAGGTTAAGAGCGTGTGGCCTGTCCTGAACTGCAGGACAAGACTGTGCGCATCTGGAGCGTTACTAATGGTACGTGCTTAATAACGCATGGTGCTTAAGGAAATTATACTTGCTTTACACGACAGTGTCATCCTGTGAGAGGTATTCTTTTGGGGCGCCCAACGCGGCACCTGTACCTGAGCTTTGGCCTTCGGCGTGGCATTCACCAGCGCATGACGAAGGCGTGTTCCGACCAGCGTCCTTCGTCCCGTCCTCCTGCTTCCTCGCTCCTATTTTCCTCCTCCCCCTCCTCCGCGCCCCCTCCCTCCCTGCCACTCTCCCCGTTGATGCATTTATCTATATCTTTTCCCCCAGGCGAGCAGCAGCTGGTCCTGCACGGCCACTCCAGCGGTGTCACTAGCGTGGCCTTCTCGCCCGACTCCATGACGCTGGTGTCGGGCGGCGCGGACAACAGCGTACGGCAGTGGAACGCGCGCACCGGGCAGCAGCTGGCCATGATGCAGGGGCACATCGGGCAGATCGCGGCGGTGGCGTACTCGCCCACCGGGCACGCGGTGGGGTCGGGCGCGGCGGACGCCACCGTGAGGTTGTGGGATGCAACGCGGGGGCAGCAGGTCGCAGGAGTGCAGGGGGACGCTGGCAGCTTCCAAACGGTTGCCATTTCCCCGGATGACAAGTTTGTATCCAGCAGCGCTGACGGTGAGTTCCGGTAGCTACTTCCTCACCTTGTCGTACGGTGGGGGACTTTTCATGGGCCCGTCCTTGCTTTTATATCCCACGTCCTAACCGCCTTCACGGCAATCTGCTGGCCTTTAAACTTGTGCGTAGACAACGTCATCCGTCTGTGGGACATGGGCTCTGGTGAACAACGAGCAGTTCTGCAGGTTTGGCTTAGCGCACGTGCTTGATTCCTTGGGTATTATTTAAAAACGAGTTTGTGCATTCGTACGGTCTATGCTCAAGGGTTGCGCCGGAGTTGTGTCGGCAGAGTTAGAAACTGCATGTATGTTGGTTCTGCATTGGATGCCCCCGACCTTCTGCATTTGAGTGCCATCTAGTCGTTTGTTTACGGGTAGGCTTTGCATCCTCATGCAGGGTCACACCAGCTGGATCGTGGCCATATGCTTTGGCTACCAGGTAAGGGACATGTCAGATGCCTTGGAATAAGGTGTAGCCAGCTCGCTACTGTCAATGGCTTAAATGTCTCCACTGTTTTCAAATATTGCAGGACGACAACGATGGCGACCCACATCTTATGCTTGCGAGTTGCTCAGACGGTACGGCAAAAGGAGTTTTTAGAGTCCTGCTCTACATAGGCGCGTTCTGTCGTACATGTGCATCGTACCATGATGATGTTTGCACATACCCAACTACTGAATGAGTTTAGGGTAACGCGGATTACAGCCTTTAGCACCATCCTACGTTGGATGTGGGAAAGCCGTTCATTAAGACGGAATGCGTTACCAGTGTATGGCTGTACCAGTCTCAAAGTAACTCTTTTTTTGGCCTTACTCCACAGACTGCAGCATCCGGGTATGGGACTGTGTGACCTCCGAATGCGTGCGGGAGCTTCGAGGCCACACCGGCAGCGTGCGAGCAGTCGCCTGGGAGAGCCTCAAGTGGAACTACATCGCCTCTGCGGGCAATGACTACACCGTCCGGCTGTGGAACGTGCCCCGTGGATCCCAGGTGTGGTGGGGGTCATATTCCCTTTCTCACTTTTAACGACGGCCCTATTTAGAACCCCGCACCAGGCGTGCCACCAGGCGTGTCGGGTTGCAGACAAGCGGCGATTCCCCTCTGCTTTCCCACCCCTGCCTGCCTTCCTGCCCCTCGCCTTGCTTCCCTCCCTGCCGCGTGCGCAGGTGGACCTGTACAAGGGGCACACCGACGTGATCCGCTCGCTGGCCTTCAGCCCCGACGGCCTGCTGCTGGCCTCCAGCGCCGAGGACACCACCATCCGCCTCTACCACGTGGGACACATCACGGGCAGCGATGCGGAACGACCCGAGTGGCTGCCCGAGCTGCCGGGTTCGGGAGTGGTGCTGAGGGTGAGAGACGAACGTGGCAAGCCTATCCAGTCATTCAGCGTAATAAAATGTTGTGACCAAAACGTTACTGGTCGCACGCTGTAGTCCTCGTTGCGTCTACGCCAAGTGAACAAGGCGAGCTGCACTAACGTTGATGGCCGAAACCGTGAAGTCCCCGAACGTGCATTGTTGTTGCAGGGTCACACGAGTTGGGTGCTTGCAGTCGCCTTTGGGCAACGCAAAGCGGCGACAGAGGACCGCCTTTTAGTCAGCGGATCCTGGTAAGACGATGTAGCGTGCCGCCTGGAGCCCCTTCTCTGTTCGGGTGCTCCTGGATTACCTCGCACGGGGGCGTTTATGTGCAATGCCATGAACGGATGTCGGGCCTTTTGGCTGCTTAGACGTGCAGCCCGGGACACTGCGTACCACGGTTGGCAACATGCAAAGTGTAACGTGACGCGTTACGTATGACTTTCTCTATTAATGAATGTAATCGGTTAGGGCGGTTACCCCGCTGAGAATCGTACATGCCGTACAGCCCGCTACTGGGCGCTCTGTTCTGTTCTGTGCATGTGTCCCGTGAAGGCGGACATTAGGGTGTCAGTGGCCCTTTCACACCTTACTTATTGTTTCCTACGATCACGTATTGTTGCATTGGTATTACGAGACTAGATTTTTCCGGGGGCCGCGGGCATTATGGAGCCGTCCGTGCCTCGGTTATGACTTAACGGCCATTTCCTGACTGACCTCTGCCGAACCGTCATGCAGGGATCAAACTGTCCGGTTGTGGAACCTGCCGGCGGCGGGCAACGATACCCCCACCTGTGTGGCGACGCTTTCTGGCCACACGGGGCGCATCAACGGCATAGCCATCAGCACCTTTGTCGTCTCTGGCCTCGAGGTAGGCTTAGGTTTCAATTTTGTTTTGCCAGAAACGTGTACACGCGCCATGGGCCCTCTCTTTATTATACTAAGAAAGTATATGCAATGGCTGGTACTCCTTGCGTGTAACTGTCGTGAGCCAACTTCGATCTGGTTCTCTACCGGTATCTCCGCTTCCCCTGTGTGCCCAGATCATCGCCAGCGCCTCCAACGACTCCACGATGTTCCTGTGGACGCGCACCAACCGGCCGGAACTGCCAGCCGAGGCCAGCGGCTGGGAGGCTGTGTGCAAGATCCGCGGCCACGCAGGGCATGTGAACGCAGTGGCCTTCAACTCCAAGGGCAGCCGCCTGGCGTCGGCATCGGAGGTAGGCGGCACAGCATCGCGCTGAGGACATACATGGGAGTGCCGTTGTGTGGGGCTTGGATGGCAGCGTGTAATAATTCGGGGCAACCAACGCAGGCGTGCATGGCTTGGGAGGCGTGTACGTGTGGATTGCTTGTGTCAGGGCTGGAAGCGTGTTTTCAACCATGTGCTCGTCACAGGCGTGGCAACCAACTTATTTTATGCCCTTCCTCTGTCAAGACACCCCGGGCCTAGCCCTGCTGGGACCCCTCCTAAAAGGGTATTCCTAGAACCCTGCGAGTCCTCCTTTCCTCCCCCATCCTTCCTACCTCCCTACCTCCCTGGTCCTTACCGTCCGGCGTGCAGGACGAGACGGTGAGGCTGTGGGACCTTTTGCCGACCAGCTCCCCCGACCAGATCTCCGCAATGCAAGTCCGAGACTTCAAGTAAGTGCTTGGCTAGTACTTATCGTTGCAGCTTTGTCCACGGAACATACGGCTGGCATAACGTGCAGAGTGATGGCGATCCCCGACTAAAAGTGATGGCAGTCCCCATTCAGAGCTGCCCGCTGGCACAGCTTAGCTAGGTCCTCCATTCCTTTCAGTTTCCCAACTACTGCTACCTGATTCCCTTTCCACTTTCCCTCCTCTTCCCTCCCTCCCTCCACCTGCAGGGGCATCCAGGGCACCATCACCGTGCTCTCCATGTCGCCCGACGGCCAGCTGCTTGCGTCCGGCAGCGACGATCACACGCTGCGGCTGTGGAGCACCCGCTCCAACCAGCAGCTCATGGTGCTGCAGGGGCACGGCAGCGCAGTCAGCGCGCTGGCATTCGACGACGAGGGCGCGCTGCTGGCGTCGGGCTCCGTGTGCGGCAGCGTGCTGCTGTGGGCCAAGGAGCCGGCGGGGGCGGGCAGCAGGGAGGGGTGGAGCCAGGTGGCCAAGCTAGACCTGGCGCTGCAGGTGCGGGAGCGGGAGGGAGAGGAAGGAGGAGGGTGCGGATAGGAAAAACGGTGCCTGCTATGTGGACGGACATAACTTTGGGGCCTGGGTAGGTGTATGGTGGGGTCAGGCAGGAAAGGACGGAATATGTGCTGCATCGGCAGGCATCGGTGTTGATTCTGCCCGTCTCCTTTTACCCATGGCAGGTACCGGACGCCGCCGTCAGCGCCCTAGCCCTGACCCACTACGTCTTCACCTCCACCAACCCACGGAGCACCAGCGCAGCACCGCTTAGCCGAGGCGCCGCAGGCAGCTCAGATCTGGACCTCCAAACGGCGGCAGCGGCAATGGCGACAGCCGGCCTTGCACCCTCAGCAGCAGCAAGCATGGGTGCTAGGCTGCTGTTGGCGTGTGGCACGAAGCCCCGTGAGATGCAGAGCAGGCGTGAGGGGCTGGCAGGCGGCCGGCATGGTGGCATGGGCGGTGGAGGGCGGGCGGGCGGCGGCGGAGCTGCGCGTGGGGGCGGCGGCGGTGGCGCCAGCGGCCGTGGTGGGGGTGGAGCTGCTACAGGGGATGATGACTTCTTTGGAGGGCGCCTGGTGGGTGACGGGGCGCGGTGCCGAATAAGAAAAGGAGCTTTGGCGTTGCTATGAGCATGGGCGTGCAGGATGCTCGTGAACCAGCGGTTGGGCCTGCATACACTGCTAAAGCTATAGGGCTCCTGCACGGCCTGCTTCCCCTTGACCTAATCCTTGTCCTAGTGCTGTGAACTGGCGCGAGAAGTCCAAGCATTTTGGATACTGCTCGGTAGCACTTTGATGACATAGGCTACCAAAACTAAAGTACTGCCCCGCCCATTCAATGAAACGTCGCAACGCAGATTTCAAGCAGCCTGACGCTCTGGGACGTGGAAGCCATCAAGATGCAGCAGCCTTCTGGAGTGAGGAGCTCAAAGCCCTTCAAAGCACTCAAGTGTCAATCAGCCATCAGCTGCACCGTCTTCAGCAGCAGCGGAGACATGCTGGCATCCGCCAGCTTTGATAACGTGGTAGGTAATGCGCGAATACCATAGCAGCTCATCCTTGGTGCCTAACCTCTTCTACGACCGCGTACGATGCCGCGCTTAAGCGCAACCGGCGATGTGAGTGCTATGAGCCTCCTGTGAGGTGCTCCTTCCAAGTACCAAATTGCGCATCCTGCAAGCTTCCCGAGCGGCCTCTTCCGTCGCACTTCACATATCACTCCACCCTCCCTTCCCTCCTCGCCCCTGCCGCCGCCCCCCACCAGGTGTACTTGTGGCGCCCCTCTCAGCAGAGCCCGCTGGCGCGCATGTGCCACCCCTCGGCGCCTGATCTGGCAACCTCGCTGTGCTTCACGCAGGTGGGCGAGGGCGGGGAGGGTGGGGATGAGGTTGGCGGAGGAGGGAACACAGGGAGCAAATGCATGGGCCTAGCATGCCTGGAAGTCATCACAAGTGCCCTAATACAGCAACCCTAAGGTCGTCACCCCTGCCGCTACTGCCCTCTCCTTTGCAGGATGGTACGATGCTGGTAGCTGCTTGCCGCTTCAGCGAACGGATTGATGTGTACGACGTACAAAAGGTACGAAAATGCAGGGGGTATGAGGGACATCAGTGTCCTGGACCGGCCAGGACAGCCACACGCTGCTGCGAGCTGTCGAACATGCTGCATGCTGAGCCCTCGGCGTTTGCAGCTAACATACCTGTTCGGCTGTGTTAACGCATGCAAACCTCCCTTACCCGCTTGTCCCCACACACCGCTTGTCCCGCCCTGCCCCAAAACCTCCCTCCTCTCCGCTCCCCTCCTCCCTTCCCCCTGCGCAACCCTCTCCCTCAGGCCTGCACCTCCAAGGAGGGCTCCGTGACCCCGCCGCTGCCCCTGGGCGAGCTGGACGGCAGCGGGCTGGAGGGCTGCGCAGTGGCCCCGTGCGACCACCTGGGGGACGGCACCGCGGAGCGACAGCTCATCGTGAGCCGCAGCGGCTACAAGAACCAGGCCATGCACCTGCAGGTGCTGGAGCTGCCGGCGGCGGAGGACAGCGGCGGGGCGGCCAGCAGGGAGGAGGAAGCTGCGGGGGCCCAGCAGAGACCGCAGCAGCATGGGGCGGCGGCAGGGGCGGCAGCGGGTGCGGCGATTGCGGCTGTTTCCTCTCCCTCGTCCATTTCGCTGTCCTCGCTGGCCCCTCGTGAGGTGGCCAACGTGTACACCACCATGCCCATCCAGCAGATGGCGTGCTTCGAGGACCTGCTGGTGGTCACCAACGGCAGGTCAATAGACTTTTACAGGCTGGGAGGCGGAACGATGGGGTGAGAGGAGGAGGGATGGGGTGGAGACGGGCGGACAAACAAGACAACGCGGCTTTGCTATCCCGCCCTGGCTTTGCACTCCATCCGGGGTAGCAGCAGGTCGGTGGAAACGTGACAAAGGATATTGACTGCACTAGTTGAGTTCCGGTGGGGGGTGGCATTTTGGTTGGTGGGTATACGTGTTTCTCCTGCAGTGAATCCTTCGAAACCTGGATGGCCTGTGTGTGAAAGATCTTCTTCATCGTATTTTCGGCGCTACCTATCTCGATTGTGGATCCTGTTGGTATTACTCATCATGTGGTTATTGCTGTGGGTGCTGCGGATGCTGGGTGGGCTTCTGTAGCAATTAAGTACCTGTATTGGCAGCGGCTTAACAGGCGTTAACTTGTTATCTCAGTGGAGACTTTCCCCCCGACGGTGCAACCACAGATAGAGCAGTGACCGTTACTGTGACGACTGATGCTGCGAGACTGGTCATAACGTACTGTTCCATTGCCTAAATTAGACTCCGCTCAGGACATCCGTTGCTAGATGGCGCCCATATCCTGGCTAGGGCCAAGCCGCGTCAGCAACTGTCCTATGGGCGGTCATAGGAGGCTGGCATGTTTTGTACGCAGAGAGGTACTTACAGACTGGGGGCAACTTGTGCAAAGGCTGAACTCTGTGGCTGCTGCGGATTTTGTTCATTAATGACTGCCTTGGTATATGTTTGTTTTTTCGTGACGTGCACTGTTGGGGACAATATCCGGACATTTACCTTGATGCATCAGTGGTTAGCATAGTCCGATGTGGGTCTGATGCCAATATGTGGTGCTATTGAGTATGACGGGGCTGCTCGGCTGGGTTGGTTGTCGGTGCAGTGGTACAGTACCATGCAGTTTACCTCGATTGCGGATTTGCGTGTGAATGCAAATTCACGCAATGGGGTGTTTTGCATTGTTCTTTGGATGGGTTGGAAAGTTTTCTACGCCAAGCAGATTGAACATGCTCGCATACTGACCTGCTTTCAGGCACGCTGGGTACATGCATGACCTGCAATGGACACGCACCCAGTTTGCTGAGGAACTGTGATGAACGTGCTTTGTTATGTTTACGCATTTATGGCTGCTTTACCGTGTAGGGCTATATACTTGTCTCCATTTTGTGGCGTTATCAAGTTTCCCTACCTCCTTCCTGTAACTGTCCTCAAAGGAGAAACGGCGTTACACTGATGACCTGTACGGTGTCCTTAGCGACCCGTGGGTCATTGAGCAGTGTAAATCCAATATCGCCTCAGATAGCCTCCTACTGGGTGAACATGCCCAGGGCATGCAATCCGAAATACAAGCACATCTTCGGGTTGGCGCCCGAACGCATGACTTACACATCAACGACCTTGTATGGGCTCCACTGCGGCAGTGTGGTTCCCTATGTATCTTTACATTTCCACCCCACGCCCTCATCGCCCACAACATCTCAGCAGCAACCTGTCAGACAGTGAATGACTGACTGTTGATAACCAGTAGAAGGAGTACGCCAAACGACAGTGCCATAGTATGTAAAATATTTGTTAAGCCCTGCGCTCTGCTGTTCACCCCTCCAACGCATCTACCTTTCCTACTCCTGCTAACCTAACCTCAGCCTTAGCATCGGCTCCCCTAGCAAGCCTCCGCCCCCTCGATATAACCCAAAGATGCACCCTCCCAGCCATCTCGGCTGTCTGACCCTGTCCACATGCCAAGCACCCTGGCAGGGGCAACCGTCTGCATGCGGCTCCAGCCGAGGCTGCGAGGCCACCTTACTACCCCTGCACGGGACCTCTCCCCGGCACTCCCCCGCCCCCGCTGCTGTCCTCTCCCTTGCGCAGTGACTTGAGCATGTGCGCCATCAGCTCGTCCATGCTGCCGCCCTGCTGCCCCTCCATGCGGTCGCCGTGGCACACCAACACACCCTGTGCGTGCGGGGTACGTGTGTTAAGGAAACTGGCCGCGAGTCGAAACGTACTGTGCGTCATTGCCGGAAAATTAATTGCGTGCGGGTTGTGCGTGTGTGCTACAGGGTTACTGGGTGCTTTTGTCAGTGCTCAGGGGTTGCCCGCGGTGGCACGGTGCTCATTGCGACTAAGGCAGCAGAGCAACAGCAGGAGCAGGAGCTGGTGTTAGAAAGGTTTGCGGTGTCAGAAAGGGCATGCATGAAGAGGCACATGAGGCTAGGGCCTTTCCGTCATGGTACCGGTTTTGCAAGAGGGGCAGAAGCAGTCGTTGCGTTGATCGGCAGCGGCTTACGGACATGCAGCTTGAGCCACACGGCCAGGCACTACACGTATCCTGTACCGTTTCTCTCCTCGCGCACACTTCCCGTACATGCACTCACACACCCTGCCGCATGCCCCTCCAAACCATGCACGAACACAAACCACACCCCCACCTGCAGCCTGCATGCAGCCACATCCTTGGGCCCTGCAAGACGTATATGCGCTGCTCGTTTGGCTCGCCTAGCAGCAACCTTTCCGCTAATTTGGTGCTTCGCAGCGTCATGACTCCCGGCCGCTGCGCCTTCAGAGCTGCTGCTCCCGGTGGCAGTGGCGGCGCCGGCAGCTGCCTTGGCGGCCACCGCTGCCGTCAGCCGCTCCGCCGAGACACCTTCCGGTGGTGAGATATCGATGCTGGCTGCGGGAATGAGACCGGACTGCGTGAGCTCGATCTTGGCGTTTCGCGGGATGATGGTCTTAGCCTCGTTCACCTGAGTAGCGGCAGGTGGGGATTGTGATGGGGGTAAACGTACGGGAGGGACAGTACTGTGCTTGTACTGAACCAGCTCGAGACAATCCCTAACTGTTGTGGCGGCGGCAACAGGGGCGGATCTGCTGAACGGCGTTTAAGAGCTAGCGCCAGATCGTACGGCGCTACAAATACGGCACATACAGGCGATACTACATACTAGTGGTCTCATCCAATGCTCCTATTCCAAAAGGTAGGGGCGGGGTGGGGCGGGGTGTCGGCTCACCTCCACCTCCACACTAATGCGGTCCACCAGAGGCGTGGTGGACATCACAGCGCCGATGGGGACGCCCTTCATGCGCACCGGGGTGCCCAGCACCACACCCGGGGCCTGAGAGCATCAAAGGGAGAAAGGGAGGAATGGGGACGGAGAGGCAGAGATTGACGCGCTGGGCCAGGCAGTGAGCTGGTAGGTATACTTCCTGTCCTGCCTGGTTAAACTGTCGAACTGCCGCCACATGCAAAAGCTTCGTTCGTATGTCGACCTGTCCCGCCCCACGCCTGCACAGCCAGCTCCTATCACAACACGCACTGCTGACAAGCCTACTTCCATCCACTCACCCGCCCACTCATTCATCCTGCACCCACCCACCCACCCACTCCCCAATATGCACGTCCCCCCGCCCCCAGGCACCTGTGGAAGGGTGACGTGGAAGGTGTAGGGGTTGAAGCGACGCATCGGCGTCCCCACTGTCCACTGCGTGAGGCCGCCACAGACGATGCTGCCCATCACAACGAACAGCAACTCACCCAGGTAGGAACCCCTGGCAGGGGTCGTTCGGGGTGAGCAGGAAACGCAAATGTCATGTCGTTCAGCACTTACATGCAGGAGTTGCAGTCGGGTGACGCGCAGCTGGTTGGGGCAGGGGTTGGTGCATTTGGAGTGATGGTTAGGTATGACGACGTGGCCCACACGGGAACAGGCCAAGGGAAGACACACGGGGCTGGTGGAGAGTGGGGATGCTTGTTTACAGGACTATTTGCAACGGGCAGAATCGAACATTGTGTTGTGCTGGAGGCCAGGCGTGAAGGTCCGGGTTGCGTGACATGCGGGGGAAAAATGGTTGCAGCAACTCACTTTACGATGCTGCGAAAGCTAGCTCTCAAACTGCCGCCGCCGTTGTTGTGGTTATTGCTGCCGCCTGTGCCACTTCCGAGCCCGCTTGCAGCGCTAATCGGAACTCTTCCCATCGCGGGGATGGGCGATGGTTCGGTGCCGTTGGCTTCCGCGCCGACATTGTCTCTTCCAAATTTAACAGAGGCAACATCGGCGCTGGAACTCGGATCGCCAGCTGAGGCTGGTAGTGCAGCCGTGTTTCGCAGCAAGGGACGTGTTGCATGAGGCTGATGAGCTAGGAAGCCCCTATAGCTAAATCTAAGCGGGCATGATCGGCCTAAGTTCCCCTGCGTGCTCGCCAGCTCCCTACACCGTCCTTGTCGGCAAGGTTGAGAGCCCACGCTTTGCATTGCGCCCGCCCGGAGAGTTGCGCTATGCCACTGGATCTTTTACAATGCAATTGATTTCATCAAGCTTACTCTTTGCTTAATGCGCGAGCAGATCTACGTCCTAGCACTGCTATGTGTAGCCAACGAAGTGGCCCGGTTACTGGAATGGCAGCATTTTCTGGCTAAGACATCCATCTACATATCCTCTTCAGTAAACCGTATGCAATATGTTGGCGTATGTTTCTTTGCCAGCTATGTGCCCTCAGGCTCAGTCTGCCTTGGAGCACAGTGCACAGCGAGGTAGAGATTAGTATATTGGATAAAAACGCATAATGCAACTTTCCCCTTTAGGCTAAGCCTAGATCCCTTGACAATCTCACGAGGGATGACGGTGAAGACGAATGGACGAGCACGGGATCTGTGGCACGCAGTAAGACAGCCCGATGATGCGCCGCAGCACCTACAGTCTCCAACAACAAACAGTGGTTTTCAAAATGTGCTGTGTGCGAGTAAGTTGCCATTGGTAAGCGATGTTGGAAGTTTGTACGACAAGGGCGTCATGGCAGTTGACAGTCGGCCCGTCCGGTGAGCCCTTTGCGCCCGGAAATGGGGCACATCGACGGGCGGCCTAGCTATGATTGGCCGTGCCTTGATCGACGTACAGTCAAGCTCTTGCGAGGGGTGCGGTGTGTCGCCACATAAAGGGCTTGTCTTCCACCGACTTAGCACAAGCAACCACAACAACCCTCACCTCGCCAGCGCTCTTGTGATCCCCCTGCAGCCCCTGTGACCTCCCTGGGCCTGCAAGCAGCGCTTTCTCTACCCACAACCAGTTCTGCGGAAGTCAAACCCTTCAGCAATAATAACTGCTGAAGTCCAAATCAGGCAGTGACACCGTTAGGCGTTTGAGCGATCCCTTTAGGGTGATTCCATAGCGGACGGGCAGATTTCGTCCCGAGCGAAAGGAACACGAGGATATAACTTGTGCGCAGCAGGAATGGCGATTCCCACCCGTATGCTTGCGGTTTCGTCCGCTGTTATCCTGATTCTGGCCATGTGCCAGCCCGCGCTCGCACAGGTGAGCCACCTGTATTTCCCTTTGATTGGCTGGAAGGACGTACCTCCTGCCTGTGCTGCTGGGACCAGTGCACGCCGTTGTCTAGCACATGAAGCAATCCTGCAGGGCGCATACACCTCATTGACACTGATTACCCCTTACATCGTTGCTCCCCATTTGCCAATGCCCCAGCCACTTATCGGCAGCAACCTGCAGCTGGGCAAGGGACTGTCGGGCGCGCTGACGAGCATGGGCGTGTCAAGCAGGTTCGCTGATCTGGTCACGGCGCCCCTGAACAACGCACGTGACGGTGGGTAGCGCCCAGTAGTGTATGCTGCAATAATCTGCAGAGGACCTCCGAAGCTAGAGAACATCTAAGAGCATGCCAGCAGTCGTGTACGCGTGATTAGTTGTTCCTAGGTTGCCGCAGCACCAATCCCCACTCCATACATCACGATCGCACCTCTTTGCCGGGTTTGCTTTGGAATGCGAACACCGTCTTTAACCCGATCCCTCCCTCCTGTGCATGGCGATCCCCCTGCTCTCCATGCAGCTTTCCCGAGCTTTACGACCTTCTTTGGAGGATTCCGTGATGGCCAGAGCGGCGTTGCGCCTCCCGAGAACGCGCCCCAGGCCGTACTGGCGATGCAGAGCCTGGTGCGTGGCAGTCCGATGTGAATCTTGGCTGCATGGCAATGGTGATCTGATCCTTCGTGTGTCACCGTTGCCACTTAAAGCAGCTACTGAGGGCCCTTGACTTCTCGCCACAGGCAGCAATGGCGCATACCTCTGGCCCCTGCACAGCCCTGCCTTGCCGTGCTTTGCCTCACTATCCCTCTTCCCTCATTCCCCAGTTGCACCCAATGCTCGTGGGTTCTGCATATGACATCATGCTGATACCCAGAACATTGCCTTTCCTCTGACCCCCAAACAGATGAACGAGCAGCTTGCCGCCGCAACTGCCAACCTGACCGAGGCCGTCTTCAGCAGCCCCATCCAGACCCGCAGCAGCGGCCAGGGTGGCCTGGTGGAGGGACAGCCTTTCCCGCTTGACGAACAGAAGAAGGACAATGTTGGCGCCTACCCCATCTACGTCTACGGTGCGTGCATTTGATTGGGCCTCAAGCATATGTGTATGTATGTATATGCACGTGAACATGCTCCAGCAGCTATCACCGCTCTACTGCTTAACTCCCCAGGCTGCTTTGCTCCTTGCTGAACCAAATGCATGTATGCCATCTGCTGCTGCCACAGGTCTGCCCCCTCAGCAGTTCTCGGCGGGTCAGGGCCTGCCTTCCGTGGTGGTTGCCAACGCGCAGAACCTGCAGCGCTTCCAGAATCAGCTTGTCTGTAAGTGCGCCAGCAGGCCCTCGAGAGTACATACTCTTGCCCGTGTCTTACTGTTCAGGAACAGCAGGGAGATTCTGCCCACACCACATCAAGCATGCAAAGGAAGCGGATGCCAGTGCTATTTCAGCATAGCGCTTTCCCTCCCATGTTGCATGCTTGTCCTATGTCCTTCCTCCACGTTAGCAACATGGCAGCATTTGCCAACTCCCAACTCCCCTCCCGCCCGCCTACCCGTCCCCCTGCAGCCGACCTGCAGGCTCAGCAGCAGGCCGCCATCAACGCACTCACCTACCAGCAGCAGGCGCTGGCGGGACAGCAGTTCAAGAAGATCCTCTCCAGGGTGTGCGCACAGTTCGCCCTCGGCGAGTGAGTGGGATGGGGGTTAGGCGGGCCAGCTGTGAATGTATGTATGGGCTGCAGGGCCGGTGGGTGGGCGGGCGGGGAGCGAGGGAGCCCCAGCAGCTGGGCGCTGGTACGGATGGCCACGGCGTGAATTCGGCTGTCCATCCCTTCCTGCATTCCCGCATGCAGGTTCCTGAGGGCCTTCTCCAACCTGCTCCAGACCGTCAACCAGCCCTTCGGTGACATCTACGGCATCCTGGCCCAGGTCGCCGGCCTCAGCTACGCTGGGTAAGTCCTCGGCTTCCGGCTTGACCCATGGGTCATCATACGGGCCATGCATGAGCAAACCCAGGCACCATCGTCCTGCATTCTTCAGGAGTATGAACTGCTTTTCTCCATCTTTGCCGCAACACCGAGCTGCACCGTGCGGAACTCCTACCTTCCTGTAGGCCCCATGTTTGTCTTCCTTCATCACCCCCCTTCTGCGTCGTGCCCTGCATGCTGTGCCTCACAGGATGTCTCAGCAGGGCCTGGACTACATGCAGGCCTACTGCTGCGACATCGTGCAGCAGGCAGGTGTGTCCCTAAAGCTCGGCAACAACACCTTCCAGCTGGGCTCCCTCGTCATTCAGCTGCCCCAGGAAGCCTTCTACGCCACCAACTACATCAACGGTAACCCTGTCCTCAACAACTTCGTCGGCAACGGTAACAACAACAACAACAACAACAACAACAACGACCAGCAGGACAACCAGAACGATAACCAGCAGTGCAATGTTGTGGAGTGGATTGCTTTCGCGCTGCAGAACAACAAGTTCCTGGCGCAGCGCTTCCTGCAGCTCTTCAAGGGCTTCCTGGTAAGACACGATGCACGTTGCGCAACAGTTGCTGTACTGGGGATACTAGGGTGCCTGGCCTGATGCATGCGTTGAGACAGAACGCTGCTGCTGTAACTCATGTCTCTACGTCATCATGCAAACCTCGTGTCCTGTTGCAACCCCATGGCACGTACCCCTTGAAATCCCTCCCTCACACAGCAACTCAAGGACCAGCTGCTTGTTCAGACGCTGCGTGCAGCCGGCATCGCGCAGAACGTGGCGGCTAAGGCCCTCGTGACACTCAACAAACAGCCGCAGTTCGCCCAGTTCCTGGCGAGTGCTGCTGCCGGCGCGCAGCAAAACCAGGCTAACCAGCAGCAGAACGACAACACCAACGGCCCGCAGGTGGTGGCGGTGTTCCGCGACCCGCAGCAGCAGCAGGTGGCTGGCAGCCTGCAGGCGTTGCTGAACAATGACTTTGCGAACGCGGAGAACCGCCTTGGGTAAAGATTGCGGGACGGTACGTGTGCAAGGATGAGCTTAGGCGCTGCTGCTGGTTGGGCACCTGCTGCATTCTGGGTCATGGTGTGTGCAGGCTTTGTAATAACAGGCATTGTCGTAGGTCAGGATGTGATGTGTGGCGGCTATAGGTTTTGCCAAGCCGATCGCGTGCTGCAGTACGGTAAGCAGGGACCAGGAGATGCGCCTACTGTCGGTGGTTTGGTGTTGTATCACTTGACGACCCGCGGGTCTGTAAGCGTTAAATCCGGTGTTAGTAATGTCATGGTTTGTGGGGCAGCTTTGCTAGACAGGTCGATTGGGCACAACGGTTGATTCAGAACGTAGGGGGGTGACATTGAAAGGCGAATGACGAATTGATAGGCATCATGACTGCTACCATGCCAGGCACTATTGCACTTCATCAGTGTAAGAGTCAATGTATTATGTAGCCTTGGCCATACATGAAGGACTCTGGCCGTCGCAACGCGTAGGCGAATGTAATAACCTCTCACTTTGAACAAATGGAAGTCCAATCCAAAACCACCTTTTGCAGCAATTGCATGGAAACATCGAACCTGCACGCCGCGCAAAACCACGCAAGGTGTGGTGCAAGTGAGTACAGCAGCAGTAACAAGCTACCGCTGCGGATGACCAAGCAGCCGACGCATAAGGTAACACGTCTCTGGTGTTTGGTAATGTCGGAGGCCAAACTGACGGAACGTGAACCATGACTCGGGGCGTGTACCTTGCCGCCTGTTGCGAGCCTGATACCAGCGCACAACGCAACGATGATTGCTGTTTAACATGCAGCATAATTACAGCGGATAGTCCTAAATTCTGTAGTCAAGGCTTCAAGGCTTATCACGTGCCTATGTAACGTAACGGCGGCTTCAGCTGCAGGTTTCCGGAACGCTGTCTAACGGTTCCTTAATAGCTTGGCGTTTTCTTTCAATGTAGAATGTGGCGTAAACGAACCATTCGTACAAGGGAAGGCGTTTTTTGACTTGCAACTTCGGGATGCGGCATCGTGCTGCCGCTGCGTACGAACGCAATCAGGACAGGTATACCCAAACAGGTTTCTGCAACCTGCAGAAATGCTTATGATGCATGAGCGCTACGCAATGCCGGATGAGGTATTAATCGTGTTGACTTCTTGGGAACCACTGTAGCGGTTCATTCACTCACTACGGATACGTGCTCCCGGGCTAGTTGGCAAAGGATGCTGTCAGAGCTGGTTTGGCAGTTACGATGCGCCGGTTTACTGCCAGCCTTGGGATGATAGCTAACAGGCGGGTAAACTGTCAACGGCCGGCTGCCAACCGCAACAACAGATTGACGGGCGAGCTTTCAAAGTCGATACGTCGCGGCGCGGTCGGGCGCTACGGAGCTTACGGCATGCAGAGGGCTTATAATCTCCGCAACACTACATTCTTGTCAAGCAACAAGCACTATCCGCGGTCACAACAGCTCGTCGCCTCCTACCTCCGCTCTCCGTGATCCCACCGCAGCCCGGTGACCTGTCCGAGGGCTCAGCGGCAAAGCGATTTCCAGTTCTCGACCAACGAAAAGACGTCCGTTGCTTATTCTTATCCTAGCAGCTCTTAAACCATCATATCAATTTTCCTTACCTCCGCTAAAAAGTCCCGTTTTTTGGAGCAGTAATAAACACAACGATGGCTCACTCTATCCGGGCTATCGCGCTCGCGTCCTCTCTCTACCTCATCTTGACCGTCTGCATGCCCGCTGACGCCCAGCAGCTGGTGAGTGCTCAACAATGGCGGACAGTGGTGCAGCGGGCATGTGCTGGCAGCCAGTCACTGACCCATGGGTCGCCACTCACACCATGCATTGCAACATACACTCTGAGCTACTAAGCCGAATCCTGATGTACCTGGTTCCCCGTTGGCTTGCATCACAGGGCTCGATCGGCAACGGGGGCATTGCAAGCGGAGGTTTGCTCTCCAGTGGCGGCGGTATTGGCCTGGCTAGCGGCCAAGGCTTGGCATCCCGTGCTCAGGACGCTGTCGCTTCGGCGCTGCAGAACATTGGCCTCAGCGACCGGACCATTCAAACCCTGACTACGCCGCTGTCGCGTGCAAGTGATGGTAAGCAACCGAGCGAGACGGGTCTGTGGACATATGCATGCACGTACGCGCCACACGGTTGCCTGCTGTCGTCCCTCCCGGGAGTCCCGGCGGCCCGTGGAAACGTGAATCTGCCTTATTAATTGCTCTCGCCTCCCTGCTTCGCTCCGTTGCACTGCCTCCCTGCAAATGCAGCAACCGCTGCAATCCGTGAGGCCCTTCCTCAGCAGCTGGACTGGAATGGCATCACAAGTGGAGCAAGCCTGGGCAGCCGCATTCCTTCCACGGCCTCAGACGCCATGTCTCTCTTCGGCAATGTGGTGCGTTGTTGCTGCCTGCTGCCTGACACCCGCTTGCAGTGCTTCGCATGCACTAGCTAACCAAGCGCTCGAAACCTCGAATCGGGACAGTGTAGGCCCATGTACCATAATCAGTTAAGACAGTGGTTTACATGCACGGAAACGTTTAGTTTGCGGATCTGCATACGCATTCTATGGCCCATTGCCCATAACCGGTACCCATGTAACCCATCCCCGCGCACAGATAAATAGCGCGGTCTCCAACAGCACTAAGGCTCTTACCACGGCCATGTTCCAGAGCCGGCCTACCAGCTTGTTCGGCCTGCGAAGCTCAAACAACGACAATGTGGACAACACTCCCCTGGTTAGCTTCCCCGTGTATGGCTTGGGTAGGTTGCGAACACGCGTCCTGGTGTGGTGTGCAGCGCAGTGCATGCGTGCATGCCTTATGGACACGAAGTACGGTGCTGTGGTTTGTATTGTGCTAATTGCCTGTTGCACGACGTGTGATATTCGCTTCCGCTGATCCTGACTCTCGCTGATGCTGACTCTCGGTGATCCTGACGGCCGAAATTCGATCTAGCATAGCGCGGCAACCATTGGCATGCGATCGCTGTACTCCCGGATCAACACATGCGGCTCTTTTGAGTGACCACCTCTGTGGACTCGCCTCCCATTCTGCACCCACAGGCGTCCCCCAGACACCCTTCACTGCTGGTAGCGGCCTGCCCCCGGTGGCGTCCGCGGGCCGCGGGGACTTCCAGCGCTTCCAGCAGCAGCTCGTCAGTGAGTAGCAGCAGTGTCGTACATGATGAGTTGGCGCAAGTAAAACGGCATCAAGCTGCTTGAATGCCTGTTTGCGGCCATGGGTATATACCGTTACACATGAACCCCTAGGCGAGGGCGTTGAGGAGATATTTGTACATGTGTGCGGACGATGCTAAGAGATCTCCCGGTTGTTTCATGCGAACTATATTCCCCACGGGGCTTCCCTCCTTTTCATACCGGTACTTATCCTCCCCGCTTACGTTTGGTCCCTCTTCCTCGCCGCCGCCGACGTCGACCACGCATGCATGCAGATGATCTGATGGGCCAGAACAGCGCCCTGCAGAACGCGCTCCAGCAGCGGCAGCAGGCCCTGATCGACCAACAGGTCCGCCAGCAGGTCGGCCAGGTGCTGCAGCAAGTGTGTGCGCAGTACGGCCTGAGCACGTGAGTAACAATGAGGGGCGTGTTCCTCAGTCTCTTGAAAGTTGCGGCTATATATCGGATGCTTAGTTGCGTGCCGTAACTGGGTTCCCTTCATGGAGAGCGCTGTGCTTACTGGGCGCTGTTGCTCCTTTAGCGTGCATGCGGCATGCATGGACTGCAAGCTCAGTTTAGGACATCTTTCGTACCTTGTCCCTGTTCCTGACTTGCTAACAAGCCCGCTGCCTCGCCCGCTGCCCCTTCTCTCTCTTGCATGCTGCTCCCTGCGTTGTACGCACGACAGCTTTTTCCAGCAGTACGGCAAGAACTTGCTTCCCACCAGCCCCGCGTACGCTCAGCTGTACAGCGCACTTTCTACCTTCCTCGGCTCCTTCATCAATGGGTAGGTTTGGGGGCGTTTTTAGGTTGCTTTGGAATGGGGTTGGTTGGCATGATTCATATACCACGCGCGTCATCACTGGACAGCGCTTTGCGGGGACATAAGAACGAGCTTGCGACCTTGGCCATTGCATCGCAACATGTACATCTGCGTACGATGCTCCTACCCTCACCGATGCCACATACTCCGCATACGCCCCAGTTACACGAAGCTTAAATAGGTCCGAAGCTAAAATAGGCCCGCCACGCCTCACATTCGACCCGACTCGTGTGTACCCCGCCCATAGCCTGGGCTCTCAGGGCCAGAACTACCTGCAGCAGTTTTGCTGCGACGTCGCAGTTGCTGCGCAGTCCGGCAACATCCTTGCGGGCCTGCAGACTCGCACCTCCTCCTCCCGGCGCCCTCCCAGCCCCTCTCGCCGCGCAGCCTCGCCGCCGCCTAGCACCCCCAAGGTGAGCAGGAGCTGTTTCCGCAGCGGGTTGCGCCATATGGTTTTTGCAAGGGGCATTTGGAGTAGCTCCCTTGCAGGTGCATCGGACTGCGCGCGACACACGTAAGCCCTGTCGTACGCACTGAACCCTTTGGCTTGCTGACATTCTGCTGACGTCACGCATGCGGCTGCTGTGTGCGTGCCGGCCTGGTGCATTTCCCTCGCAGGCAACGTGCAATGCGGATTTGCTGCTCCCTTTTTCGCTGAACGGCAACCAGCAGCTGTCCAGGCAGCTGCAGCAGCAGAACAGGGCCTTTGCGGAGGTGAACGCCATCGTGCAGCTCGCCGCCAGCACTGCAGCCAAGGCCATCAAGGCAGCCACCAACGCTGGCAACAATGGCAACAAGGCCGACGCTGCTAGCGCCGCCATCAGTGCGGCCGCCAATTCGCTGGCGGGCTAGTGCTAAGGGTGGATGGTGTCAATGACCCATGGGTCACTGAGCCAGCAGCGGTGGTGCACGCGTGATGATAATGTCCGCTGACAGCAAGTCCTGATGGCTGCAGGTTGAAACATTTTGACACATGGAGCCGTGCCAATACGTCTTTACGGCCCCTTTGGCAGCTTGGGACACTGTGCCTGATGCTGTGGCGAGGGAATTGCTTGCGGTGCCGTACCGCATCCTGCTTTGTACTGCTAGTACGCAAAGACCAATGCGGTGCAGATCGGCTAGTGATAAGCCACATGTTGAACGCAATACGATTGGAAGGGGATGCGGAACGTGGCGAAATATCGATTGAATACTTTCCTCCCGGCTGCTGGCTTTGTAAACCACGTAATGCAAACGCTCTCGCTATCCCATGTCCTCACACCCCCCGTCGGTAGCCCATGTGGACACATGTGAACCTCGCAGTGCTCTAGGATGGGGGCTTGGGTTGGGCAGCTGGTCTCACGACGAAGGCGGTAAGAGCACAATGCAACAATGCCGACCGGTTGACTATGATAAGATCACACCGTGTGTACCGGCAGCCAAATTGCTCAAACTGCAAGCACACCTGCCGTGCGTTTGCCTAACAATGTCTCAATATATGCGCCGACTCATGTGTGAGTGCTAAACGGCACCAATACACCGCTCATAAAGGGTCCGCCAACACTCCTTGCCCGGCCGCTATTCCCCTGTGTATGCTGCAAACATCTTAATGCCATAATAGCAACCGCATGTACTACAAAGAACCCGCCACGCAATAGTTGCGACCAGTCTATGCAGTATCACCAAGACAGGCCAATGTCAGGAACAACTGATACCGGTACCAACGGAATAGTAATGGTAAGGCTCACCTCCCACTTCAGCGCCGCAGGGTTCCCTCACACCCGTCCGCCAAACTGCTCCTCGCCTAAGCCACGTGAACATGGCAATCCACGCACGCCCAACTACCGCTAGCCTCGCTAGGCAGCAACACTCAGCGCTCTTAAAATGCTCACAAAATGAGGGGCTGAGCAGGCGCTGAGGGACAAAATCTACGCCTTAATAACACTAACGCCCCACCCCAAGGCTACAGTGGGCTGTCCGGCATTCCTCTGCTATGTGTCATTCATTCGCCACCAACCTCCACAACTAAAGCAGTCCCCACTGCAGTCGCCAAGCCACGGCTACTGCTGCTACTACTTCGGTTCTCACTCCTCCAGAGCAGCGTTCAGGAATTCCTGGACCGTCGCCCGGTATTCAAACGTAACCGACAGCTGCGCCTCATGCCCCACTCCCTCCCAGGCCCTACGCAGCGCGACCAGCAGCCGTCTGCTCGGCGGCCACTTCAGCCGCAGCTTGCTCCCATCAAGCCGCTTCTTGCCTTTACCCTCGGCATCCCCAGCTTGCGTGGACGCGGCGTCCTCCTCCTCCTCTCCCGCACCCTCGCCAGACGCCGCTGCCGCTGCCGCACTCGCATCACCCTCCTCCTCCTCAACCTCCGCAGCAGACGTCGCTCCCTTGTACCAGAGCGGTAGCTTCGGGTACAAGCTCCTAATGCCCATGATGGCAAATGCAATGTCGGATGCCGACATGGAGGGTAGCTCGGCTTCCAGCTTCGCCCAGAGCTGCAGAGGCGGCGGCGGGATGGGTGTTAGGATGATCAGGGTTGAGGTCGGCATGCATTGACACGAGTGCTGAGCGGGACATACGGCATGGAGAGCGTGACATGCTTGGGAAGCGCAACCACCTTATAGTATTGTTGTCAGGCCCTTGCCGGGACCTATGTGCGCTCTCGAGCTCGCAACCAAGCGCATGCTGCACCAAGTTTGCCCAGACCAGCAGCATCCCACACCCACCCCCTCTGCCAACACAGCCTAGCACCACGCATGCCCCGCTACGGTACCTCCTCTTCCTACTGTAGTTTACCCCTCGCCCTTGCTGCACCCCCTCCTTGCTGCACCCCCCTTGCTGCACCCCCCTTGCTGCATGCCGCTCACTCCTCCCACCTTTGGAATCCAGGCCGGCGGCCTGCTGCCAAACTTGCCCATCGTGTAAACCAGCCTCGCCAGCGCCTCCCCCTTGCTGGCATGCAGCCGCCCCTCAAAGGCATCCAGGTAGGCAACCATCCAAGCGGCGGTGGGCCGCACGTGCATCTGCAGCAGCGACATGAGCAAGTTCGAGAGCGCCTGCGCGTCGCTGTCAGGCAGCACGCGGCGAGCCAGCGCCAGCAGCTTCGAGGCCTGCAGGCATGCGGGTAGGGATGGGCGGAGTGGGCAGTGGGTAAGGGTGTGCAGAGGCGCGGGGGTGGCGATGTGGGAAGGTTGGGAGGGCGGCAAGTGGAACAAGCCAGCACACCACACAAACACGAGCAGGCGCCCTCTGTCAGCAATCATTCACTCATTCCCATTCCGCGCACACAACACCCTCCATTTTCCTTCATTCAATGGCAAGGCAGTGCAAGACTGGTGTGAGGTAAGTCAGTAGAGACGCAGCGCACCTGGTATTCGGAGGGCTCAAAGCCCAGCGGGTGCAGCGAGACCAGCACGTCCTGCAGCTGCGTGGCGCTCAGCTTGTCACCCCATTGTACGGCACTGCGGAGTGCGGAGTGGGGTGCAGCGGGTGGCGGGTGGGTGGGTGGGTGGGTTACACAGGAGCCACAGCAGGACATGGATATGTGCCCGGATAGGTCCCACCGCGGAGGACGGGAGGAAGCAGGGAGCGGTAGCACACAGCAGCACTCCCGCTCCCGCTCCTCAACCACCTGAAGAATGCCGCCCCCCCGCCCCACTCCCACTCCCTGCCCCCCAAGCCGCCCTTCATGACCAACCCACCGGAACACCGCCCTGCTGACCAGCTCCGGCGGCACGGGCGCCATGTCCGCCCCGCAGTGCGCCCTCAGCTGGTTCAGCGACCACAGCGTGTTGGACACAGCCTGCGAACGAGGGGGAGCACGGGGGGCAGGGTAAGCCAACAGCTGCACATGGCAACAACTCCTTTTCACCTTTCTTACCAACGCAGTTTAACCACATCCGGCGCGCCCAACATGATCCGCACCTGTCCCATGTCCATGTCCCGCACCTGGCCTCTCCTTCCCCTCATCAACTCCATGCCCCCGCTCCCAACAACCAAGCACCCACTCACACGCCCACCTCCCGCCCTCCCTGCCCCCCCCACCTGCACGTCCGGCGTCTTGCTGTCCGCCAGCACCAGCCGCCCCACCGCCACCCACACGGCCGCCCAGAAGTCGCGGATGGGCGGCACGAAGCGCAGCAGCGCCAGCCCCAGCAGCACGTTGGACAGCTGCTGCGGCCGGTCGGCGCGCGGGAGCTCCTTCAGCAGCGCGATGCTCAGCTGTGCGTGTGGGGGGGCGGGGTGGGGTGAGGTGGGGTGCGGAAAGGTGAGGAAGGTGGGTGATAGAGATAGGGAAGGAGGAAATGGGTGCGTTGGAACGGGTGGGTAGAGTTGGGGATGGGTTGGGTGAAAATACAGATACAAGTAGGGTTAAAGAGGCTGTAGTAGCCTAGTAGGCCATGTGCGGGTTAAACATGTAGGCCATGAGCGGGTGGCGGGACGGCGCTTGGGCGCGGGGATGTTGATCGCAGCCACCCAAACAGACAAAATTTCGGTACGGTTTGTAGCCCCTCCTGTCTGAGGCCATCTTAATTCCCTCTTCCTCGCCGCACCTGCTTCATGAACAGCCCGCGCGGGTGGTATCCCAGCCGGCCCAGCGCCCACACCACATTCGAAATGTCCTGCATGCTGAAGTTCCTTAGCTTGCTCCCCGCAGCTGCAGTCCACGCATCCAACAGCTCCTCCGATACCAGCGTCGTCCGCTGCTGATGCTGCTGACCCTCGCCCTCCGCGGCTGCTGCAGCAGCCTTCGCGGCCTCCAGCGCCTTCTTGCCTCCTCTTACGCGTAGCGGCCGCTGCCGCTGCTGTTCCTGTCCTTCACCCGATGATGACACCTCTCCAGCCGTTCCGTTGGGGTGGTCCTGTGGACCGCTCGCGGAAGAGGAGGGCCGCTGGGTTGAGGGTGCGCTACCCTCCTGCTGCTGGGGCTTAAGCTTCGCAGCAGCCCACACCACGTTTGCTAGGCCGCGGGCTTCCATGCTCTCTAGCTGCTGCGGCGTGGTGCAGGCCTGCAGCTCCTGCACGAAGGCTGCTAACTGCGCTGGGTCCAGCTGTTGCTGCTGCTGCTGCTGCTGCTGCTGTTGTTCTTGCTGTTCCTGCTGCTGCGATGGCTGGGGCTGCTGCTGCGTCTGGGGTTGTCGCGAGGCGGACGCTGCTTTGGACGGCGTTAGGATCATGGACGGGGATGATGAGGGGGAGGGCGTGTCTTGTGCGCCGTCAACGCTGCCAGCGGCCCGGCGGCTGGCGGCCGCGGAACGGCGGTCTGTAGCCGAGACAAGCTTGGCTAGCCGCGTCCATAACTGTTGCGGAAAGGGACAATGGAGCGGTTAGTTTGGCGGGGGTCAGGGGTTCGACAACACTCGCATGGGGCATGCAGGCTGGCGAGGATCAAGTTGCTCCAGCTGCCCTAGCCCCTCGGATACTCGTGCCCGTCTTCCCGGGAAGCCCTGTCCCTTAATCCGGTCCCGGTCCTGATGGCGATCGCCATCCAAACCCAATATGCCACACTCCTGCCCCACCGTGGCAATGTGGATTGCGTTGATGTCGTGCTGCCGGCCCACTTCAAACAGCTGCTGCAGCTCCGAAATGGATTCTGCAGCTGTCAGCTGTGCGGTGTACTCCCTAGGCTGGAATTCCCGAGTTCGGGACGTCGTGCGCCTGCGGCTGCTACCCGTCCTGGAAACACCATTCGCCTGAGTGCTGTCAGGGCTGACCGCAGCCCGCTTGCGGCCACCTGGTGTTTGCGAAGCGGCAGAACTGGTCGTCGCATTGCGACTGCTTCTAGCCCGCTCCAAGTTTGCTACTTGGTCGCTGTTGGCTGATGCAAGTATCGAGTCACCGTTGTCGCTGGAATGGTGCGGTGCAGCTGCATCCGAGCGGTCAGCAAAGGCATTCCCATGCGCGCTCTTTGAAGGGACCCTCCCTGTGTCCTGTAATGGGCCAGTATCTGAGGCGCGCGACGAAGGTGCGGCGATACTGGTGACTCGAGCGGCAACCGCGCTCCGTAAGTGCGCGGTAGACAACCGGACGCACCGAGCCTGCAAATCATCGGGCAGCCCCAGGAGTCCCAGAGTGGCATGAGAGGCGAGTAATATCAGCAATTGACGAAAATTGAATACAATTCAACCCGGTTTGCGCAAGAAAAAAAGTCGTGGCGGCGGTAACACGAGCGCCCTCTGCACCGATTTCGCATACAAGCAGTTCAATTTGAACCCATGACGTCCAAAAAGAAATTGAAAGATTCGGGTCAGCGAAAAACACTGCGTGCCAAATTTGTGGCAGACGTGTCGCGGCATTGCTCACGGCTCACACAACACTACCTCACCTTGAAAGGCGTTATTTCGGCTACATGCGTTGCAAATTGAGCCCTCATGTTACGGTGCACGGCTTCGCTTATAGGAGGAACTCCCCGGCACTCGGAAATCTACTCCAATGTTAGCGCAGGAAACAAATGCCTAACTGGTATAAGGACTGCCTAAAAGCACAGATATGCTCGTGGTGCGTGATAGTGTCGCATCGACGAAGTTTTACATGTCTACGGTTGTCGTACACTGTTGGTGTTCATAAGCAGGAGGACCCATGTATCCCTCACGCTCTCAAATTATACACGTTTACAGTACTTCCATTATTTGTCTCCAGTTTTAGAGTCCTCTATAGGCGTGAGAATGGCAAGTGCGGTTGCTATGCCCGATGGTCGGACACTCAGGATTCGGTTATATCGCCCTGAGGACCGTGACCAAGTATATCGCGTGTTTCGACAGGGCATGGAAGGATTAACAAAGGTTGCAGTTCGACAATACTATTCCAACTATCCATCAATGAAGCTGGTTTCATGTGCTGTTCCGGCGGCGGCGTTCCTGTTAACACCCAAGCGCTGCAGCTTTGCTATGAAGGCGGCCATCGGAATCGGCGCCATTGCGGCGACTCCGCTGGTCGTCTATGGCTTCATGCGACACGTCCTAAGGAGCTATGTGAACGAGAGCATCAACGACGACTTAAAGAACATCGAAACGTTTTACTCGGTAGCGGGTGCGGGTCACGGCAGCGCGTTTTGGGTGGCCGAGCTCGTCGAGGCAGCACCATCCACGTCCTCTGCCGAAACGCCCGCTGCGGCCCAAAGGCAAGAGGCCGCGGAGCCCGCAGTCGTGGAGGTGGTACCAGTAATTCAGCCGGCCAGCGTGCAGGCTCCAGCGGCCGCACCTTTCCAGGCGCCAGTGCCGTGCACGGCCACCTTCGAAGCCAAGGCGGCAGCTGAGGCCGATCCCGTGAAGTCCCTGGTAAGCCGCTTGATTGCGTCTGCCATTGCCCAGGAGGGGGCGACACGGCCAGCTGTCACAGCTGCGCCTGTTGCGACCGAGGAGCCTGCCAGCAACACCAGCGCATCCTCGCTGCCTGCTGCTGCCGTCGCTGAGGAGACGCCAGCCAGCAGCGCCGCCCCAAGCGCCACCTCCTCCCGCTGGACCCTGCCCGTCCTCGCGTCCGCCGCTACCGCAGCCCAAGTCCCGGCATCCGCACCCGCACCAACATCCGCGCCCTCCACGGCGCCTCGGCAACCCGTTATTATCGGCCATGTTGCGCTGGAGCGCAAGACCTGGCAGGTGGCGGAGCTCCGCCGCATGAGCGTGGCGCCCGCTTACCGTGGCATGGGCATTGCGGGCAAGATGCTGGATGTGCTGGTTCAGCACGCGCGCGACAACGGTTTCCGGGAGCTCTTCCTGACCACCTCCAGCCTGCAGCCGCCGGCGCAGCGGGTGTACGAGCGCGGCGGCTGGACGCTGGAGGAGGTCAAGACGTGGCAGGGCATGCAGCTGTTCAAGTTCACGCTGGACTTGATCAAGAAGCGCTAAGCTATTAAACGTGCGCTTGTGAGTCAGACGGTGACCCGTGGGTCGAGCTGAAGGAGGTTAAGCTGCATTGGAGCCATGCTTTATATTTGGGGATGGTATTAAGGGAGGCTGAGGTGGGCTCCAGCATGCTTGGGTAGGTAGGTGTGGGCGAAAAGGATGGCGGAGAGAGGGCATTGACTGAAGGTTCTGTATACATGTGTCAGTTCCGCAGCAGAGGTGCTCGGGGTGACTTCGTGCGCTGTGATAACGGTTATACCGGTTTGGTGCAGAAGTCATGCATTATACGCGCCTGTATTTTTTTATCCTGTTTGTGGCTGATCGTTTAGGGTTGTTTTACTATTCGGCGACTGCTCGGTCCAGCCTGTCGTGGATTCTATCCTGGTACCTGAAATGACAAAGGTACGTGGTTACCGTGTCTGGCCAGGTAACGCTTTTGGCTCCCTTCGCGAAAGCGACGGTGTCCAAACTGGCGGGATGCTGCGGGGCTAAGCTACGCACACATGACTGTTGTCATCCATGGTTAGCTTGATTGCTGTAGTGTTTGCCGCTAGGGCGCGTTATGACTGCAGACCCATTCTCTTTGCTAAACTTGATAACATGTGGGTACGCTCACGTCTGCGTGGCTGGAAAGCACGTTGCTGTTGCAACGGTAACGTGCCCCCACCTGTGGGCTCCTACGTTACTGAGCCACCTGTGCTAGGTGTAATCTGGGCGATGTGTGGGCGCATTACTGTCATGTTGAAATCAACACTATACGTGAGTTGGTCTCACTTGTGTACCAATGCACCTTGCATCATAGTGCGCCGGACTAACATTGTAATAAAGCACGACACTTTCTTTTTGCCTTCATTGCTAGGAGACGTAAAGGACGCCCAGCGTGCCATCCATTCCTGCCATGCTGCGAGCGCATTTTCCATGTATGCATAGCCTTAATAGCTCGAGCTGGCCAGGCAGACAAACGGCTGGACATGCCACATGTTACCAGCAACTAAGGACATCGCTGACAAGCCAAAAGACTCTGTATAATTCCATTCTCTTGTACCGAAACCTGTGTTTATGCCGGTAGTTGAAAGCTTTGCATTCCAATACCTTACACGGAGTCGGTCCTGTTCTGTTGTACTAGCAATTCCTACCTTGCATCCCGCCTGGCTTGCTGCGTCAAGCACAAACAACCTAACATGGAGTTAAAATATCTTGCTGTTTTTTAATTGTTGCATGCTGGAGCTTTAAGGAAACAACTTACCAGCTACTCGGTTTCATTAATCACCCGCATGTTTTGGCTATTTACCAACTGCGATTAGTACAGATTTACAAGACGGTGGTATTCGCGTACCGGTAGTCCCCGGATATTACGAAAGGCAGGAGCGACAACTGGGCTTCGCCACAGCTGCGGGCGAGCCGTTAAGTGGAGGTGCGCTGCCATAGTACCTTAAAGATAGTGATGAAATGCTTTCCTGGTGCCGGAACGTTTCGTGGATGCTGTTTCAGGGGATAGATAGGTCCGCAGATGTCGTTTGGTTTCGAGCTGGAAGAATCATATTTGTATTGCTGACAGTTGTATTCTAAAGCGGCTGTACCTAATAAGGGGTTTTCGCATGCATCCTGTGTGGTAGCGGCACACCCATTTCCTTGACTCACATCTACCCGAAAGTCTAACTCCGGATGAAGCATGCCTAATGCAGGTCGTCGAACATATGTCGGTTCGCCTGCAATCTGCTGTACCTTTTCAGCAGCGGCGGGTTTCTAGTTGACCAGTGGCGGTATACCCATGGAACCCGGGGGCACACGGGGCCCTCGGGGCCGGTCTAGTGATACTGAAGTTGCACTTACGCCGGTAAGTCGCAAAGGTTTACTCTTTCGTACTCTTGGCATGAAATATGCCTTGGAATGTTGCCAATAGGCAGTTGTATGCGATGTGACAGTTGGGTTTCTGGACTGTTGCCTCGATTCGTTGTGCCTCGGGCCCTCTTGCCCACGGCTTGGTGTGCCTCGGGTCCTCAAGGCTATAGCCTGCTGCGTGCAAGCAGTGTATCTCTAAGCACTGCCTTCCAATTGTGTGTCTCTCGCTGCATGTTGACCCGACACCATGTAACGCCACCGCCGCGTTTTGCATCGAAAGCACTGAAATGTCTTCCCGGCCATATCCCCCTTTCCACTATATGCCTACCTTTCCGGTCAATGTTGGCTCCGCACAGCGAGGCCCTGTGAGCGAAGATGTCATGGCTGCGATCTACGATCGCGCCACCGCCATCTTCTCCGGCCATAAGCACAGGGCTTCGGGCATGCTGGAGCCTTCGCAGGGGCCTTATGCCCTGGCACTTGTGGGTGCCATGCTGGGCCTCAACCAAAAGCAGCTCGGTAAGCAGCAAATAGGCGGCTACAGCATAGTACACGTACCCATGACGCCATTCCACATGCTTCGACCGGCACCTGAAAGACCGGCATTGCCTCTAGGCAGCCTTAAGCACAGCGAACTGTACTTGTGTACGGAAATGGGGGACTTTGACACGCGTAGTGGTCCCTAGTGCTAGGCACAACAGTCGCGTGGTCTAGCAGGTGCCCACGCACTGCATTACAAAACTACACACCTCTTCGCAATAACCTGCAGACGGGGAGTTGCAGCTGACAGCTAAAGTGGGGCGCCGCTCCCTCAGTTATGAGGAGTTCATGTCAGCCTGCGAGGCGATGGTGGCGCTGCATGGGGCCCTGGCGCAGCAGCAGGTTAAGAGGCTACAGAGTAAGTGCTAGAGCTTTGGGGAAAACACGATGCCGCGACCCCTAAAGCGGGAGCGGCAAACCTGACAGCTGGGAGCCTATGGAAAGGAAGCCGACGGTGGTAGCCTTAAAAGGCCTCTCAACGCCTTGTAGAGGGCAGCACTGTTGAAACCGTCATCATTTTGGGTCATGGGAGCCATGCGGCTAGGGAAGGTCCGGTTCATAAGCAGTGCTCCGGATCCAGATCAGGATCCTGACTCTGTTCCGACCTGGGTTTGCTGGCGTGCACGCAGATAACGACATGAGCAGTGCCCTTCGTGCCGCGTTCAACCGGTACGTGAAGATCAACGCTGGGGGCTTCGTGGGCGGCGATCAGCGCATGAACAGCAACCAGTTTATCAAGATGTGTCAAGACGCGGGCGTCATGGAGCCTAACGGTGAGTTCCAACCTCCAAACGGCATGAGTCCGGGAGGTCTGGGTGGATGCGGCCTCTTTAGGTGCGAACATGGCTGCGAGGGCGGCTATTACGACGTAAGGGCATCACAAGCGATGTGACCTGCGTCAATCCTTCGGGTAGTGGTACTTACGTTCCTGGTTGCGCCACCACCCAACGCAGGTCCTGCCAGCATGTCCACTCTGCAGCTCAGTTGGGCCTCATGCAAAGCGACCTTTGGATCCACACGGCTGCAGTACAGCCAATTCCTCAAGGTACGATCCAACCAGGGCTCACTTGGTCATGACATTCGTATCCAGCCTCCCCGCCCTGATCTCCGTACTGTCATCCTGTACGACATCCTGTCATCCTGTACGTCACCCGGTCCTGTACGACAGATCCTTGGCGCGCTTGCTGCGGAGCTCTCAGGCGATGTGTTCCTGCTGGTAGCGGGGCTGGGCCTTGAGCTGCCTACCGTGCCGCCGCTGCGGAACGGCTTCCGCAAGCCGGATGCTGGCGAGGTCACGCTGTCGAGGCCGGAGGTGCTTCAGGGCGTTGGGTCGCATGTTGCGGCGGAGGAGGCGTACGAGAAGTACCTGCAGGAGGGCCGGGTGAGTGGAGGCCAGGAGGGCAGCGGAGTGGGGATACGTGGGATTGCGAGCTCTCCCGGGTCTTGGACACACGCTTACTTACATCTGCCTTCATGTGTGCCCGTCCTGTATCCTGTGTGCATGTACCAGGCTCCCGACAAGCGCGATCCTCTGGCACGGGCGAGTGTGTCGCCCATTAAGGGTCCACGTGCTTCCAACACGGGTGCGGGAGTGCCGAACTGGGTCAAGGCCATGCAGGTAAGGAGTTCGCAGCGTGCTCAGATTGCCGTACCTGTAACCAGCCAGAGCACCTGCCGCCCGCCGTAGCCTTGCATGTCGACAATGACAATGACGGTGGCCTCTTTTGGGCCTGCCTCACATCCTGCCTCCCGCCTGTCAACCACGTCAATGCTGTCCAGGCCGACCAAGGGGGCGCAAGTCCCATGACCAGCGGCCAGGACATCCGCGGCATTCCCGTCATCGAAACACCCGACAGTGATGACGACATGCCCCGGAAGCCGGCGCGGAAGAGCATGCCGCCAGGTGGGAGGAATGGGACGGCGGCACCATGCATAGCGGGATTATCCTTTCGCAAGCTCCCCGCGCACGCATGCATTTTGCACGGCATCTTGTTTCTGGAAGAGGCAAGTGATCCAGCAAGGGCGCGGCTATCGAAGCCCGGCGGCAACTGCTCTGCTTTGCACGCTTCGTCATTGCTGGTATTACCGATGCGGCATAAGATACGGCCATAATACTCGAAACACGCCCTCCAACTCTGTGCGTCCTCAGTGCCTCCGGATGAGCCCACGCCTCGCGCCAAGGCCTCCCCCATGCGGCCCCGCGGCGGAAAGCTGCCTGCCATGGGCGGCGGGGACGCGCTGTCGCCGCCCCTCAGCCCCGAACTGCTGGTTCGTTCGGATATCTCCGCTAGCAGTTATAGCGCACCGGGAGGCATTCGGGTGGATGCGGGGCCGATGCAGGTAGCCCCGCGCCCTCGCGAGTCGGTGCGCAACGGCATAACCACAGAGCTGGAAAGCCCCATTGCTCACCTGGTGAGTGTACGGTTATCTCTTAGATGCGGGCTTGATGGCGTGGGTGAGGAGCGAAGTAGCCTGGGATGCATGACAGGGCTAAAGCGGTATACTCTGTGGGTTTCAACTCCATTTTACATATCCCTCACAGCCCATTTCCCCTCTAGATCACGGTCCTCTCACCGCCCTCATGCCATCCTTCCCGCATACAGGAACCCTCCATCCTGTCCGGGGCGCCGCGACCGCGCAAAAGCGTGGCGGGAGCGCCCGAGGGCTTCCGCGAGGTGGTGGAGCAGCAGGCGGCTGCTGTGAAGGCGCTGGAGGGGCGGGTGCAGGAGCAGCAGCAGCGGGAGAAGGAGCTGTTTGAGCGAGTGCAGCTGCTGACGGACAAGCTGGCGGACGCGCAGACGGCGGTGACGGTGCAGGTGGGCGCAGGCGACATGGGCGGCATGGCAGGGGCGGCATAGACCAGTACTGGGGACACAGCCCCGGGGTTGGATACATCGGGTCATTGCTGTCTTCGCGGGTTCCTGCGGAAGACAACGGTGTCGAATCGGAGATGTTCTTGTCGTACAGCTCTAATGCATGTATGCCTACCGGCACCCGCCTGCATGCAATCCCTTCCCATGCAGTCTGGTTGCCCTGGCGGCGCGCTGCCGGACGTGCCTCAAGGAAAGGGCCGCACCGTGGTTTCGGGGCGGTGTCCCCTGACGGACCAGGTGGAGAGGCTGACGGAGCAGATGGCGGAGGTGCTGGCACGGCTGAGCGCGTTGGAGAGCATACGGCTGCAACCCAAGGCGCCGGTGAGATAAGGAACGGGTTGACGGGCCTAGCGGGGCGCCTTGGGCGTGGGCCCGGTCAGTAAGAGAAAGTACGGTTGAGGGGCCCCTGGGCCGATTCGTGCTGGCGGTTAGGCTGCTAGTCTTTACCGTATTTGCGGTCTATGCCTGGCGGTAGCCAATCTCTGTGACGGAATGCCGAATTCTGTATGTCGGTATTTGAACCCCTTGCCCTTTCAGAACGAGCCTCCACCCAAGCAACGTAACCCAGTGGGCGCACGCACACCCGAATTTCCCGAGGAGCCTGCCACGGTGGTTCCCGTCGCTCCCTCCTGGGGACCGCCAGCGGGCGGTCGCAGCCCGCGCATGCCCGAACCGGATGGCCCACGGGTCATTCAGCAGCTGGAGCCCGCGGTTAACGCGACCCAGGGCGAGTGGATGAGCCGGTTGCTGCTGAACCTGGATAAACGCGTGCGGTTGCTGGAAGGGTCTTCTGGCAAGGGAGGCGAGGAGGGCGACAGCGAGGCTCTTGGTGAGTTGTTCTTATCCATGTTATTCTTGCCCTAAGGCCATGTTACTTCCTCACATGGACGTCTCCGCATGCAAGCACTTCAATACGTGTATCCTGCTACCGTTCCTGTCGTAACCTCCGGTGTCCGCTTGCATCGCATGGGCCTTACCTGAGTCTTCAGACGGTTCCAAGCCATGCTATGTGGCCTTCCATAGTTGTGGCATGCATCCTTTAAATTGTACCCATAACCCTTTCCTCCCTCACCTTCTGCAGCCGAGGTGCTCAAGCAGCTGCGCGGCATGCATCCCGTCGCCTCTCCCGCGCCGCCCGCCCCGCCGGTCCCCACCGCCTCCCCACCATCCACTCCTCCGCCCGATCCCGCCTTCCTCAAAGTGGATCCCAGACGCAAGGTGGAGAAGGTCACGGACAGCGTGGATCCGGCGCCAGGTAGGCAAGAGCCTGCGAACACGCTTATGACCTGGCAGAATCAGCAATCGGCAACGGGGAGGGTGGCTACGAGACGTACGAAGAGAAGGCGCTGGCCGAGTATTACCTCAGCCTTCTAGGGGCTCATGTGCGCAATGCACTGCTTCCTTGCGTTCGGAGTTAAGCATGCCGTGCCGCCCCCCCCCCCACCCATGCCGCAGCGCTGGTGCCTACTGGAGACCCCGAACTGGACCGTCGTCTAGCTGCGCTGTCCAACGAAATGCGCAGCAAGAACGCGACTGTGGGAGTGCTGCTGGATATGCTGAACCAGACGCGTGGCGAGGTGGGAAGGGCAGGGGTGCGGCTGTGCTGTTTGCAATTGGGAATAGGGCACGGAAGTCAGAGCTTAGAGGCACATCTGTTGGCTTGTAAGATATGACCTCACCAGGGCTTGCCATGTACGGTACATGGTTCGCTTAGGATTATGTAGCTTGGTTGCCTTGCTCAGGAAGGCTTTTCATTGTGAACTTGCAATCAACAGGTGGCGGCGCTCGCGGCGCAGCTCAATGCTCGCAGCGGCGGCACGGACGGTGGCCCCGTTGTTGTCGGTCACCGCCCCACTCCGCCCAGCACCCAGCCGCGCAACCCTGTTGTGGTGGTTGACGGCGGGCTGGCGCCCCCAGAGGGAGCACCCTCGATCTCGCCCGGCTTGATGCGGCCCAGACGACGGACCGGCGAGCCGAGCTCAGAAGGTGGGTACTGGCGAATGCCAGAAACGCATACTCCTCTCCTTCTTTAGGTACGACTTCCCTTTCCACGACGCTCGTTAATTACAGCCTCCTCCAGTCTCCGTACCCCCCGCTACTGCCCTCTTATCGTCCCTCCCGTGACCTACCCACATCATCATCCCTCCGTGTTATGACTAACAATGCATCCCATGCATCCCTCCTATGGACGCCTCCCACAGCCGTCATTCCCCTGGAGCCCCACCTGGAGACGGTGATGTCGGAGCAGCAGGGCATTAAGCGGGTGGTGCGGGAGCTCTGCGCCGCCATAGGCCTGCCGCCGCCTCCCATCGTGGCGCCCGTGATCGTGTCGCCCTCACCAGACCCAATCATAGCGCGCAAGGCCAGCTCCGAAACCGGCATGGAAGCCGTACAATGGGGCCAGCCAGGCCGGAAGACGATTAGGGAGGAGGCGCAGGAGGTGTGCAAGGGGCGCAGGGCGGGACGGGCGGGTCCCACGGGGCGCTGACTTGGACTTTGTCAGTGGGAACGACGGTTTTCTGGTTAGCAGCATAAGGAAAAGGGGGCCTGATACGAGCCAGGGTACGCGAGAAGGATAAAATCTACTGCTGAGCACCTTTTCCCTTCCCACCTGCGCAGGTCAAGCGTAACGTGGAGGGTGTCCAAGCGGATGTGGGCGAGCTCAAGAAGCAGGTCGAGCAGATCCGTGCCGGTTACGGCTTTGCGGAGTGGCCGCAGCCTCTGCGGCCTGATGGCAGCACCACGACGACGGTGGTGGTCCCGGGAGCAGGCCCCATGCAGGCTGCGGCCCAAGCAGGCGGCCGTAATCCCGTGCAGGTGAGTTGGCCCGTGCTGCTATCTCCTTTCGTAGGGTATATGAAAAGAGCATGCTCAGCGTTGTTACTGGAATTGTTGTCAAGCGTTTTTACACTTTCGGCTGGTTTCTACGTATCACCCTGCCTACGCCGCAGGTAACGGTTGGCGCGCCCAACCAGCCCGCCGACGTGCAAGGTTTCGCGCCAGGCCGCAGACCGCTGCAGCCGCTTGTCGGAGACGCCACCATTGCACCCCTGCCAGACGCCCAAGTCCATGCTCTCAAGGATGAGCTCAGACGTGTTAAGGCATTTGTGGGCATGGCGGAGGCTGCGCCGGCAGCGGAGGCAGCCGGCGTCGCTGGCACGGTCGCTGCTGCGGCGGCGCCTGCTGCGGCCGCCGCTGCTGCCGTGGAGGAGGGCAAATGGGCGGATGCAGGACGGGGGCCGCAGCCGTTAAGGGAGGCGGTGGGCACGGTGGCTACTGATGTGGAGGGGCTACGCAAGCACGTGAAGGCGGTGAGTGTTTGCTGCTAGAAATGGGAACCAACCCCACTGCTTTAAGCACTACGCACTGGGTACGTACGCAGCTGCTTGGTGTTCACCTGGAGTGCATTTCGCGACGTGCCCCTTGCCCCGTAAAAATTAGGTAATGTTTCCCGCCTGCGCAGATGGATGCCGCGCTACGCACCAACATCGCCAACACCAACAACTTGACAACCTTCCTCAACGAACATGCGCCGGTGAGTGTGGCAGCGCGCTGTTGTTAACGCATGTACCGCATATGACCTAGTACCGGTAATTGTACGGGGGAACGTTTGCCAATTGCAGCCTTGACTTCAACCTTGCCGGGCCATGCCGTTCCCACTGATCCCACAGGCTTTGATACAAGTGGCGCAGCAGACCAAGGACGGCACCGCGGCTGCAGGCGGACGCTACCCGGTGGTTGCTGCGGTGGGAGAAGTGCAACAGCAGCAGCAGCAGCACGGCATGTCGCCTCCGCCCAGGCATGGCATGCTACCTCTGCAAGCAAACGGTAAGTTGGACGCCAGTATCACCGCGGGTCACTCCCGGCGCCATCGAAGCAAACCCCACATTATTGTCCGCCCTAATACACATGCATTCGGTTGTAGACCTTACCGACATTACCGGGCATCCCGTATGTTTGTAGTGTTTGTAGTCGACTAGCCGAACCTCAACTGAATCCTAAACGCCTTAGGTCTGTACGGCACTCGCAGGTAACCTTGAGCACGGTGTGGTGGACCCGGTGGAGTACCACCAGCTGCGGGATCAGGTCCGCAACATCGCTCGCTTCCTCGGCGGCCCCGCCTTGGAAATCGGGCCAAGCACACAGGGCTCACCTGCACCTCCAGCGCCGGCGCCGCCGTCGGCCTCCGCCACCGCCGCCGCGTCAACGGAACCGGAGCGTGTCTCGGTACAGCCGTGGGCGGTGGGAGGTCGTGGCGGCGGCGCTGGCGGCACCGTAGCGGAAGGTTTGGGCCAGGTCAGCGGAGAGGTGGAGGTGCTTAAGAAGCAGCTGGGGCAGATGGGACATGCGCTGCGGGCGGCAGGGCTGGTGGACCCGGCGGTGCTGGCGGTGACGCCGGGCGGACAGGAGGTACGGTAAATGGAGCACACGTCATGTGCACTATTCATTATGGCTAGTGATTGAACCGCCGCGGTTTAAGGTCTGGTGGTCGTCTGAGTCGTCTTATGGGTCGCCTGTTGACTGCGTGCTATGCCATGCTAACGGCCGTGCTCTTGTGCTTGCTCTCAATCCTTGCGCGCCTCCTTGCACTATGCGAAACCTGTGGCGAGATTTGTATCCTGCCGCAATACCGCCTGCTTTACCAGGTTGTGGGCGTCTCGGCTCGGCCTGGAGGTCAGCGCAATGCAATCAGCGTCACACCGGGCGTTCAAGGCTCGGATGGCTTAACAGGCTTTGCGCCGCCACAGCAAAAGGGCCAGGCCGGGATGGAAGGTACTCTCTGTCGCATTTGCCTAAAGCGTACTGCTCACGTCCATCTCCACAGCTGCGCACTTTGTGCACTGCGTCCTATAGGCATTCGTTAGTGCGTTGCATAGTGGCTGTAATATTGTTTATTTCCTAGGGATGTGCGGATGGCACATCCCTAGGAAGAGCCACCTTTAAGAACATGCATGGGCATGCATGACTTGTTTTGGAGCCCACATGCCTGGCTGATCTTGCGGTCATGGCTGGCCGCATGCAGGCACGACGAGCCTAGAGCCTGTTGTGGCGGATGTGGGTCTGCTGAAGGACGACGTCCGCGCGGTCAAGCAGTTCCTGGGAATGTCAGATGCCAGACCGGAGGGACGCGATGTGGTCGCGGTGGCTCCTGCGCTACCGCTCGGCGGCAGCAGCAACCCAGGACAGGCGGCGGCTGCAGCCGGGGAGCCGTGGGGCGATAAGGGGCGAGGCGCTGCACATGCTGATGGAGACAAGGTACACCCCCGTACTGGTGGACATTGCGGACATGGGTCCTCGCTAGGAGGGGAGTGTATAGGAAGATCAAAAACGGACTTCCAAAAGGATGGACGCCCTCATGCTTTCGCTCGAGCTATGTCGTGCCAGGGATACCTGATGTGGAACCTTCTACTCGGCACTAGTATCCTGACAGGAGCACTATCCTTTTCCGGCCTTGCTCCTGTCGGCCCTTGCAGGTAGCCTTTGGCAGCCAGGGTGGCCTTGCCCAGGAGGTCGACGCCGTACGGAGGCGGCAAGCGGATATGGAGGAGGCGCTGCGAAGGGCCAATATCCCGCTGCCGATCCCGTTGGCCGAGCAGGTAAGGTGCACACAGGCGTAACTGCAAGTGTTTCACAAGCATCTACAAATATACTGCTTCCTATGCCGGTCCAGTGTGCACCTCGTCCCATGCCCTTGCGCTATCTTTACTTGTAACCGTTTAGCGCTAAATAACGATCCTCCCTTCCCTGTATGCCCCACGCAGGACGACTCGGCTGTTCGTGTGGTGCCCGCCACCGCTGCCGCTGGTGCTGGAGCCCAGCGCAACGCAATTGCCGTGTCACCTGGATTGGTGCAACGACCCGACGCCATGGGTTTCACGGCCCCCAGGCGCTCGCTACAGCCTCTACACACGATCGAAGGTGCGTGGGCTTCTTTGGATCCTGCTTGTGCCGGTTGCGCCTGACAGCAATTGGCTTTGCGGTTTACAATCGTGTACACAACATCCTCCATTCCGTCGTTTTGTCAAACCTCTAAATGCGTGTTGCGGTCTCATGGCTTAAGCAGGCCATGTATGCGTGTTCGTTAGCCCATGTGCCCCTCTGCCCCATCCTACCTCCATGGCTATGCTCATGCTCAGGTGTGCCCGAGCCGGTCATCAGTCACCTGGGAGCCATGCAGGACGATCTCCGTCGTGTAACAGCCTTCTTGGGCATGCAGCCCGTTGCCACGGACCCCATGCCGGTTCAGCAAGGGCAGCCGACGTCCGCCGCGCACCCCATGGCAGCTGCAGCCCCGGCGGCGGCACAGCAGCCATGGGCGTCTGGGGGACGCGAAGGAGCGGCCGGTGGTGGTGATGCACCGGTGCAAGTGGAGCGATTCAGTAAGTGCTCAGGGAGAGTGTGCTGCCGGAGAAGGGGCTATGGTGCACGGCCCGTGGGTCTATGTTGTCTCTGGGATTGAGCTGTGTATGCGGTGATGGAACGGCGCATGGACGTAGCTGTGATAGGGGCTCTTTCCTCTACGGCAATGCCTATGCAATCTTTTTATATGGATGGCGACAAACGCACACCCCGGGCCCTTACTTGCAGGCGACGTCGTGAGGGACGTGGATTACAACAAGCGGCGTACCGCAGCCCTAGAGGAGGCTCTCCGCGCCGCCGGCATCCCTATCCCTCCGCCTGTCGAAGCCTCCGTCACCCATGTAGCAGCCGCGGGCTCACCCGAGCAGGCTAGGCAGTCCAGGAATGCGGTTTTCGTGACCCCTGTAACTCGACCGGACAGCGCCATGGGCTTCCACGCACCTGCACGGCGGCAGCTGCTGCCTGCGCTGCAAGGTGCGGTGTTGCACCGCACCGCTGCTAGCACACTCGTGTGCTAGCTGCTAGGGAGTACACTTTACCTCTGCCGTGTCCGTTCAACTAACAGGTGAACTTTTTCCTTGCAGGTCTGCCTGAGCCAGCGCAAGCGGAACTGTCACGCCTGTCCGGTGACGTCAAGCGCATGCAAGCCTTCCTGGGCATGGGTCCTTCCGCAAGTGGTCCAGGGGCGGCAGGTCCCGATGCGCCCGGTGCGGCGGGTGTTGCTGCGTCCGGAGAGGCTCGCAGCGTTGGGGTGGAGCCGTGGGGCGCACCAGGCCGTGAGCCGCGAGGCCAGGCGGGCCAAGAGCCTGCCAGGAATCTGGGTAAGTGTTAAGCCGGCCTTTGTGTCACATTGATCAGGGGCCTTCTCCTGTATAGCTATTATCCCCTTCCAACCTCAGCTATTGTCCCCTTCCAACCTAGAGGTAGGAAGTGACTAGGGGCTCTCATGCACTGAGGCAAACGGAAGAGCCACACGTATGCCTATGTGGCTTGCATTTTCTCTTCTGCAGATGCGGCTTTGACATGTCCCGTGAATTGCCTGCTGCAACTCACAGGCGATGTCATCAAGGAAGTCGATGGCAACCGGTGGCGCATGGCAGCACTGGAGGAGGCAGTGCGCGCTGCCGGCATCCCCGTCCCGACAGCACCCATGGCGACAACTGTTGCCGTTGCTGGCTCGTCTGAGGCACAGTCACGTGCGCGCAACCCTGTGAATGTGACGGCAGGCGATGTGCCCGTCGCTGCGGCGGGGGCAGTAGGCTTTGCGCCGCCGGGACGCAAGCTACTACCGGCGCTTGAAGGCAAGTGTCGTACTAGGTATTTTTGCTTCATCGTAACAGCGCGTCCTCTGCTCGGCAGAACCGAAGAGCCATTGGGTTGCACGGGGACGGTAATCATGATCCGTTGCCTTAAAATCGAAGTCTTGTGCGTTCGTAATCCAATACAACAGGTCTGCCTGAGCCCGCCCAAGCGGAATTGTCACGCCTGTCCGATGACGTCAAGCGCATGCAAGCCTTCCTGGGCATGGGTCCTTCCGCAAGCGGCCCAGGGGCGGCAGGTCCCGATGCGGCACGCGCGGCGGAAGGTGCTGCGTCCGGAGAGGCTCGCAGCGTTGGGGTGGAGCCGTGGGGCGCACCAGGCCGTGAGCCGAGGCTGCAACAGGGCCAAGAACCTGCGAGGAATCTGGGTAAGTTTTATGTAGGCATGATTAACCCTTCATCTTTCTCTGCTTATGAAAAAAAGTACGGTACACTTACGTGATCTTTCAACATGACGTGTCCCGTAGGCGACATCGTCAAGGAGGTTGATCAGAACGCGTGGCGCATGGCCGCACTGGAGGAGGCCGTGCGTGCCGCCGGCATCCCCGTCCCGACAGCGCCCGTGGCGACAACCGTTGCCGTTGCTGGCTCGTCTGAGGCGCAGTCACGTGCGCGCAACCCTGTGAATGTGACGGCTGGCGGTGTGCCCGTCGCTGCGGTGGGGGCAATGGGTTTCTCGCCTCCTGGACGCAAGCTACTACCGGCGCTTGAAGGCAAGTATGCAAGAATGTGCTTGAAGGTTTGAACGGCCTCTGTCCCGCCAATGTACATTTAGGCCTTCATCATGCCGCGTTGCATTACAGCGGGGATTTCCAGCTTTTGGTGCACCCGAAATCCCTGTCAACAGGTCTGCCTGAGCCAGCGCAAGCGGAGCTGTCACGCCTGTCCGATGACGTCAAGCGCATTGAAGCCTTCCTGGGCATGGGTCCATCCGCAAGTGGTCCAGGGGCGGTAGGCCCCGATGCGCCCGGTGTGGCGGGAGGTGCTGCGACAGGAGAGGCTCGCAGCGTTGGGGTGGAGCCGTGGGGCGCACCAGGCCGTGAGCCGCGAGGACAGCCGGGCCAGGAACCCGTCAAGAGCTATGGTACGTCCACGGGCGCACACTTACCCATAGTTGCTGAATGAAAGCACCTCAGTCCATGTACAGTCCATGCCTGCATCCTGCTTTATCGGTAGCTTCGCGCCTTGTCCTCCTCACTTGCAACGCTTGCTCCATGTCGTGCCCCCTCCGTCCGCAGGCGACGTTGCAAAGGAAGTGGACGACCATGCCAGGCGGGTGTCGCAGATTGAGGAGTCCCTGCGAGCCGCCGGCATCCCCCTGCAGGCCAGCACCGCAGTGCCTACTGCGGTTGGGCCTGCGTCTGGCTCCGAGCAGCAGCGGCAGCGCAACGGCGTGGTGGTGACGCCAGGGCTGGTTCCGGGGCCGGAGGGGGCGACGGGCTTCGCGCCGTTGCCACGACGGGGACCTGCGGGCGCTGAAGGTATGCATAGTATCTGGACATAAGCTTAGGGCCTATGGTTGGGAGCTTCGGCTGTTAAGGGCGGCGCGTTTGGGGCTTGAAGTGATGGCAACGGGCATTTTACTAAACCTTCTTCCTGTCCCTCTCACGCTGCTGCCCCTCCACAGGAGGCGCCCCAGAGCCGCTGCCTGCTCGCGTGGAGGCGCTGCAGGACGACGTAAAGCGCATCAAGACATTCCTGGGCATGCAAGACGCGTCGTCGGGCGCTGTCGCTGCAACGCCAGAAGCTGCGGCCAAGCTCGCGGGTGTGGCGGTGGCTGCAGAGGCGGGCCCTTGGGCAGGACCAGGCCGCGAGAAGAGCGGCGGGGCGGCCCCGGATGCCGTTGCCAAGGAGCTGGGTGACGTCAAGCAGCAACTGGAGGAGGTAGGTTTGGGTAGCCGTTTTTGCTGCCAGGGCACGGCTGATGGGTTTCCGTACTACTGCTATTACAACGGTATGGCACGTGTAACTGCAACTCTTACTTCACAACATGTAGGATTACACGTGTGGTGCCATCACACTGGTTGCTGTACATGCGTCGTACTGTACTGTACTGTCACATCTGTCAGCGCGCTCCACGGCCTCCCTGCCAACCGCACCCCTTGTAGCTCGACCGTGCCTTACGAGGCGCCGGGATGGGCTACATGCTTCCAAAGGACGGTGGCACGGGGCCCGTTGCCGTACAACAGCAGCAACGTGACACGGCGGCGGCAGATAAGAGCCGAGGCGGTGTGCATGTGACCTCTGGTGACGTGCAGAGGCCGTTGGATGTGGCTGGGTTGCCGGCTCTGGCACGGAAGGACGGCTTGCCACGTAAGTGTGCAAACGTTTGCAGAGGCGAAGCGACTGTTGGCGCCACCCTACCCGTGTCCTGCCTGCCAGGCTTGACCTTGTTAGTTTGCCGCCTTTTTTTGTACACGTGTCCTAACGGCCATGTCCTTTGTCCTACTTGACCTTGAACAACAGCAATCCAAAATCCAAGCTTTGTGGACGCCAATGAGTACGACAAGCTCAAGGATGAAGTGGAGAGAATTAAGGCCTTTGTGGACATGAAGCAGGGCGGTGCGGGGCCGGCGGCTGCAGCTGCTGTACCCGCGGCCGCGGCGGCGGCTGCGGCGGCATCAGCCGGCAATGAGCCTTGGGCGGACAAGGCCCTACGGGAGGAAACGGAGGAGGTAAGCAGCGGGTCATGCTCGAGGTTTAGGGCGCTGCAGAGCCGTTGTCTCGAAGCAGATTGGCGTTCTATCGTCGCTGCCTGTATCCTCTCAATTTGTACCGGAACTCACGGCACGGTGCGCCGCGTCGCTTATACCGGTATTATGCAACCATGCAGGCGCGGAAGGCCGTAAAGGAACTGACGGACGACTTGGACGGCCTTCGACGCAAGCTAGCGGGCATGGAGGATGCGCTGCGCAGCATGGGGATACCGCAGCCGCTGGTGAGGCTTCTGCTGTGTGGTGCTCTTCGCCGGGAAGAATACACGATCCCCAAGCATGCATACGACCGGCGATATGCATGATATTGGGGGGTGCACTTGCCTCTGACAGGTGCTAGGTAGCCGTCTTCCATGTTGGCCTCAGATTGTGCTCAATTGCTTCTCCTTGCAGGGGTCGGGTCTTACGGATGTGAGGTCAGCGGCAGGCTCGGCATCCAGTGGCCCCAGCCGCAATCCTGTTGCGGTCAGCCCGGGGCTTGCCTCTGAGCTAGTGGCGCAGGGGCTTGCACCGCCTGTGCAGAAGTCCGCCGCAGGCGCGCCGCAATCGCCGGAAGGTACGCAGGGACGCGACGACAAGTGCAGGAGCAAGTGCAGGAATGGACCGTCCTCTTCTCAATCCTAAAGCTAGCTGCTGCTTTCTTATACCTACTAACATGCCCTTCCTCTCGTTTCCAAACATTGCCCCTACACCGCTAACACTTGGATATCACCGCCGCCCTAACCTCCTCCCTTCTTACCTCCAACGAAGCTGCAGTACAATCCTCAACTCCACCCTCACATCTGAACCCCTCCCTTCCCATCCAACCATCTCCGTCTCCTCCTCCTCCTCCTCCTCAGGCGTTCCCGACCCTGTCACAGTGGATCCCGAGGACTTCAAGCAGCTCAAGAGGGCGTTTGAGGAGCTGCAGGGCGCAGTGGGGGCGCTGCCGCAGCAGCAGCCGCAGAAGCCCAAGACGCTGCGGGAGGACACGGATGATGTAAGCCAGGGGCTGGTTGTGGGCGGTCGGGAGCCTGCTGGTTACTACCCGCGTTGGGGCCGGGACAGGGAGAGCACAGAGGAAAGCGTAGCGGGCACTTCCTCAGGGTGCACTTCCTCAGGGTGTGCGCACGTTTCCGAGTGGACGGTGTTGCGCTTGGTCCTGCTCCTCATTCTGATGTGAAGCCTGATCTGCAACCTGGCATATAGGGTGTTTAACAATGCCTGCGCCGCTCCCAACGAGTTGCTGCTGCCGGTATACATACCCGATTCCTGTGCCGCAGATCAAGAAGTTTGTGCGTGCCATGGGCAAGGACGTGGGCGCCATGGGTAACGACATGCAGACGCTGAAGAAGCACATGGATGATGTAAGTGATGAGGGGTCGGAGCAGGCCCCGGCATGTAGGACACGTTGCGCGCAAGTCGAAGCTACCGGCGTAAGCTGTCAGATTGACGTTGCCGCCGCTTGTGCAGAGCGCTTCCTGTGCTTTCTAGACTTCTCCAGCGGCCGCACACCCGCTTATGCGCCCACCAGCACAACGTGCCCCAATCCATACGACCCCACCCAACCCCAATCGCTGCCCCCTTAAAGGTGGAGGCGGCCACTAATCGTGCCCTGGGCAACCTGGCGGCCGAGGTAGCCCGCATGAAGGCAGCACGTGAGGAGGAGCGACCTGACAGCGCCGACCGCAAACGCTCGCAGCAGCAACCCAAGCTAGAAACGGCGGGAGGCAAGATGGTGCGTGAAGAGTGCAGGCATGCGTATGGGATTCCCCCGGTACGCGCACGAAGCACGGCTCGGCATGATGCGTGCGTGTGGGTCATGCATGCGATGGGACGAAGAAAGTAACAGCGTGGCATGGGGCCTGAATCTCTTTCTTCACTCTGTCCATCGCCCGCCCGGGTGCCGGGTTGAACCACCCATGTCCTAACCCTGCCCTGCCATGATATCCCTGACCACCAGGAGGACACCATCGGTGCAATCACCGCGCTGAACGCAGCGCAGCAGCAGGAGCTTGCGCGCGCAGCAGCAGACGGCGGTCGGTCCGAGGACATCGACGCGCTCAACGAGGCCATGCGGCAGAGTGAGAACCAGCTGGCTCGGCTGCTGGCGTTCCTGAAGCAGGACGTCATGGACCGGTTCGCAGTGCATGAGAAGACCCTCATTCGGGTGGGTGTAAATGAATGACCGTTACAGTGATTCCGTGCGGGTGTGACGGAGCTTAATATTGTTATCTGTGGTCTTGCCCACCCAGCTCTTTCCTCCCCACAGCTCTTTCCGCCAACTTACCCGCCCGCTCGTCCGTCCGAAATGTTCCTCGACTCCCGCAGATGGCCAAACAGATTGACTATGTGCAGCGTCTGCTCAAGGGCGAGTTTGACGAACAACGGATAGCTGCCCGGGAGTCTGTGCAGTCGGAGGGGGATGGGCTGACGCCTGGGGCGGACGCTTAGGCCCTCAGCTGCCGCTGCTTGTGGCTGCCATCATGTTTAGATCCTTGATAGGGTTTTTGGTTTTGGGGGTTTGGCGCCACACAGGGCACTGGGCATATTATGAAGTGTGTACCCTCACCTTTATACCATGCGCGCCTTTGTTGTACGCTTTGTTGCACGAGAGGCTAGGCTGGCACACGCGCCGCCTTAACCCAAAGGTTGCACATGCCCTGGTAACTGCGACTGGTTCTAGTAGCCTTTTTCCTGCACGACTTGTGGTTCCGCCCCTTGTGAAGACTGTGGGGGCAGCTGCATATCCAGTGACCGGCGTTTTGCATGCATACATGTAGGACACCCACCGCGGTGTGTGTGAGCTCAGTTTCAGTTGTATCCTGCTGTAAGGTCGTACGTGCCAGCACGGCTTGCCCTTTATGACGCGGGCAGCTGCCGTAGCATTTTCTCCTGCAGCATGCACCCTGGCGCGCAAGTCTACTGTCTGGTTAATTAATGCTGTCAACTTGGCTTTTGCGGTGTTCATGTGAAGGGGTGTGTATGGCCGGGCCCCATGCAAAGGTGTCCCAGGCCCGGTGTGTTTACCACGGTGTTGTTGCTTGAACAGGACACGAGCAGTATGTAGCAGGACTCGGGCGCGTTTTGCCTTTGTGGAGTTTGTTCGCACGACGCAGCCGTGTAAGGCGGGTCGCTATAAAAATGTCGGCATGGTGTCCATGTACCGGTATGGAGGCGGCGCTGTCTTTCGCCGTCAATGTCTTATTAATAACTGTACATACGGTATGCTTTAACAGATTCATGATGCTCTTGCTGATATCCCACCGCTGGGAGGCGTTGGGGACAAAGTGATCTTATAGCAGTGTGATAAGGACGGTTAGCGCTATTACCGTCCTCTAAATGGCGGAGCTGGGGACTGGTGTTGGTGGTAAAGAGCAGCATCCTCCTTGGGCTAGCATCGGCACCGAGAAACCGAGTCGGGCATTGTAGGATGGCGGTGGTTGTAAGTAAACCTGTGTTTTGGGGGCCGTGGTCGTTAACGTTGTAAGAAGCAGCAGCGCAATATGTGCACTATGTGGGGCTTGTTAGCCAGCTACCTTGCGTGGCTTCGTTGTACGGCAGCGCGTATATGCATTTGGCGCGAGCAAGCGACAAACGACCCTTGGGCGACCGCGGTGTCAAAGTGGAAAATGCGGCGTATCTGCGAGGGTGATTTTTTGCGCAGATGGCTTGGCGTATAGCATACCTATCAAAGGGCGACCGTTGGTATGTTTCTGAAAGGTGGTTGGGCGGTGCTAAGAAATGGTCGATGCTGTTGTCCTCCAGTTTAGCACTGGCTAGCTAAGACACCAAATGCATATACGCGGCCACATTACAGGAACCAAAGCAGTTTAATTGGAGCTGCACAGTGCTGCAGCATAGTACAATGGATTGGCCTAATGAAAGGTGGTTAGCCAGCTACCCTGTGTGCCCGTATTTTACAGTTTGGCTATACAGCTTGGCTAATCACCAACTTGACTATGAGGTACGTCCGATAGATAATTGGGAGGGGGGAGGGGCTCCCTCCCCCCTTAAACCCCCTCCCGCACGTCTTGCTGTATATAGGAAGCTTTACTGCACGTTGGGTCAAGAAGTATCACATGAACGCGCCCCGACTGGACCGTTAGAAGCAAACGTCGGGAGACCCATTTATTTTTCAGCAGCCTTACTTTCACAATGGCTTCAACCCCCCCCCCCCCGCGAAAAGCCAAGACCCATGGGTCGCTTTCACACTTTCCGAGGAAGGGCACCTACTTTCTATACTTATTGGCTCGGAACGCGCTACCTACACATTTCCACAATTGGGAGATGTCTTAAGGAAATTGTTGCAACGATTAAGAGGTGCCTTAGAATTCGGACTGTCCTGGAGGGGGAGGGAAACCCTCCCCCTTAACACCCCCTCCCGCACGCACTCTTGGATATATACGCAGTTACTGTGCGTACAGGCGGTTACACCTTGCTGGTTGTTTACTCGTTACCGCTCCCCTAACCCGCGCTGATACACATTGACACTTGTCGTCATTACTCCTGCCCTGTCCCCGTCTTTTGGCTGCGCGCTGATCATTAATTCGGTCTTACTTTTATTTCTATGACGCTGTTCAACAGGCGGGAATCATCGCACCATACTTGCTTCACATATGTTACTGTCCCGTTTCCCCTGTGGCTTCGACCTCAGGGTAGCTGGCCAAGGGCTAAGTTTCTTTCCGCACGTAGCCCATATGTGAGATTAGCGACATGCTCTTATGTCGTTACGCTGTTACATGTAATGGAATGCCTTTGTAGCACCGAATGAGTATTCCCACACCATCGTGTTACCCTCCTTGCTCAATCTTGTGACATACAGTCCTTCCATCCATGCAGGTTGCAGAACGGAGACTTGGCCACCCTTACAGCAAGCGACTCCTCATTGCACATACCCTCATACGCTTGCTTAACAGCAATAGACTACAAGTCTAGCTCACATGCAATCCTGCGAACATACAGGCCAACTATTAATCCGCACCACATCTCACCACCAACCTTCAACCGGGATTAACCACAGAGCCAGGGATACCCTTCGGCATACACACCATCTCCGCTTTACAACTTGCCCTATCTTGAATTCCACCGGCGGGCTTGTCCAAATCGACATGGATACAATCTCGTTTGTACTTATTAGCATGCATGTCTTGAAATTAACGTACTACAGAACGGCCCATCTTAATGGCAAAACACCTTATTCAAGTGGCATACATTGCAGGGCATGGCAAGAGCAATCCTGCGTGGGCTGCGTCTCGTAAAACCTCTGCCTGAGGCGGGGCGCCAGTGCCACATTTTCTATATGAGCCGGCGCTCGTCCCGCAACAGATCACATGCCATGCACATAGCATGACTTTGGTTGAGCGCACAAATTCGGACCATCATTTCGAGGTACGGGCGCCCTCCAAGGCGCACCGACCGCACCAGCACAAGTGCCAAGCCATATGCATACCACCATCTTTATAAACTATTCATAACATAATACACAGGCGAACTCGTGCGATCGGGCTCACGCAAGTGGCCTTACGTGGTCCATAACCCTGGTACGCGGCCACCACTCGCCGAAATACCCTGCGACGGTAATCAGGCATGACATCCTGCCTAGAGCACTCACAATCATGCTCAACCTACCTTACTATTACAGCAACATGAAAATACAACGAACATTCTTCCAACAGCCAGCGGTGCACAGCCAGCCCTGATGAGCTAAGGCTGTTAAGGACCGAGTCTTCCTTCCTGCCTAACACAATGATGATTGACCAAGTTAGGACACGCAAACGGCGACAGCACATATATAGCAAAGTTAAGGCAAGTTTGACGACGATGTAGCACATTATTATCGCAACGACCTGGGATATCAGACAACCCAAAGAGCACTTAAGGCATCAGGGCCGTCGTCGGTTTTGAACATATGCGACCTGTAACTTCCTCGCAGCCAAGTTTGCGTGCGGGCACAGAGTAACGACTACGATCAAGTACCCTTCCCCCACACGCCATAAATTGCATTTGCAGCCAAAATAAACACCTTCTGCAGATTTCCTTTTCAAACGAATAAGGCGGCTCAGAGTCCTTTTCTACGGCAAGAAAGATCACTGCTTGGAGCGGCATAAACCAGTCCGAAGTTAACTACTTTATTAACCGAACCAACCAGCCACTGTTGCGATGTTGAAACAGTGAGAGTGGCCTGCACTTCAAGCAGAACATGTAGGGAGCAGGGACATCTATTACTCAAAGCTTCCGCAAAGTTACCAAGGTTTCTAAAACAAAGCGGATCCGTGCAGGCGGGCGCTGCGACCAGAGGCAACAAAGCCGAGCAGTCGCTCACACCCGCCAGGGCTCTTAGGGGAAAGGGCAGCCCATACCTGATAAAGAAATGCCATCCAGTCTCACTGACGCGAAAGGGTATGCAAGTGCCTTCAGTACGACTCCTACCGAACCACGCAGGATAACCGGCGTAAGGGCACGACAGCCCGGCAACTTTCATACTACAAGTGGCAATCACTAAACTCCATACCGCGCCTGCATGCTGTCGTGCAATCTGTTAATACACTGCGACCAACAGACAATGTGTCAACATACACCAATGCGGCTCCCCGCCGAAGCATACCACAGACGCACTCATAATGGGCATGCCCAGGCTTCAACTAGATATTTAAGACCGCAAACTTATGGTCTAGCTAGACGCCTACTGTGCCCCAGCGTCCGATCACGTATGAAAATGTCTAGCTGCTGAACTCTTCCTGCTTAACGGCTATTAACCGAGGGCCATTTGGGCATGCATGAGCTCTATCTAGACAACTTATTAACCCCCACAGACTCTCCGAATGATGCTGGCCCTACAGCTACAATGTTGGTGCTAAATCAAGATAGGTGGAGCACTGCCATCCTATTCCATAATCCTTGCATCTAACCCTAGTTGCACCCATCGTCTCTGCTAGCAGGAAGCGTCGCCACCATTGCCCCTTTCAGCCTACCCCCGCTCCACAATAGCTCATTTTGGCACGGCATTACTTATTCCTCATCCTGCTCGTACTCATCCCAATCCCGTGCATCAGACACGCATGCCACCAGAGCGGAGAACGCCTCGCCAATCTTTTGCAAGCCCTTGCGGACCCCGTGCTCCTGCCGTTTTCCGCGCCTTTTCAGCCCGCCGCGACCACCACCGTTCCTGTCTTCACTGGTACCACCTTTCCCATCCTGTCTAGCCACGGCAAACCCTCGCATCATCCCACTCACAGCAGCGACATCCATGACCCCATTCTGTTCGCCACCGCCTGGCACCAAAGCAATAGCAGGTTGCTGGCTGCCGTGCCTTAGCCGTGACGGCTGTCGCATTTCTGAAATGGAACCCCTCACCGGGGCTGCCTCAGGTGCCCTGCCCTCCTGCTGATGACTCTCTTGTTTCAAAAGCATATCCGTGACAACTGGTCCTGCTGCTGCTGCCGGTGTTGCCTGCACGACGCCGCGTGGCCCAGCATGCAACGCTTGGGCTGCTATGGACGTAGCTGCGGCGGCGGCTAGGCTGCCGATGAAGGCCTCCCCTGCCGTCGTGAGGGCAGATGTGTCGCCTTCATTGTTGTTCTGGCGCTCGTGGCTTTGGATTGGAGACAACGAGCTTGAAGAGGAGCTTTGGACAGCGGCCATGGCCGCTTCAGCCAGCGTTGAGGCTTGCCTTGAGCTCTCGTCGAGCATGGAAACAGCGGCCAAACGACTCGTACCGGTACCCAAGCGAGACCACGTGGAACGAGAAGACAAGCGGCAGTAGTTGCCGACGTGTCCGCTACTCGCCATGCCCACGGAAGTCGCCGGCCAAGCTGCTGCTGGTACTGCTGCTGCGGCTCCCGTTGCTGCTGCTCCTGTTGCTGGCGGGGAGGTCGATAAGACGGCCATTGAGCTGGAAGCAGACGTCGAAGGGGGCCCTGAAGCAGATCCACAAGCACATGCGGATGCCGTACCGCTATCACCGTTACATGCCTCAAGTGCGCGCGCATGCGCATGGCTGATGACGATGTGGGCGGGCTCTGTTGGACCTGAGCCCAAGCAGCTGCTGCGACGGCGGCTGTAATCCTGGGCGGCAACAGCGGCCACTGTAGCAGCAGCAGCAGCAGCAGCAGCAGTACCTGCAGTCCCATAGTTGGTCGACGTCGGCGAGAAGTCTGCGGTATCCGACAAGACGACGTTTGCTCCTGTCCCAAGCTGCCAACCTGAACCATGTCTCGAGGCCGAGGCCGAGTAACAACTGACGCTATCGCTGCCTAGCAGCTGCGAAAGCGACATGGGCTCACCCGACTCGTCCCGGACGTGGGGCAGCTTCTGCATGTGCGCAAAGCTTGCAGGGACGTGCTCGCGGCGCCCGGAGAACGCCGTGGGCCATCCGGCAGGACTCGCGGCACACGAAACATCAAAATCCGTAGGGCATGTAGTACTGGAGCCTAAAGCGCACTTTGCAAAGGAACTAAACTCCAGGCTGCTGGTTGCCAAGCGCCAAGAGGTGCGCTTATCTCTCATGGAGCTCCTGTTGTTGCCACCACCACCGGTGCTGCCATACGCCTTATGAATGCTGGCAAGCTCCTTGCTAGAAGCGCTGCCGTAGTAGAAGCGGTCTGCCGTACTTGTGTACGTCTCCGAAGTACGGCCGAATGCGGTACGATGGCGGTGCTGGTGACTGCTGCCGCCGTTATGGGACTTTCGGGGCACGGAATAGCACTTCTTCGCATGGACTTCTTGTTGTTGCTGCTGCTGTGTCGGCGGGTTAGCCTCACCCAAACCGATTGTGTAACGCCGACGCTGCGGGTCGGTGTTGTTCAGCGGGTTCGGGTGATGAGGCATAACGGAGCCGCCTACCGTCCTGGCAGACCCTGTCGTCGCAAGCTCTCCATAGCCGCCAAGCCTGCCGCTGCAAAGACTGCTGCTGAGACTGCTACGCATACGCGCGCTTGAAGCGATGTTGAGGTCAACACACGAGCGAGAGCTGCGCAGTGAAACCGATAGAGACACAGGAAGCAGAAGCATTGGCGCCGGCGGCCGAGCCGCTTGGCCGGTGCTAGCCGCCGCTGACGCCGCTGCAGCAGGCGCTGCCGATGCGGCTGCAGAAGCGATTCCAGCAACCGCATTCGCAGGTAAAGCGTCGCTGGAGGTAGCAACAGCCTTCTGTATTTCGCTTGCAGGTTGGGACAATGGCATGGGGGCTGACGCAGACAAGTTTGAGCTCCATCCAGAGACGGTGCTCATGTCGCCAGCACCGCCAGTTGACAGGACCATACTCTTCAGCCGCTGTTGCCCGGTAAGCGGCTGGCTTGCTGCAGCTGCTCTTGCTGCGGTTTGACCAGCAGCACCACGCGTCTCCGGCTGCAGGTGAGGGCTTGGGACTTGGGGAGGCGACACCGCCGGTGGTGGCGTGTTGCCCCCGTCCGTCTGCACACCTGTGTCTGCACCGCTAGGACAACCACCACCACCAGCAGCAGAATCAACGGCAGCTGCGTCCCGCTGCTCCTGCTGCTGCTCGCCTGCTTGCTCCTGCACCGCCACCTCCTCAATTCCGCTATCCGATGCCGCCTCTGCCTCCGCCTCCGCCGGTGCCGGGAACGCCGTCTGCTCGTCCACCGCCTCCCTACCGCCCGTAACCACCTCTTTCCCTCCCGAACGGTATGAGCTCACATCAGCGCCGTAGGCGCTGCTGGCAGCAGGCCGTACTGCCTTGCAGGCCGTACCAGCGGCGCCTACCGCTTCGTCCTCGGCCAGAACGGGGCCCGCATACTCTTGTTGACAGCCCGTGTGATCCTGCTGCTCCTGTCCGTGTTCCATCTGCAGGCACTGTTGCGCCAGATCACGAATGGTGGCGGACGTCACGATGTCCGTGTCGCTTTGCTGCTTTATGATCATCTGTTCCTGACCTTGCTGAGCCTCGCAGCGTTGCCCTGCCTGAGTCTCCAGCCGCTGCACCTCCTCTTGGCCTCCTACATGCGTGGGTGCGGCAGACGGGAGGCCTGTAGCAGCAGCAGCGGCCGGATGCATTGGGGCGCATCGATCTTGTTGGTTACCAGCGGCACTGCTTAGCAGCTCTGTGGCTACATTCCCGTTGCACGTCTGCGCCTGACGGGCCCCCCTGTCATGGCCACTGCCGCTGCTATCTGCAAGCGCTCCACCGTTGTTGCCCCCACGGCTGCCGATGCCATTACAGGACGCATTGACCCGGGGACCACCACCCACAGGCACAACGCGGTTGGTCCCAAAGTGTGCGGAACCGTCCATGGAAGCAGCAGACGTGTTGCGCCGGTTGCCTTTCGTCGTTGCAGCGGGAGAAGCCGAAGCGGATGCAGCCGCCGGCTTTGCCGGCGTTGCATGCATCATACCCATGGAGCCCCGTAGTGACGAGCTGAAGCCCCGCAGCGCACGTGTTATCTGGCCAGCGACGCCGACCGCATGCTTGCGGCCTGGTGCCTCCGTCGTTGCGTCTGTTGTTGCAGACGGCCCTGCTCCCTTGCATTTGGTTCCCAGGACATTGTCATCAAGTGCCTGCATCTGGATCGCAACTGCACCTCGCGATTGGTGCTGTGCTGGCAGAGTTCCGTTCTGTCCAATGGGCTGCTGCTGCTGTTGCTGCTGCCGTGTCCACTGCTGAACCGCCCTACGGTAGTGGACTAGCATCTGCTGCAGACCCGACGACGCTGGGGCTGCTTGCAGCAGCCGAGGAATGCCGTGGAAGTAGGGCAGCTGTAGGATGCAGTTGGCAGTTGGTCGTTGCGCCGGGTCCAGTGCCAGACAGGCTGAGATGATGTCGAGCAGCCCGGGTTCCACATCCTAAGTAGGAAATGGGGTTAGGACAGCGGTTGCATGAATGAGGCTGGCATGGTTTGTAAGCAAAGGGCGTGGAGGCACGTATGGGCAATCTGCGACGTGCAGACGAATGGGGACGCAAGTGCATCATAAAGCTGGGTAAAGCTGCTGCATATTTGTTACCTACAAAGCATAGCAGGCAATAAGCAAGCATGCACAACCCATTCGCACGCAGCTACACCGGACGGCCATACGCTCACGCACCGGCAGCCTCTCCGCAAGCGTCCGTGTCCTAGGCAGCGTGGTTGAGCCCAGGATGGCTAGACGGCGATCTGACAGCACGCATGCCGCCTGGCGGTTTGGGAGCTGGCCCTGACAGCGGATGATGCGAGCCAGCTGATCCAGGCTGCTGCGTCCGGGAAACAGCGGGTCGCCAGTTGCCAGCTCAGCAAGCGTGCAGCCCAGGCTCCAGATCTGTGTGGCGAAGGAAAGGTGATGTTGATGGCACAGGCGGTGGCAGAGATGATGGGAAACTTGAACCCAAAGTAAGGCAAGGGGATACGGGAGGTCGTTGGAAGGAGTACGGTATGGTAGGTACGGTACGGTAGGTAGGTAAGGCGTATGTCCCAAGGAAGGCGAGACAAGCCAGTCAAGGGATTTCCATCCAGCAGCACCAGTTGCACACCCATGCATGCAAGAAGAGAACTGCTGCGTGGCCCTCACGAATGGTCACTGGGCACTCACGTCGCTGGGAGCTCCGTAATCGTCCCCCACGATAACCTCCGGAGAGCGATACCACCTGAGGGCAAGGCAAGGGAGCATGCGGGGGTTGCGTGGATGCAAGGGGGTTGAGGCGATGCTAGTATGCTGTGTATGCGCATCTGAGCACATGCGAGCAACCAAGGAAGCAAAGAGAGAGCGCAACACACACCGCACAGCGCCCGAAACAAGCCCCTGTACGACAGCCCACGTGGCCAAGTGCAAGGTTCCGGGCTGTAACCAGCAACGGACTGCATCAAGTAAGATGTTGTAATAACGGTCGGTACGGTACCTTGTCACCACATAGCTGCTAAGTGGCTCCTGGCCCGTAGAACCCATTAAGCGAGCGAAACCAAAGTCGCAGAGCTTTGCGACGCAGGTGTTGCCGCCCCCAGATAGCAGCACGTTTCCAGGCTTGACATCCCGATGCATTACCTGGTGGGATGGGTGTTGGAGGTGTAAGAGTTCAACGTCACAACAACCGTCAACAGCAGGCATGTTGGCCCTAGCCCCACTCCGAATGTTGTACAATACCTTGTGTTGGTGACAGTGCGCCAGTGCAAGCACCACCTGCCAGGCGATGAGCTTAATGAGCTCGCTTTGCAGCCGACCTGGGGCAGCATCCTCTAGATCCTGTGGCAGTGGAAGTTGTTCCGAAACGCTTGAGCGCGGACTGGCGTGCTTGGGGAATAGCATCAGGGAAGGCAGCTGTTACGACGGCACAGTGCAACATCCGTGCGGCGACATCCGCGGTGCTTCATCCGCACCTGGCTGAGGTTACGCTCCATCAATTTGAATACCAGGTGGATTCGACCGGAAGAGCGGCTGCGAAATGCGTCTAGCAGCGGCACGATGCAGGGATGCGGCGGCAGTGACCGCAGCACCCGAATTTCGCGATGCATCATCCGCGTAATCTGTGCACAGGGCGGAGTTAGAAAAATTTTGTTAGATGATGCTGTCAAGAGCAAGACTAGGATTACGGTGCGGCTGCTTAAGAACTGTACCGGTAGCCTTGCAACAGCTTGCAGACCTCAAAAACTGTTTGGTAATACTAAGCACGGGCTATGCAGACCTGAACAGCCCAGTACGAGGAAAGCACAAAGCGTGTTTGGAGCAGCAGGTGCAGCGTGCTTCTATGTGGATGTCTACATACGCGGCAGTACACGTGGCTCGTGCGTCTAGCCATCAATTGCTAGGTGACTAACTTAAAACAAGTCATTGCAGCTAAGTGGCGTTATGCGGAGTTCTGTAAAACTAAGCAAAGGACAAGACAGGGCAATCATGCAAGAGACGCATCTTAAGCAACTTGGTTCGCCCAGGTGGTGGCGTGACTTGCCTCCGGGTTGTCAGTATGTTTGCACTGCTTCACAGCTACAAGCTCTCCAGATGGCCCCACGCATGCGTGGACAGCTCCATAGGCTCCATCACCAATGTGCCGTTCAAACCGGTAGAAATGACTCTGCGAGAGCAACCAACATCGACACAATGTTACTTGTAAATGATAGAAGTTGTGACCGCGCGCACTATCGTTGCTGTTATCGGAAATTCATCCGGCCAAGCGCCTGGCCCTCCATCTACCAAGGACCCGAGACTGTAGATTTCTTAATAGGACTTGACCAACAATGCTGCGTTACCAATTACCTCCATACGGCGAGAAGATTTACGCGCTATTGTTTGAGCGTCAAGGGAGTCGTCGTCGCTTGTCACCTGCCCGGCGCTTGGTCTCCAGTAGAGGCAAGCCAATGCCCAAGCCTATAGGCGATATAGAGACTGTTTGTTACACACATTATGGTATTGTTTGGATGAGAGCATGAGGGTATGCCCCAGGCCGGACCTGTCTTCGCCAGTTGGCCACTTCATACGCCACCGTCCTAAACTCGTTAGATACTGTAAAACGGATGAATTTTACCTAATCAATAACAATGCTTCGTTACTTTTATGCAAATTTGAGAGGGTCACGTCCTATTTAATGTGGCAACGTACGGCACGCCAGGAAGAGAGGTATGATTACTTAGTAAAGATTAAAAGATGTGGGTAAACAAGAATTCACAGTAAAATTTGCTCATCTGTACATGCGCTTAGCACCCCGGAGTGCGTGGACACAGCGTGTAACGTAGCGTTGCATCGTCTTAAGAAATCATTTAAAGCGATTTTAGTGCACAATACTGCATTAATGTCAATGCTGCGACTGTGAGTGAGTGTATTTCACAAGTTCGCAAGCGCAAGACGAGCCAGGAGGCTCATGTGACTGCACGACTAAAGGACGAAGACAAGCCAAATTTATAGGAGAAAGCACAGACTCAGGTAAAAGCCGTATTGTGACTGTGAGAAGAGCTTACGTCCACGCTTCGAAACCAAGCGGACGACTATCCAACAGCAACAATACAACATACGCTCCCTACAACCACTTCATCAAACACATCAGCATAAAGCCCTACACGCTTAACTTTGCTGCATAGCTTCCAGGACTCCATGCAACACCCTTTCTCGAGTCAACCTACAGCTGTCTACTAGAAGCAGCACAGACAACGCAAACACTTGCATATGCGAAGGCATACACCTTTAGAGATGCGGTCCGTACCTATTGGCATTGCTGGCAGTCGGTGCTTAATGACCGCACGTTGCCCGCCGACGGCCCTACAACGAACCCGTCACACCGTTAGGGTAACTGCTTCGTCCGTCGCAATGCCGGCGATACAGGCCAACGCAGGACGTGAGTATGCCCCTTTTCCGGTCGGTGTTTTGACAGACCTCATGGCGCAGCTGACACCGGTAACACCACTACCGCTACTACAGCCAGGTTACATGTCTTACGCTGTGGCAGCCCACAATGATCGGAATTTTTGGATGGGTCATACCTTTATCCGCCATCGCCCGCACAGGTACCCACTACCAGGTCCTAGGAGTGCAGCCCGCTGCGTCCCCTGATGAGATCCGGGTGGCGTTCCGTCGCCTCGCCAAGACCTTGGTAAGAGCGGGCCAGCTCACGTCCGACCAACCGACCTCGGAATGACTGTGCGCGCTCACTACGTTAGACTAAACCGTCGAGCGGCCCACCAAGCGTTCACCATGCGCGCATGCATGCCAGCACCTTTTCAGCGGAGGCGGGAAATGCGAGGGGGCTGAGAGAGCAGGGGAATTGCCTGACTAGGCGTAACGCATGGGAGCAGCCTTACAGCAGCTTGGGTTACTGGCGTCCTCCGCAGTGCATGCACGCATGCCCGGCACGCAGCAAACCGTGATACCCGTATTGGCGTGCCCCTCTTGAATCCTCCCCGGTACTATCTGGCGCACCCGCCCCCTCTCCTAATCGCCATCCTCCCACCACCACTGCTCTGTGCAGCACCCGGATCGCAACAAGGCGCCGAGTGCCATCCAAGAATTCCAAGTAGTCAAGCAAGCCTACGATGTGCTGGCGGATGTTGCGGCACGTGCGGACTACGACCGAGCCATGAAGATCCAGGTGTGTGAGGTTTGGGTGGCAGGCAACGAACGCATGCACCCCACCATCGTTGCTTGCGACAACCCTCGAGCCTCAACGCAACCTCCCCTCTCCCGTCCACCCGAGACAGGACATGGCGGCTGCGGTGGCAGCAGCGGGTCGTCGCGCGTCCACGGTCAAGCAACGACGCAGCGCCAGCAAGCCGTTCTCCGGGTGAGTTGGGGTCCGGTTTGCCCCTTCTGTGCGTGCCTACCAGTTGCAGCCTTGGGTGCTCCTGACGTTCCCCGGTATGTATGTACGCACGCATTTCAACACCCATCGTTTGGCCCTGCTCCTGTTGTTGTTGTTGTTGTTGTCCTAACAAGCGCAAGACATTGTCATGGACTTGGAAACGGCACGCCATGCATGAAGATTTGTAGATAGACCGATTCGACCGTTACGCTTGATCCTGACGGAACCCCGGCGGTGCAATTCATCATACACCTGGCGTCCTCCCCGCAGGGCAACCCCAACGACGGCGGCACGGCGCGCGCCCAGCACCCACCACCGGGTCCACCGCGTCTCTGGCGATGACTTTCACGCCTTCACACAGGCCCGCACAGCGACGCCCTCTCCACCGCGCCCGAGCCACTTTAGCAGCAGCAGTAGCAACCATCACTACCGACCCGCTTCAACAGCCTCGGCATCTGGGAGCAGCAGAGCCTATCGCAGCGTCTTTGACGGCCCGCTGCGACCGCCGCCTCCGCAGCAACCACACCAGCAACAGCAGCAACGATCGCCGCCTCCATCTGAACCGCTCAGGCAGCCCACAGCAGCGGCCGAAGCGGCGACAACGGTCACTGGTGCTGGATCCATCGCAACAGCACCGCAGCCTGGATTTGATGTGCGTCTTACATCGTCGGCAGCTGCTGCTGGGCTCAGCAGCGTCAGCAGCAACAGCAACGGGGCACGGAAGGGCAATCACGCCAGCAGTAGTAGCCGTAGCGCTCCCCAGGCTGGTACGGCAGATGAGGCCGAAAGGCATTCCGTCGGCAACGCCAGCACCAGCGCCAATGCATCCTCTCCGCATCACTTCGGAGTAGGGAGCGGCTCAGTCCCTCCTTCCGCTGCCGCTAGCAAGCCAAGTAGCATAAGCAGCACCCACAGCAGCAGATGCATCTTCAACGGTCGGTCCATTTCTCCCAATCTTGATGCGCCCTCGCCATCGCCTGCGCCAAACGCTGCGCCGATGTCGGCCCTTTGGACAACAGCAGCAGCCGCTTCAGAACCCGCACCAGCCTCAGCTGCAGAGCAAGCCACCAGTGCAGCAGGGTCTCAGCAAAGCCGTACAACTGCTTCCGTTATCGTACAACTGGGCAGACCGGATGTAGTCGTCACACCGGTGCCTCCGCCAGCAAACCCCGTAAGAGGCAAGGAGGGGACAACCGGAGGTGGCGCAGCCAGTGGCGCCATATCTTCAGTATGCGCTCTATGCGTGGATTCCCCTGCTGGTGATGTTGCACCTGGCATCTCTGCGGCACGGGATGAGCTGTCACCGTTGCTAGCCGTTGCAGCTGCCAACGAAGCCCAACCGCCACAGGCTTCGCGAGCAGTCGCTGATAGCGTCCTTGCTGTTGTGACACCAACATCAACATCAGCAGCACACTCAATCGGTGTCGAGGACAGCTCTGTTACGGCAGCGTCCGCTGGCACTGCTGCCTCCTCGACGTCCTCCTCGAGCACCGCCAACAGCTCCGTCGACGCCGGTATGAGTGACCCATGGGTCACAACGCCAACCGTGACTGCCTTCGCCGCTGCATGGCCGGCTCAGGCCCTACAAGAGGAGGTCCCCAATCCTTCCAGGGATCAGCCGTTGACCAGCGATCACAGCGGCAGCGCCTGCAACACAAGCAGCAGCGGTGGTGACGCCAGCGTTGGTAGCCCCTTCGTGAGCGTCTTTGGCGGCAGCGCAACCTACGGCGCCGCAACCTCCACGGCTGCATACCGAAACGCCCATCACATCGGCGCTAGCGATGGACCCGTTGGGCCGTCCTGTGGCGACAGTATCAGCAGCAATAGCAGCGCTGGTAGCGACAATAGCCGCAGTAGCAACTCATTGGAGGCTCTGGACGCTGTGCAGGCGGCGACTGCGTCGCTTCCCGAGGCAGCAGGCGGTGAGTCAGTTGCTAAGGATGCTGGAGCGGCGGCGGCGGCGGCAATGGAGGCGTCCGAGGGTGGGATTGATGCGGGGAAGGCCGAGGATTTCGATGATAGTCATAGAGGGACAGCAGCAGCAGCAGCGGCAGCAGCGGCAGCAGCAGCATCTGCAGAGCTCGCAGCGGCCTTGGCTGAAGCGGCGGAAGCCAGACGTGCAGCTGAGGTTGCGGAGGTGTTGGCTGAGAAGGCGGCGGCTGCCGCTGCAAAGGCCAAGGCTGCAGCAGCAGCTGCCGAAGCACGGCTGTCGGCGGTGTTCAAGGCTACTGGAGCCGGCATGGAGGCAGCCAAGGACGCGCCAGTGGGGTCTCACGTCTCGATAGCGCCCTCCACTGAGCCCGACACGAATGACGTACAGCCGGATGCAGTGGCGGCTGACCCATGGGTCACTCAGGGATCCGTGACGTGCCGCATTTCTACTGCCATGGCGTCAGTTCCCGTTGCGGCGGAGGTGCATCAGAAGCTGCCGCCGTCGCTTCGGGATGCGATGGCCTGGGCGTGCAAGGTTGGGACTATGCTTACGCCGTAGGTTGTCGTACTGTTGTTACCGTACCGGTAGTACCGATAGAGCGCGACGATGGCAAAGGCATGGGGACAAGCTACCCAGCACGGGTCCAGCGATGTGACGTACTACAAATTGTTACGCGCCTATGCAGGCAGCCCTGTGTTGTAGCACATGGCTGGTTGGGCAGTGGTGTTCTTCTGTAAGGTGGGCAGGTGTGAGGGCGGGGCTGACGATGCTCCCTTTTGGTGTTTCTACGTACGCGTTGGACACTGCACCTGGGAATGCGTTGCACCAGGCATGCAGAGGTGCAACTTGTCGTGTGAAGGACTCCTAAGTTGCAAGGGCTGGCGGTCATAAACCACCAATTCCGTACATGTTCCAAGACCCCCAACTGAAGCAAGGTGCATAAGGGGCACCCATGTACCGGAGGCATAACAGCAAACACATTCCAACTTGGCATGGTTGTAAAAGCCACGCAGCTGTATTCCGCAGAGTACCTTCTCCATAACACGTGAGGGGACGTAAAGTAGTAATGCGACCCGCAGCTACTTAGCTAGCAAGAGAGGGACCACGGCTTCCATCCTGCTTAGAAACACGTGACGCCATGCCGCAACCTCTACCGCAACCAGCAATGTCCACGCAGCGCAAACCATAGCTTGAATCGTCATTGGTAATCGCTAAACCTCCTATTGCAATATTTAATGGCACAACTTCCTGCAAGCAAGTACATGTAGTTGATGTGACCCAGCACAGCCATTCACTGCTGACGCTCCCAACCCCGGTTCAAACTCGGCATGAAGAGCAAAAGACCTATCAATCCAGACCTACACGATGTCTTCCGGAACAGATTCTAGAACTGAAGCACGACATCCTGGCAACATCGCCAGTGGAATGCTGGGCAGCAGGTAGGCACTGGGCAGCTGCCCAGCAGGCAATCCACCACTGGCCCAGCAGGCGACCCACCACTGGCCCAGCATGCAATCCACCACTGGCCGCACTGTTTCTGCCCTCTAGCCGCAGGGCCGAGCCTTGCTGTTGCCGTAGCCCTTGGGGTGCGCGTCGCGATAGTCATCCCAGGCGCGCTGCTTGGCCTTGTCTTCCGCATCCTCCTCGTCGCTGTCGAGCGCCGCCTGCCAGGGCAGGAGAGGGCAGAGGAGGAGGGGAGCCGGGTGCGTGAGAGTGGGCGGACTGAACAGCTCGGGGAAATGCATGACCCAGAAGGGCGGAGCGGAGGATGACAAGAAGTCGCATGTGGGGTAGGGCAGTGCGGCTGAGAGCCGAGCCGAGTTCAAACACCCACGAGCGGCACCCGCATCCATCATCGCTAAGTACTTCGGCCAACATGGTCCAACAGATACCTCCACGTGTCCCACCACCGAACCAATGATCCCTCTGCTGCCACTACACCCCGGCCCCCTTTACCCTTCGCGCCGCCTCCTTCTCCTCCTGCTTGCGCTGCCGCTGCTCGCGTTGCATTGCCTCCCGGCACTCGATCTCGCCCGCCTCCTCCACCGTCATGGTAGGCAGGATGTGCCCCGGCTTGAACACCTGTGGAGGGGTTGGGGGAGAGAAAAGAATCAGGAGGGAGTTGTTGCATGTGAGTTAAAGGCGTTGTTAAGCATTCCTGAGCTCCCTTCGCTCTCCCTGCCTGTCCCTGCCGTCCCTGCTCCGCCACCTCCCTAACTCCTCCAACTCACATCCCGCTTGATCTGCTCCTTCCGACTGCCGTCCAGGTCCCGGAAGATGCCCCGCAGCTTCTCCAGCAGCGCCGCCTTCTCCGCCTCGCTCGGCTCCCCAGCACTCCCTGCACCGCGATTCGCCGCTGCTGCCGAGGATGAGGAGGGCCCCGGGCCAGCTGCTGCCGCCGCCGCCTCCTCGCGCGCTGCCACGTGCTGCAAGAGCTCGACCTGCAGAGGTGCGGTTGGGAGAAGCGACCGGGTAGGACAGGCGCCGGGGCATGCAATGGGCTGCATGTAACGGGATGCTGGATTTCCGGCAGGCGCGACGGCAGTAGCAACCATGTAGGGCTGGCTCTGTTGCAATCCCACTCACTGGTGCGAGGCAGGCCTGCTGCTGCTGCTGCCTTCCTACTTCCCTCTCTCTTCCTTCCCGTTACCCTGCTTACCTCCTGCCTAAGTGAGGCCTGCAGGTCTGCTGCTTGCAGCACCGCCAGCTCCACTCGCCACACCCACAGCTGCCGCTCGTCCTCCTCATCCATGACACCAGCGCCGCCGGAGGAGGGCTGCTGCTGCTGCGTGGAGGAGGAGACTGGTGTAGACGTGGCAAGGGATGATTTGATGGCGGGGGCAGCGGTGCCGGACGACCCGGCTTCGTCCTGGGGGAGAGAAGGGCGGCAAGAAACATGGCAAGAATGAAGGGCGGCAGGACAGCAGGGGTGCTTCAACACAAATAACGGACAGCCAAAGCTGGCAGTAAAGGGAAAGCGGCGTGTGCTTTGAACGCCCATGGCACCAACGTCCAGGAGAGGCATGTTTGCCGCCCCTCCGCTCACCTCCCGCTCCTGAGCCGCAGCCGCCAGCCGCCGGGCCTCCAGCGCCCCTAGAGCCGCATTCAGTGCCTTCTCGCGCTTGAATTTTTCCACCTGGAGAGGAGAACGAACATGACGACAGTATGTCATGAGTCGTAGGCAGCCGTCGGACCGGGGGCTTTTGAGGATGTGCTATTAAGCACACAGGTTGCGGTGCACTTCAGTACACTGCAGGCTGCTGCAAATCCCCACCACCTGGCTATCGCAGGCTGGTGTGACCGGAGGGCGAGAGCAGCAGCTGCGGGTCCAGCCTCTCCTGGTGCCACCGCGGAGACGCAGCCGGGGTGCAGGAACACAGCTGCGAGTCTGGAAAACCTCCGCTAAGGTCCCAACACGCTAGGGGCGACCCCCCCCGTTGGAGACACTGGCAACGCCGCCCACTTCGTGCGCAACCCTACCGCTCTGCAACCCTGTAACTGTCCTCGGTAAGCCCGTGAAAGACAACGCTGGGAGGGCGCTGGTTCGTCAGGATTGTCATCCCGAGAGTGGCGCCGTACAACGCCTTACCGCGCCGTACCTTATAGCTGCGCTTGGTGGCGGGGTCCACGGGTGCTCCGCTGGCTGCGTCCATCGCCGTACGACCGAGGGCTCCCAGCAAGTCGTACTGCTCACAGCTGCGAGAGCAGCATCAGCAGCAGTGCACCGGCCAGACGTCATGTGTGCGAAGTAATTGAGAGTTAAGCAAGGGCAAGGTGTTTGGGAAAGGTGAAGTCCGAGGGTCGAACGGCATAGTGTTTCCTGGCCCTTTTCACTCCCTAAGTTTGGCGTGGCGGCAAACTAAGCTGGGGCTGTGGTCTGGTAGGTTCGTTTCATGGACCAACAAAGGTCCTAGCCAACAAACTGCGACGCTGGATTGCATAGCACGGCAAGGGCCCCTTCCTCACCGCTGAAGGAAGGACCCCAGGGCCGGCAAAGCACGTTGCACCGCCGCCAAACGTGCAGCGCTGGGGCCAGCCGTGCCATTTGCCTGCACAGGCGCTGCCGATAGCAAGCTGCCGCGGTAGTAAGGGACCAACAGGTACTTGATGTCAGCTGTCGCCAAGTCATCCCGGTCTTCATTAGAGCTGAATACGCCGGCGGATTCGACAACTGTTTCCGTATGCGCTAATAGTGACAACGCCGCTTCGATCAGTTCTGGATCTCGCGAAGCAACTAGACGGTCTTGTTCCGTATGGACTTTATGGCAGCGGCTATATAGGACAGCTAAGGGCGGCCCTGGATCGCCTGATCCAGGAACACCACTACTTAACAACATAGTGCGTAGATCATCCATCGGAACAGCAGCGCTTCGCCGTGAACGTTTGGTTGTGAGGGATGGCTATCGGTACTCTCTTAATTACGTGTGTAACATTGAACTTTTGTAAAACAGGAGTTAGATGCTTAATCGACTGCTATGCAGGCGAGTGGCGTTGCTTACATCCCACTAAACGGATTGTACCTGGCCCGTGGCCGACGTGTTGTACAAGTTAACGAAGCACCAAGCACGCCGGCACATGTCGTCGCAATGGTATCATGCTGGTTACAACTGCTCTCTCACTGACTTTACTGCACAAATGTAAGCAGGAGCTGTCGGAAAGCACCCTTCCGCACGACACAAGTCATACAGTCTTAGCAAGCTTGACCTAGTGCGAGGCAGTTGCTCGGAGTTGAGATATTTTTGCCAAATAAACATTTAACTCACGTTTGGAGGTGCTTCTATTTACCGGTACCTTGTCTGCCAACCGCCTGCGTGCTGCTCGGTTTGGTCCCATTCTGCAAGGCCTAGAGCTTGTGTGGCCATTACTTATAACATACAACATTGTAAGCCATCTAGTTCCAAGTTATGCACTCCTTACTCTGCAACTTTAGGCGACCATGCTACCTGAGAAGGAGAGCATGGCCTGTTACCTAGCAAACATATAGTACGATATGCATCTTATGGAAGCCAGTCCAGACGCGCCTGCGTTATAGCCTGCCACATCTTCTCGGCCACCTGCCATCCTTTGCTCTGCGGGAGCCTCTGCCTCCATAACGGCCCAGCTTGCGGCAAGGCGCGTCCCTGCATAGAAGGAGGCATCCAACAAGCCAGCTACCAGCAACACCTTGAGGATCCAAACCGGCGGTCCAGGGACTGCCCCGAGGGTCGTTTTCCACTCCACTGCACTCCAAGTCAGCGCCGCACGCTAAACCAGCACTCCCCGCAGCCCTTCTCTTCTTCAGCCCGTCCCCACCATGATAAGGTCCTGCGAGGCACCTCATCAGGGTCTCCCCAGCAGCCAAGGTCACCACCATCACCACCACCATCACCATGACTGCCACCATCCGGATCCACAGCAGCAGCAGCAGCAAGGACAGCTGCAGCTGCTGCAGGGTATGGAGCCGCAATCGGCACAGGAGCTGCTGCACCACCGGGCTCGACGCAAGCGGCTGCTTGAGCTGATGGGCTTCCGAGCCAAGCTGGAAATGCCGGATGAGGAGCCTATATTCATAAAGGTGGGCGCGTCCCTCTCCCTCCGCCCCCCTAGCCCAACACCTCCTCTCCCTTTCCTCATGGCTTCTGGACTACGAGTACTTGCTGTGTGCCCACATCCCCTCTTCCTCCTGCCCTCCCAACCCATCCCTCCTCTTCTCCTCCCTCCTCTCCCTCTCCTCTTCCGCTCTCACGTATCCTCCTCACAGAAGCTGGAGGAGGAGGACATGCAGAACGCCGTCCCAGGTCGCTCGCGCGCCTGGATCGGCAGCCGCACGCAGCTGGACCGGCACCTGGACCGGGGCGGTGTGAGGAGCAAGGGCGGCTACTGTCTGCTGCCGTTACAGGTGTGGGAGGGAGGGAGGGTTGCGGAGGGAGGGACAGGAGTGCTGGTTGTTGCCTGGTCGCTGTGTGCGCAGAGGTGGCATGGGTACGGGAGCAGTGGGAGCAGTTGGATGGGGGTCGTGCCGTCTGCCACCGTGGGTTGCAGCGTTGTGTAGGAAGAGAGGAGGCAGGTGTGCGTCCCTGTAGCTGGGGTCCTGACGTCCCCGCACGGCCCTTGAACCTCTTGTTCGGCGCCTCAGGTTTTCTTTCAAACGGACGAGGAGGTCCGTGCGGAGGTGCTGTACACGGAAGACCTGAAGGACCCCACCAACAGCCAAGGTAGTGTTGGCGCGTGCTGCCCAAGCCAGGTTTTCTACCGTTTTGGCATCAGCGCGGGTCGCTGACCCACGGGTCACTTGTCTGTTTTTCCCTCCTCCTAAGGAACTGAACATGTCCAACATGCCATAGTTAACAAGGATCTCAACGGATGCGCCGCCATCCCGAGGCCACACCGCAATTGATTCCAATCACAACAATAAAGTGACTACGTTTCTTACTCTGTCTGTGCGCTTCGTGATGATCGCATGCAGGTTTCTTCTTCGTCGATCGTTTCCTCCAGCCGCTGCGTCAGCGGCTGAGGTTGCGTGATGAGCTGCTTTGCTTCCCCACGCACAGCAGGAACACCTTTCAGGTAGAGAACTGCCCGCCTGGCAAGTCAGATATGTATCTTTCGAGGATTTGTCAAAACGCTGTTAAGAGGTTATGGTTTCCGCTTAGCAAGGCTAGCCTTGGTTTTCTTCTCTGCGCATTGTTTGTTACGAACACGGGGCCGGACTGCCCGGGGGCGGCGTTGACGGTGGTGGGCTTGTGCTTTATGTTGGGGAGCTAAGGGGGGAGAAGAAGTGCTGTGGAATGCACCTTCCATTGAACCATTGAGGTCGTATTGAAACCGCAGCCATCACCGATCCACTTGCTGTTGTCTGCCGCTCGCTTCTGTTGCTGTTTACCGGCAGGTGGTGGTGCTGCCTGACGTCTGCGGGGAGTGCCTGAAGCCCATTGGGGACCAACGTAAGTTGCGTTTTGATAACCCGTGTTGCATTATTGCGACATGTGCCTTATAAACATCCCAAGTGTTGTTCATCGTAAGCAATAGTTTGGTGCGCGGTAATCATGATGAGCTCAGCACCCTCTGCCATACGTCCTGAAACCTCGTTTATCAAACACTGCTGCAAGCACATAACCGGTTCGAGCTATGCATGCCCGCACACCAACCCGCGCTTTCCCTTTCCCATGTTTCCTGTCCATGGCTTCCGCAGTCGAGGACATTGTCATCTGCAGCAAGTGCCTTGACTTTGTGGACTTGACATGCTCCGGACTGCCCGACATTCCGGAAGGTACGAAACGCGCACGGCGTACACGTGTCTTTTCCGCGCCCACGACAAGGACGCCTTACCTACACATGTATGTCGTGCTCCTGCCAAGGTTATGCTTTGGTCTTGCCGACTTTGCTTTCCCGTACCAAAGCTCCGGTTTTGGTCCAGGGGCATGAATCGCATCCTACTTCAGTTCTTGACACCCCGCTGCACTTCCCCCTCCCATGGCCACTTCCCGTCGCTCTCTACATGCGGCTCGTGCAACAAATCTATTTGGGCTGCAGAGGAGGATTGGCTGTGTCGCCACTGCCGGGTCCAGGAGGACCAGGAGGTGCTCGAAGAGGAGGTGCTCGAAGCGGCTCCGGAGGCCGGAGGTACGGAGGAGCAGGAGGCCGCAGCAGGACAGCTAGGCGCCGGCACCGTGCTCCGCGCAGAGGTAACCCGGGCCACGGCCGAAATGGCGGGAACAGGGAGCATTTCTTTCTCTGCTGCGACCATCACCGCCCTGCGGCATCTTCAGCTGCTGCAGACGCAGGACCAGCAGCCGCCGCAGCAGCCGTTGGTCGCGGAGGCTGGTATTAACAGGCATGCCGCCCCTGCAACGAGTAACCCGGCGACGGTAGGGGCGGAGCCGACGCTAGGCCCTGGGGTTGCCGCAGCGCCGCCGCCACCGCCGCTACTTGGCGGCAACGGGGCGACAGTCAGCGCTGCCGCCGATCCGCTGCGGTTGCGGTCGTCAGCAGTGGCTGATCTATCAGGACTGGCCTCAATGATACCGATCACCAGTACCCTACCGCAACGGCAACCGCAGCCAGCACTGCCATCGCAGCAACAGCAGCAACTGCCGCTGGCATTGTTACCGACAGAGATGCAGCCGGCAGCCAACATGCCGGCGCTCGGTGCCACGCTCGGCGGTGTTGAAGCCGTACGGACTAACCGCAGCGCCAGGGCGGGTGTAGGCAGGCCGGTGGCGGCAGAGGTGGCAGGTGCTGAGGACGGCAGCGAATATGAAGCCTCGTCTGCAAGCTCTTCGGATGCGGAAGACAGCGAGGGCGTTGGGGGTGGCCGGGGGCGGGGGCGTGGACGTGGACGGGGCGGGAGGGCCGGCGGAGGCGCAGGCAGGGACCGAGGGCGGGGCCGCGGCCGCGGCGGACGACCCAAGGGTCGCGGCAGGGGTCGCGGCAGGGCATCTGCTGCCGCGGGACGCGGGGACGCCGATACTGATGCCGCTATTGACGCACTGCTTGATGGTGGGGCTGCTGCTGGGGGGTTCGGTGGGGCCCTGGCTTCCGTTGCGCCCCACGGTTCCTTTGCGGCGGCTGAGGGACATGAGGTTCTTCTTCTGGGCATGGATGCAGGCTACGGAGGTGCCAGCGCAGCCGCCGCCCTGCTCCCAACGCATCACACCCATCCCCACGACCACCGCCACCAGCAGCAGCAGCAGCAGCTCTACCCGCAGGAGCAGCAGCAGCCAGATCTGCGGGACCTGGGCCTCCTGCATCAGCAGCAACACCACCCGCAATACCTTGACCACCCACTGCTCATGCAAGACCAGCTCCAGCAGCAACAGGGACAGCAACAGGGACAGCAGGGGCAACCGCTAGGATTGCATGAGGACCTACATGCGGATCCCCAGTTCACTGCAGCAGCCCCGTCCGGCCGTGGCGGCGGCGGCAGACGCGGTCGTGGCGGCCGTGCTGCTGCCGCTGCCGCTGCTGCTGGACGCCAGACGCAGCCGCGGGGCCGAGGGCAGGGGATACGCATGGGGCCGGAAGACGGCGATAGTGAAGCCGAGGAGCTGCCGGGACAGCAGCTCTCGCAGGACTTCACTAGCGATGTCGGCTTGGCGCCCCGCCGGCAGGCTGCGCGGGACGAGACTGCCGCAACAGCCGCAGCGGTGGCGGCAGCGACCCGATGTCTGGGCGCTGCAGCTGCTTCCCCTGGCACACGCATTGAGGTGGCCGCTGCCGCTGCTGCGATGGCTACTGCGAACAGGTGGCTGGACGCTGCGACCGCCAGCGGCGCTGCTAGCGGGGCCGCGGCGGCGTCTGAGCACACCGCCGCCGCTGCTTCTGCGCCCGGAGTCGATGAGGGTGAGACCACTCTGGAGAGCTTTGCTACTGCTGCTGCGGCGGCGGTGGCGGCGGCAGCGATGGCAGCACAAGCCCCGGAACCACAGCCGGCAGCAGGCGCGCTAGCCGTACCGCCGCCACCGGCGGCAGCAGCAACAGCAACGGCGGCGGCAGCAACGGCGGCAGCAGCAGCAGCGGCTCGGCCTGTTCCAGTTGCTGCGGCTGCCGACCCTTCTGCTGCTTCTGCTGCTGCTCCTTCTGCTTCTCCTTCTGCTGCTCCTGCCGCGTCTGGTCACAGGATGATCAAGCTCAAGAGGAACGCAACAGCAGCACCCAACGCTGCAGGCGTTGCGAATTCGAGTGCTGCCGTGGCACGTGGTGATGCAGACACCGCGGGGGCTGCTAGGACTGCCGAGGCAGCAACAAGCCGTGGAGCTGGGCCGGAGGGGGGCACGGCGGTGGGAGCGCAGGCTGCTGCTCCGGACACAGCAGCCGACAGCGGGCAGGACAGGCTGGCAGGCGAGCATGAAGCCGCAGGTACTGCTCCGGGAGCGGATGCAGCAGCGGAGGTGGAACAAGGAGGAACGCGAGGTGAAGCAGAGCGCCGCGGCGGTGTAGCAGGCCATGGTACTGCTACTACAACGACCGCTATCGCTTCAGCTGCTGCTACCGCTCCAGCTCCTGCTGCTGCTGCTGCTGCTGCGGTTCCGGCTCCTGCTCTTGGTGGCCTGCCTGGGGGTGCAGGGGACGGGGTGGCAGCTGCCGTCGGAGGCAGTGCTCCAGACTCCACACGCTCCCCTTCGCCGCCGCCACCCCCGCCGCCGCCACCACCTGCGGCGCCGCCACCGCCACCGCCACCCCCGCCGCCGCCGCCGCCGCCGGCACCAGCACCGGCGGAAGGACAGCAGACGCAAGTACCGTCTTCAGCAGCAGCAGCAGGGGCACCAGCAGCAGCAGCCCCAGCAGCAGCAGCAGGGGTACCAGTTTCCGGCCCCACGGCTGCGGCCTCAGGACGGCTGGGTGGTACGGCAGCAGGTGGCCGGCCGGCACGACCAGACCTGCCGCACTTTCCCCGGACTGCTCGCTTGCCTGCCCCGGTCCTGGCACTCCTGAAGTCCAGCGGCCCTGAAGCTCCCCCTGGTGCAGCTGCTGGTGTTGGTGCTTCTGCTGGTGTTGGTGCTTCTGCTGGTGTTGGTGTTGCAGCTGGTGTTGCAGCTGGTGCTGCAGGTGACAGCGGCGGCGGGTCGACTGGCAGTGGTAGGACCGCTACCGCTGTCGTCGGCAGGCCGGGAACGGTGGTTGCGCCAGGGCGTGATGGTGATGGTGGTGTTCTTCCTGCGGCAGCGGTGCCAGACCCCAGTAGCTTGACGGCAGCACCGGCTCCTGCCTCTGCTGGTGTTGCTCCGGTGCCGCCCGCACTAGAGCGCCGAGAACAGCAACAGCAGCAGCAGCAACAGCAACAGGGAGCCATTGCAAGCCAGCAGGCAGGGCAGCAAGGGGCTCCCGACAGCACCGCAGCAGCAGGCGGGGCATCCGCACCTGCAGCAGCGCAGGAGGCTAATAGGGTTGGTGCGACTGCTGCTGCTGCCGCTCCTGCTGCTACTGCTACTGCTGCCGCCGCTGCTGCTGCTGCTGACGGTCCACCAGCGGATGCGGTGACGGCGGCCGCTGGGGCGCCGGATGCGGCAGGCCCTTCCACAACCAACCAGGCCGCTAGAGCTACGGCTGAAGGGCCGCCGGTGCAGCCGCAGGCTCCGTTGGAGGAACAGCAGCAAGTGGAGGAGGAAGAACAGCAGCAGCAACAACAACAGCCGCAAGTAGGGCAGCAACAACAAATACAAGGAGTACAGGCAAAAGGGGGCCGGGGTCGGAAAGGGCGAGGACGAGGACGGGGTCCTGCTTCCGCGGCAGCGGCGGCCGGAAGGACAGCAGCTGTTCGTGCTGCGGAGGAGGAGACAGCAGCTGCATTACCGGCGACAGTGTCGATCAGGGGCGGTCGTGGAGTGGCGGGGGGCCGCCAAAGGTCCACGGCTCGCCCTGGTAAAGCGGCACCGTCGCTTGAGCTGCAACCAAGTCCAGAGCCTGACCCGGTTGTGGATGTGCTGGATACCTCGTCTTCTTCCCCTTCCTCCTCCTCCTCTCCTCCTCCGCGTGGTGGTCATTCGAAGCGCGGCGGGCGCCAGAGGAGCAGCAGCGAGGAAGGAAGCAGCAGTAGCAGCGAGGAAGGAGGTAGCAGCAGTAGCAGCAGTAGTGACGATGAGGCGATTGGCAGCTACGAGCAGCGCAAGCAGCAGCAGCAGCAGGTGCGGCAGCAGACCGGGGGGCCGCGGCAGCAGCAGGTGCGGCAGCTGCGATCTGCCTTGGAAGGTCAGGAAGCGGATCAACATGCACCTCAACATCCCTCACCGCCCAAGCGCCGTGGAAGGCTTCCGAAGACGAAGCAGCCGAACAATTTTGCTGCTGCCGCTGCTGCCGCTGCTGACACCGCCGCTGCTGCCACTGCCCCCGCCGCTGCTGACGCGGCATGCAACCCGAACCCACCCGAAACGGCCTGCCCACAGTCGCTGCCGCCGGCGGCGGCTCAACCCAAACGACGCGGGCGGCCGCCAAAGGCGCTGAAAGCAGCCATGGCCGCTGCGGCCCAGGCTGCGGTTGCAGCAACCTTGGGGCAGTTGCATGGCAGTGTGGAGACGGCAGGAGCCATCCAGCAGACCGGCACGCCGCCGGGTAGGGATAGGGGTGCTGCTGCGGGTGCTGGTGTTGGTGCTGGTGCTGCTGCTGCGGGTGCTGCTGCTGCTTCTGCCGATAGAGGTGCCAGTGAGAGCGGAGGACTCCCAGCTGCTTCTCCGGCTGTTGTCCTGCCGATGAAGAGGCCCCGTGGACGTCCTCGTAAGGACCAAGGAACAACCCCTGCAACTGCGGCCGCAACGGCGAAGCGGCAGCGGCGACAAGCGACGCAACCCTCGGGCCCTGCCGCCGCTGCTGCCGCCGCTGCTGGCGCTGCTGACGTTGAAGTGGGCGATGATGGCGTGAGAGGTGCTGCCGCTGCTGGGGTCGTCGTCAAGACTGAGGCGGCGGCGGCGGAGGCCGGTGCGGCTGCTGCTGCTGCGGCGGCTAGGGGTGTAGCGGGCGCAGCAGGGCCGGGTGCTGCTGGACAAGTGGATGCAGTTGTCGCGAGTGCGCAGGAGGAGCGAGAGCAGGAGGAGCGGGAGCCTCAGGCAGACAGAGGCCGCGAGGGCGGCGGTGGCGGTGAACGGGAGGGTGCCCAGGGGACGCAGGACCGGGAGCAGGGTGAGCAGGGTGAGAGGCAGGTACCTAGCCAGGGAAAGAGGGCGGTTTCACAAAAAGGACGCGGCGGTAAGCGGGCGCGCCTTGCGACCACTATCGATACCTCAGCTGCAGCAGGGGCGACGGCGGCGGCGGCGGAAGCTGCGCTGCCAACCGCTACGGCCTCCGCTTCCTTGCGAAGCGTCTCTGTTATTGCGGCGACGGCAGCGGCAGGAGATACGGCATCCAGGCAGCCGTCAGCAAACGGCGGTGGCAGCGGAGGCAAGGGCGCAGGTGTGGCTGCAACGCGTGCGGACGCGGGCGGTGAAGCTCTTGGAGCTCCACTTGGCGGCGGAAGGGCTCAGGGTCAGGGTCGCAGCCAACGTATTGCACGTGGCAGGGAAGCTGATGCAGACGCTGCCGAGGATGAGGACGAGGATGCGGGTGCCGGTGCCCGCCACCTTGCTGATGCCAACGGTGCCGACGCGAACGGTGGCGGCGGTGGCGGCGCTGCGGCTGCGAGGCGACCCCCGGGTCGCCCCGCCAAGAAGGGCCGCATGGAGGTGGCTCAGGGTGAGCAGGCGGCGCCCTCCGGTGCTGCAGTGGTTGCAGCGGGTACAGCGGCGCAAGCAGCGCTACCTCCCGCTGCTGCTGCAGCTGCTGCTACTGCCAGTGCTCCTAATGCCACTGCTGCGGCGGCCGGGGCGGAAGCTGCAGCGCTTGTTCTCGCTGCGGACGACGCCCCAGTGGAAGCGCGATTGAGGCAGCTGACGGCCCTGGTTCAGGCAGAGGCGGAGCATTTGGGGCAGTTGGAGGCGTCAAACGCTGGGGCGCAGTCGCGTGTGAAGGAGCTGGAGGCGCGGATAGAGCAGGTGCAGGCGGATGCGGAGAGGAGGCTGGCGGACGCGGAGAAGAGACGTGAGGAGGCGCTGGCGGATGCGGACAGGAGGCTTGCGGACGCGGAAAAGAGACGTGGGGAGGCGCAGGCGGATGCGGAGAGGAGGCTTGCGGAGGTGCAAGCGGAGTCTCGGGCACGACTTGCAGAGATGGAGGCTCGGGTGGCTGGGGCGGAGAAGAAGGTAAGAAGGCGGGGCCGATGTGCTGACGGCGGCACAGGACAACTGTCACGTCCAGTGATTCGATGCAGCGGAGCTCCATGAGGCGTGAACATACATGGGTGCCTGGTTAGGCAGTGTTGTCTTGTTGTCTTCAAGGGGAGGGATCAGATGTTCTGAGTTTGATACTGGTGTTACAACATGGGTTGCATTGTTCTAAGGAATGAGGCATGGAGCACTCTTTCTCGTCAGTCGCAACCTCCCTTTGGAGGCTTATCAGGGGCTTACGTAACCGTGTAACCCGTTGGTCCCTTTTCCTTCCCTTCCATCCCCGACAGGTGGCCGAAAGCGACGCCCTGACTCAGGCCATGACGCTGCTTCTGGAGCGGGAGCGAGAGAACGCTCGGCGGGTCGCCTCCGACCCAACGTTGGCCATCATCGACCAGTTCATAACCCGGGAGCAGCAGCAGCGCAACGCGGCATGGGCGGCAGCAGCTGCAGGCGCTGCAGCGGCGGCGGCGGCGGCGGCGGGTGCCGGTGGCGCGGCGGGGCCGGCGGCGCCGCGAGGGGCAGCAGGTGGTGGAGGCGCCGCTGGTAACCGCGGTGGGTTATGAGGGGGTGCAACACACGTGTTGGTTGGAACAGTCGGACACGTGAGTTGACACTCAGCGAGTTGATATGATGGCGGTCGGATGGGGGTACCGGTGTACGGCTTTGGCGTTGTGAGGCCAGTTAAGGCCTCTGGCTGTGAGGGCTTATGACTGATGGGTAAGAGGGCTCGTGGTTGGGAAGGAGGGGGCCACAGAAGTGCATACATGCTGTCGTAAAGCGCAGCGGCAGCAGCAGCAGCAACAGCTGCGAGCAACCGGGGCAGAGGCAGGGATAGCAACAGCATGACGCATGAGTTGTGTAGGGGCGCTTGGCGTAAGGCGTTTCACTTGGTCTTCGTGTAAGATCTGGCTTCCAAGAGCTGCTAGCATGGGCGGCATTGTTTTTGCGGTAGCGGGCTAAACGGAAGCTGGTAATGCTTGATGTCCGCTTCAGCTTCCAACGAACCTGTCGCAACTAACAATTTGCAGGTACTTGATGAGAACAGCATTATTGTCCTGACTGACCCTGAAGTTGGCAGGGTCTGTCATGAACGGCTTGTTGCTTGGGTATGCGGCTTCGGCAATGGACACGTCGCGTGTAAGGACAGCCCTTTGTCACGTTGCGTGAGACCATCTTGACCTCGTACAAATGTGGACGGTTAAGGGCGGTTTGTGGTTGTTGCTTAGACGTTGTTACTTCCGCATGTGTTTTGTTCACTCTTCGCTGTTCCCAATGGAGTCCTGTGTTGTTTGATAACCGACAGCAGGGCGCCCTTTGTCGGGTTCATATGTCCAAACGAGGACCTTCACAACTCAGCAGGGGTGAGATTGGCGTTCAGGAGCTGCGTTGGACGTTTTACTATTGGTATTCAAGTGACGTGACTCGGATGACTGTGGTATAATTGGTGATCATGAGGAAAGAGGGTGGCAAGATGGGTTGGGGGCTTCTAAATTGCCACCTGAGCCAGGGCTCGAGCTTAACAGTTTCTAACCCCTGCATCCGAGAGGGAATCCCTCGTCTCTTTGTGCAAGTTTGAAAGCCTCCGGATATGCTTGCAATGGAACCATGGCACCCTTGGGGCTTCCCGGATGTGCAGCTACGAGTACGGTATGCCTGCCACCTTGTGGCACTTGAATGGGCAAGCGCAAGCAAAGGGTTGGTTAGGAGGACCGTCAGGGCAGCTAGCCTACCCTGCTAGCCTGCTTTCTGCCTATGCATTAGACTAGGACCAGGGACTCAATGTGGCAGGGTAGACGCTACGAAACTGATGACGTCTAAACATGTTTTGCTGCAACACCAGGGTAGGATAGTCTGACTGGAAGCTTGCACGTTTGAGCTATTCCATAATTCAGAATATACACATTATAATGGCTATAGTCTGATACACATTCCACAATATACACAATATAAGGGCTGTGGGTGGTGCAATACGGTGCGGTTTAGTAGGCGCCCAAAGCAAGCGCTCCTTTCCATGACCCGGATGCAACCAGTATACAATGCTTAGACATATAGGGTTAAATCTTCAATGAGCATCCGTGGCCTCGCGGAGCCTGGAGTCGTATGCAAGGAAAGTGGAAGGAAGCTCCTCGTACTTGGATGACCATCGGACGTACTGGCACAGTGGTAAGGCTATGCACCTGCTAATCAACGCAATTAATTAACGGACAAGACTGCAGTATATTGAAAAGTGCGTTACTTGCAACTTGAAATTCTTCAGTCGCCATGGTGGGGTCACGGTTTGGTGCTTATTCGCGGATGCCAAAGCGCAGAATAGATAGGCGTACTCCAAGTGGGGGCCATGCGTCTATGCCCTCAGCGCAATGCTCATCGACGCCTTGGACTGTCGCTCGACTGGATGGTCCCCAGCATCGCGACGCTAATGCAGACAGCAATCCCAGCAGCCGGAAGGAGTGTGTGTCTTCCAGCACAGAGCTTGGCGCATCTCTGCTTCCGTGCTGCGCGAAGTATGCAAAATTGGGATTCGCTGGGAAGCAGCCTTTGGAAACTGGAAAGCCCTCCAACCTTATGCCCTTGCTTGGTATGGGCCCTGGCCACAAGCTTCTGGCACGTCAGCTCAACCCGCGTCCGGCGAAGCGCCTGCGCGCTGACATCCAACATCGTCAACACATGGCTGTTGCGGCGGGCGTTGCCGCTGCCACAATCACCAGCAGCGCAATTTCCTCTGCGGCCTCAACCACTGCCGCATTCCTAGGCGCTCTGATGTCTGGGTTAATGCATCCGTCCATGTTCCTGCAGCTCAGCACAAGCGCCTTTGATGCTTCGAGCGACTTCCTTCTTAACCGTTTCGAGGTGCGTTAAACGCATACGAGCCTAACAACTGTTTGAAGCATGTTGGTGTGCATTTTCTTAATTTCTTCTAGCATTAAGCTTCTGTCTTCTTTTCCATGTGTTCCATCTTACATCCTTTGACATCCGCACATTTCCACTGCACAGAGCGCAGTGGTTAGTAACGTAACGGCGGCTGCTGTGGATGTGACCATCAGCCCGGCCGCTTGCGCCTGCCTGCGGCTGTCCCTGCGTAGCCGCGTACGGGTCGCCATGGCTGGGATGTCCATCCTGTGCTTCCTGTGGGCGCTCGCCCACGCCCTGTCCCACTTGGGCTTCGACCACGACGCTACGAAGACGGTGAGTTGGGATCTCGCGTGCCAGCTTGTTCTGCTGCCCATATACGGTAGGCGTTACAAGGCCACACAATGCGTCCGCTAGGAGTGTATTACGCTACCAGCAGGCCTGCTTGGTCTCCATACCTCGCCAGCAACGCTCGCTTTCATTGGGTACTGAACGCCTTCGCTACGGGTGTCGACGGGCATGATACTGCCTTGTCCTGTTTGTTTCACTTTGACGCACCCTAAAGCCCCATGCCTCCAACATCAGCCTTTTCCATCTCGACACACAAACCTGCATGCCAGCTCCTCCTCCTTTCCATTCCCCACCACACCCTCAAAACCTTCCACGCCTCTCCTCCCTCCGCAGCTGCTGCACCTGGCGGGTAGCGGACCCGGGCTAATGGAGAACTGCAGGGAGCTGCTTCAGGTTGGCTGCGCCCTGGGTGTGGGCGTAGCCAACTCATCGAACAGCAAGAGCAAGAACTGAGGGGGGCTGTTGTGCTATGGAGCGCGCATTGCTGCTCTGTATTGTAAAGTCTTTTGCAGTGGAGTAGCGGGCTCCTGATACCATGCCGACATTGGCCTAGGAAAGCGTGGAAGGGGGAGACCATGTATGATAGGTTGCGTTTACGGGTATGTGTCAAACCTGGGGCCGCACGACAATGTTGCTTGTTAAGAAAGAAGAATGAGCGTGAAGAGAAATGAACTCGTGCTTTTGACCTTCTTCATTAGCAAAATTGGGTGACAGTAGCGAGGATGTGGGTGAATAGGCGGTGTACATAACGGGTACATACAATGACGCGTGAAAAGTGGAAGTCCGGGGGCCTGCTGCGAAGTGATAAGAGAGCGGCTTGAAGAGAGAGAGATAGACGTGAGGAGTAGAAAGGTGCGGGGGTTGCATGCCATCTGCCCGACCGATGGGTCCATCTGGTTATGGACGGTGTGAAGGCGACTGTAGAGCAAGGGCCACTGGCGAGGGTTGGTGTGGTGCGCCATTAGTGGTAGCTTTTTGTTGGTGTATTATCTGTTAAAGCAGTTGGCCCTGCGGATATGGGCTTTGTAGGTTGCATCATACTACAGTACTGTCTTGTTTGCTTAGACCTTCGCGCGTTGTTGTAGATAGGTTAGCCGTTATTCTTTTCCAAGCATTTGAGGGAGAGATTGTGTCGAGGGGTGTGGTTACTTTTGCTGGCGTTGAAGCAGCTAAGAATCTTGGTTAGCCTCCATGCGTTAGGCTGCATGCCTGTCGTTGAAAGGGGAAAACCAGGCAGCCAGGTAGTTGATGCATGAATTGTGACCAAATGTTGAGAGAAGGTATGGCTGGTAGGGATGGTATGTGTCTCTTAACCTTCTCACGCGTGATTCTAACCCGTTGCGGACTTGCTGTAGGATTCGTTGACCCCTGTTACCGCGTGTAGTTTTTGCATCTTGTAGGTTTAGGTCTTTGGCATGTTGCCTGTGCCTGGCCGTACTGTGCGTTCGGCCATCGGTTGTTGCACTGTTAGAGAGCTATCTCGATGTATGCTGTTTTATCCGCCTTTGGTATTGACTTGTAGGGGGTTGTAGCATGTAATTCGTGCAAAAGGGGGCTGTCTCGCATCGGGGCTGTCCACCGACCCATGGGTCGCGTGAGGTGCGTGGGAGTTTCGCGCGTGACATTCTTTGAGGGTGAGGTATCCGTGAGGACAGTGTGAGTGCAACATTCACGAGGGGCCATTGTGGTCTGTCCAGTGCACGTGAGAGAGTTGGAGAGAGGAGAGAGAGAGAACGGGGAGGGCGAAGAATGCTTTGCCTTGCGAACATTCTATGCTGCGGTTGATTGTCGGCCCATGGTCTTGTACGTATAAATGGTGTGGGAGGTGCGCTTTGGTATACCTCAGGTGCAGAGGGGGACGGCGGAACGCCTGGAGTCACACAATGGCTGAGGCAAGCCAGTAGGGAGGGAGGGAAGTGCGCGGGTCGACAAGCAGGAAAGGCATGGAGAGGAGTTGTATGTCACGGTTTACCGCAGCACGTTGTCAGGTACACCGTTTTCAGAAGTCGTGTTGTAGGCTCTAGGGTTAGCTTTGTTGAACGTGGCGTGTGGGAGTTGCTAGTATGGTAGCTTCTGCATGGATTGAAATGATGTGGGGCAGTCGGAAGCAACATCTGGCTGGGCAACATCTTTGTAGTTGCCGGCGGAAACTCCAAGTGCAGGTGGGGAACTTCGCTGTCGATGGGGTTCTATCTTGAGGCAGGGAGTGTCGTACCATTTGAAGTGTGTATGGGTATTTGCCGTTTGGGGAGTCTCCGTACCGTGTAAAGTCAGGTGGACGTGTCTGAACACCTGTGTTGTGCAAAACAACTGTGCGGGCATGCTGAAACTCAGGTGGAAGGGGCCTTGCGTCGTTCGCTCAATCGCATGGCCCTGTTGGCTGCATGAGGAGACACAGTTGCGTTGCGTAGGTCATGTCGTTAGCAAAGTTGTACGCGAAGTTGGTTAGGAGAAGGCCGCAATCAACAACTTTCCAACCAATGCTGTAAACGAGGAACGCCCTGCTGATTGAACGCACTAATGGCTTTTGCTAGCGCCGGTCTCTCGCCCGTATCCAGAGATACACGCATACCGTGTTGGAGAAATTGTTGGCACAATTCCTTTGCAATGTGCTTCTAGGTATGTTGCATTTGGTCCGAACTTACAGGGAAGTTACACAAATGTACCAGCCACGACAGGCAAGGACTACAGCAGGCGTCACAACGTGGTGGTTGATGGGTGTTGTCTGCTAAGCGAAGAATACAGCAAGCTGTACTACGACGCCTTCCTACGACACACACACGCTTCCTGTTGCTGCTCTAACCCCACCACCACCGTGCCCTCCCGAGGCACAGTCATCGCCCGGCGGATACACACTGATCGGTACTACTCGCACTGACTACCGTACAAAGTACGGGATGCGCCAAGCCCACTACAACGCCAGCTAGCGTATCACAACATATCTTCATTCCGGCAGACACTTTACACTCATCGCCCATCCTTGCCTCACTCCTCAATGCCCACATGCATGAGGAGTTGAGGATGTCCACACACAGTCCCTCTGAAGGTGACATACCGGTACCCTTTCGCCACAATGGCCTGCCTCCCACCATTCGAAGCAAGCACGCTTCCTCACCATAGCACATGCATACGCCCCCGCCCTAACGTTCCTACATGGTAATGTTGCTACACCTCCCATACCAGCCATAGCCCCAAACTACCGGCACCAGATCCTGCAAGTCGGACATTGAGCTTCTCTTTTCAGCATCTTAAATCACGGTGCTTCAATCATATCATCATCACCATCGCCATTTTCAATGACCCCACCCTCTCTCTCTGAATCACTTTGCCTAGTCACGAGCAACCGAAAGCAACAGCAATTGTGGTTGCACAATAAATTTGAAAGATATGTCATCCACGCATTCTTGCACGTCCTGGGCACCTCCCGCTCCTCATGAAATATTCAGCAGGCGGGCGGGGACTCTTTGCACACACAGGCACTCTTCTCGTTCCTACTCGCGGCCAGTTTTCTTAACGCACAGTACGTTCCTACTCGCGGCCAGTTTACACGCATGCATGCATACCTCCCCTTCCTTGAACTCTTCGTGTGCACCCTAATCGGAAGGACGATCCAATGATGGGTCCAACCCAAAGAGCTAATGAAGACGACGACACTCCTAACGCTCCGCACCCAATCGCTCCTAGAGAAGTACAACTACGTAATAATCGCACACGTACGGAAACACAGGATTCAGGATTCTAGCACACAATCACGCAAGCTCACAAACAGTGCATCTCATTTCTTTGCGACATTATCACTCGTATAACACTTGTACAGACCGTTACCGCACCTCGGCACCCCATGCATCCATATCCGGCTTGTGCACGCATTTCACGGCTGCTCTGTTGTCGCAAACAACTCGTCAACTCTGGCAACTGCAAACATCATCTCTCTCTCCTTCCTCACCTCACTTCTGCCTCACTTGTTTCCTTACTCATGACAGCATCAAAAGAGAACATGTTTATCAATTGGATACGACGAATGTCCTCAATACCCACCCGGTGGAGCAACAGTGACCAGCAATAGAGCCTCTTTAGCATCCCAAACTTAACACCAACCCCCAACGTACCTCTGCTACCATGCATCCCCCGATATGCCTGCCTACCCAACCTCACCCAACCTACCTACCTGTCTAAGTACGCACGGCCGCACTGGAGGAGCGGACATACTACGAATGATAGCATACCGGTAAGTTAGTCCACCGTTTTGTACAAAGAATAATAAACAAAAACTTTTCTCACAGCAAACAGCAGGAGTCTTTGTACTTCAAGTATAGAATGAATAGACTGGCTCCTCCTCTCCTCCCTCTTCTCCTTCCTCCACACCTCCCCTCTCTCCTCCCACCTCACCTCCCCCCGCACCCCGCACATACCCCGCCTTCGCCCCTGCTGCCCCCCTCCTGGCCACCCCCACCCCCAGCGCCAGCCCCAGTTGCAGCAGCTCCCTGCAGTTCTCCATCAGCCCGGGTCCGCTGCCAGCGAGGTGCAACAGCGCCTGCAGCGAGGCAGCGGGGTGCGCGGACAGCTGCAGAGGCTGCAGCGGCTCACACAGGGGGCCCACATGCGCCAGGAACCAAGCCAGCGACACGCCGGCAAGGGTGGCGCGCACTCGGCGACGGAGGGCGAGGCGCAGGGAGGGAGGTGCGGCACGGGTGAGGTGGGCGTCTACCACGGTTGCTGTGACATGCCGGACGATATTGCCCTGCGGGAAGCAGGATACAGGATGAAACAGGGTGAGACAGGGTGAGGAGTAGTGTAACAGATTTCGGAACAGTTGCGAGGTAAGCAAGCCGGGAAGGAAACATGTACAAGGAACTAAGGCACGAGGCCCCAACCCTTGCCGGCTGGTCAACCGGCGAGGACTAGGCGAGTACCACGCATCCACACCTGCACGCGGTTCAGCAGCAAGTCACTGCCCGCATCCAGCGCGTTAGATCCCAGCTGCACCGCCGCCGACACCTGCAGCACCGCGTGTACGGCATGCGGCGCCGCCGAGTGGCCGACGGCTGACGCCGCCGCCGCCGTCAGGCCGCCGACGGCAGCGGAGGCGGCGGTGGACACCGCATTGGCGGCGGAGGAGGCGGCAGCGACACCCGCGGCGAACGCCACATGGTGGCGAATGGGGTGAGGATGCGCCGCCGCCGCCGCCGATGACGATGCCGGTGGTTTTGGAGCTGACGTCACCGCTTCTTCGGCGGTGCTGTTGCTGACGTCAGCGTCCGCTGCGGCACCGGCAGCAGCCGGTCCCTTGCTGGCGGCGGGGTCGACGGAGGCGGCAGCAGCAGCGTCACTACCACCAGCAGCACCAGCAGCAGGGGGCGTGATAACAGCAACTGCAGTGGGCGCGCCGGCGCCTTCTTCGCTCGCTGCTGCGGCGGCGGCGGTGGCTTCCCATGAGGGAGTCAGCCCCACACTAAGAGAGCCACTGGGGTTGCCGCCGTTAACACTTCCACTGCCGTTGTGGCCCTCGAGCAGCAGGTATGATCCGTCATGGCCCCCACGTCGGCGGCTGCTTTCTGCTCGCAGCCGTCTACCGGACCTCGCTGCGGCGGAAGAGGAGCAGGAGGATGTGGGCGTGGGCGACAGCGGAAGCGCTACCGAACCCAGACCGCGGGGCAGCGATGTAGACAGCAGCGGTGACGGGGAGGATGCGACAGCAGCAGAGGTGCTGCCGTGGCCTTGGTTGTTGTACCGTATCGGTACGTCCCGCGGAGAGGAAACAGCGCTACATGGAGACGATGACGACATGATCGTCTTTTGCACGTGATGCAGGGCGAAGGGTGTGGCGCTGGTGGTGCTGCTGATGTTGTTGCTGTTGTTGTTGATGTCAACAGTTGCGTTGGCGGCGGCGGCGGTAGCGATGCTTGCCGTAGCAGCGACTGTGACCAGGGTGTTAGCAGCCACACTAGCGGTTGCAGTGGCAAGGGCGGCAGTGCTGTCGGCTGCGCTGCTCAGGGTGTGGTGGCTGCGGATGAGCGCGGCCTCGGTCATGGACCATAGGGAACTCCTGTGGGGGTTTGGGGGTATGAGGGGAGGGGTTGGGGGCAGATGGGGTTTGGTCGTAACTGACACTGACAAGTTCGCCACAAAGCTGACGCAGACGATGCAGGAAGGTGCTGCTGCTGCTGTGTGCATGCACGTATGAAGATTGAAACGCAGGTGGTGAAGCTGGGAGAAGCTGCCCGGGGGTAGCGTAACGCATGCTAGGTAGTAGAAATCGCCGGAGCGGCAGATGACACATGAGCTCCTTGGTAAGAGGGCAGGGTCGGAACGGCGCGTGTGGTGGAGGGAGGCAAGGGAAGGGAAGGCGCTGGACCGGCGAGGGATTGTAAAGGGATGTGCAGCTGCATTTGTATAGGACGGTTGTCAGGTAGGACGCATCATACATAATGCATTCATTCCCCGTCGAGCAAATAAACCGTAGCGGCCCCAAGCGCCTTCACCATAAGCTCTTGTGCTTAATACCGGTATGGCCGCTGCCCCCAGAAATAACGTCCCGGCGTAATTACCTGCAGATGTCCCAGGATGGCATATATTTATACAATGTCTCGAAGGTCCCAGATGTCGATGGCGGTGAGTTGTGAAGGCAGGTGGTGGCGCTCTCCAGGACCTTTGAAGCATGGATGCACTTGAGAGTATTGTGGCGTTGGAGCCAGACGGGCGTTGTGCGCTCAGGCCTCTGTTCTCCGAATGACGGGATGGTGTCCAGGTCCAATCCATATGTTAGACCGGCGACGGGACCGTGGACAGCATCTCCATCTTCTGAACCACTGTCATCAGCATCGCTTTGGGAACCTACACTGTTCAGCCGCTTTGCGCCAACCGTAACGACTGGAACATTGATGCGGCGGCTAGGACTGTTCTCCCTACTATTATCCAATAGCATTCCCTCCGGTTGGGCCGCGAGGGTTGTGGAAGTCATGATCTGCGCCGAAGGTCCTGGCGCTAGTCGTAAATGCGACGGCAAGGGCTGAGTATCTGCGTTACGCGCTGTTACGTCAGGCATACGCGTTGTCTTGAGCGCCATCTGGTTGTGCTGGAGGGCTACACGGATGGGTGCGCCTGGAAGGAGCAACTGGAGCAATTGGGGGTGCACTGACTTCACACTACTAAACGTTAACTAGGCGACACAGTTAAGTATTAAATGGAAACAGCGGCATAAGCTTTGTGCCCTTTAATCCTAGAGCGGGCGGAAACTGTAGGAGTACGGGAGGTCGCGGCGCTAAGGAACTCGCCGGCTGGTGGCCATAACAATAAAGCAGAAACCTTTATATTCAAATGGAGGTACAAATCGCTTTAACGCCTACTGCGCCCGTGCAACATTCCAACCGTCCATGGAAAAGTGCTGGCTTGCGTGGAGTATAATGTGCATATGGGGTACAGTACCACGTTCCTTAGCAGCTAGCGAGGGCTCCCTTTCTTAAACTCCTCCATAACACTACCCGTCAAGCTTGCCCGTT